AGTCTGCAAAAGGTGTATAGAAACTTAACACGTGTTTGTGCACACACACACTCGGACCATTAATCAGCCCATCAATCTTAGCCTAAGAGGACAGCTTGTGGCCACTGACAACCAGGTTATTGTGTCCAGTGACCCCAAGGTCAGCAGTAAGGAGCTAAGGACTTAGCCCCACACAAAAGGAGAGCAACATGTACATTCACATACAGTTGTGTTGTTGCCGGCACCCTTTTGAAAAGACACATGGCAGGCCTACACGCAGATGGGACGGAGAGGAGGCTGGGGTGGGGGCACAGGTTGCCATGGTGAAAGAGCACATGCAGAGGTAACAGATTTAAACAATGGTCCTGATAAAAGGCAGGAGTCATACTTTGGCTTCAAGCAGGGAGAGTATCGGTCAAACTGGTCCTTTTTTATCGGACGGGATTACAAGGGGATGGAAGGGTGGGTAGAAGTCTGAACTGACGCAAAGCCATCTAAATGCACCAGTGGAAAAACCAAGCATGTGTGTATAATTTTTCCAGTTGGTTAGAATTCCCCAACAATATATGCCGAGTATCTATTTATTGTCCTTTTTGTTTTAAATTAATTAACTTTACAATGAACTTGATAGGAACTGAACAGCTGAATAACAAGCCTTGTTTGTAAAAGTAAGTTCACACTGAAAAAAAAGCATCCAAGACCATCAAGCAATTTACAGAGGTATTTTCCAAATTCTGCACACTTTTATCATCATTGGTTTTTCTATTTTTGTTGCAATACAAAAAATTATTGTCCAAAAAATTCTCCAGAATAACCTTTAAAAGGACAACACTCCAAAAAATATGCTGAAATCAGAACATGTCAAACTTGAGCCGAAAAAAATTACAACACATCACATTGTATGTATTACAGCATATCAACCTTGGTTCATTTTGCTGTATATATTTTTTTTTAAAGAAGTATTGATCAGATGGCTCCTTTTAAAACTTTAAGAATACAACAAAAAAGGTTAAAATTTTATTTTTTATGCAGGATTATGTTGTAAGTTATGTTTTGATAGAAATTCAACATGGGTCAGAAGATCTGGAAAATATGTCACTAAGGTCCATTTGGCAAGACGAGCTTGCCGGTGCATGTTAAGGTCAGCCAAGACAAGCTACAACTCCTGATCAAATAATAGCACAGGGTCACAGCAAAGTCATAGCACAGGGTGCTCTTTGTACGTATATATATCCACAAGAACGATATTTCATTTTATCTGTCAAATGTCTAATAATGTTGATCCAAGATGTCAGAATTTTTCATATTAGAGTAATGATGTTTTGACAGCTGCCATCATTCAGGTTCTTAAAACCTAAAGGTCATCATCTGGAACTGGGTCCTACACCTCCTCATGACAGTCTGCACAACAACTGGTTCTGTTCTTTCCCCATTCACTCTTTCTCACCCTCTCGCCTTTCTTTCATACTGCAGCATCCCCCAGGGGTAATTATGGGGTAATTTATGAGGTTCTGTCAGCATGGAGCAGGCCAGTGTATGAGACAGCCTGCTGACAAAGCCCCTTTCACCCCTGGAGGAGAAGGCCTGGACCCTTTTCATACTACCCAATCAGCATCTCTTATTTTTCCTGGATCCCCCACCCCCCCACACACACACTCTGCCCAGCCCTGCAGCTCCCCTCAGCATGAGACCCTCAGTGGCTGCTTAAAGATGAAGGGGAAAGTTATTGGACTCTTTAGAGACTCATAAACATCCAGGGGACTTTCAGCATGCTTTTGTTACTTTTTGTTGTGATCCAGAAAATACTGTTGTTTCTAGCTGAGCAAATGAATGAATTGTCAGGCTGTTTTGCCTGGGGGTGAAGGAAGACAAAAGGCAGTACTTTCAGATCTCCAAAGCACTTGTTTTCCTGTTCAGACAGTCTGAGGAATAACGCCATATCAGGCCTAATTTTACCAACATGTCTCAGACGGAAAAGTTAAGATCCATTAAAAAAAGAAAAACATTTCAACTGTATTTTGTCCAGCTGGTTTGGGAAGACAACACGTTTTCAACATGTAAGCAAAGCTACACAGAAACAGTATGTTTCTGGAGTAAAACTGCCCTCTATAAGAAGTACCAAAAATACCAAAAAACTGAAAACTTCTACAAGTGATATCACACAGAAATACATTTAATAGAAATATGAAAAATAGATTAAATAATGTAAGATCATCATGGTTTAAAGAGAAACACTCATGTAAAGTGATTCACCTATAATTTCCATTCCCCTTTTTCTATGTTGTTCCATATATTGAGTATTACAGTAACAACATAAACTATTTTCTACGATTTAATACTCCAAACATGAGGACTGGTAGTGATGATAATAATTTGTTGTTATTGAGAGGTAGAAGTAAAGAAATGTGTCACATATCCTGCTTGCAGCTGGGTATTACTCATGATCTTGCACACACTGGAAGTGCGTTGCTCTGTGCAGATTCAGTGCTGCGCTCAGAGCTGGAGAAAGAAAAAGGTGGGAGGGATGGTTTAGATCAAACCATTTTCAAGACAAGGGGAGTGCTGCTGTATTTTTGTTTAAGTGATATGTTTCAATCATTTCGATCAGTGTGTATGGTTTTGACATTTTTTTTCAGCTTGAATATGTACATATTGTTAAAACAAACTCTTAAATCTTGGGGGTTGGGGTTAGAAACACCTATGCTACTGGCGATGTTGATTTAGAAATAAGAGTTTTTCTTACATGTCAGCTGTTTTCAGCTCTGGTAGGGAGATAATTCTCCAGCTCTGCATTAGTCCTGAAATCTTTAGCTCCACTCTGACTTGTCTTTATTTTTAGAAGCATCTCCAATATTTATCCAAGCTTTGACATGTGTTTTCTGGTCTAAAACTTTTCAGAGCAATGCTGTGGCTTTTTAGGCTAGATATAACTTCCACCTGCACAGAACATTACAACTGAACTACTTGGCTTTCCCATAACTGGTTTTGATATCGCAACCTGATAGTTGTCCAAAAATGCCCTGTTGGGATGCCACAAAACCATCAACCAAAACAAGATTATTCCGTCCCAGAATCACAAGTCTAGAGGAGAATTAGCTTGCTGCTGCATTTTTATCAGAGTAGCCAATATTTTAACAAAAGCATGGTTCCTTTATGTGTGATTTCAAAAATTACAGTTTCATTTAGTAGATATCTTACATATTGCTCCTAAAAACACACAGACCCTGCCTTCAAAATGCCCACAAAGAAAGTTTGAAATACAAATCATTGTGTTCAACGTAATTGATTATAAACTGGCTCAGTTAGCAGCAGTGAGTTTAGCAGTCTTGTTAGCTCTGCGCCTAATAATAGGAACATCCACATGCTCTAAATAGACAGCCCATCTTGGCTCTCAAGGTCCTCCAATTATAATATCACTTGAATGCCAGTTGTGCCAAAGTGCCCTGCAGGCCGCCTCTACAGCTTCAGTGGGGGGCCCCTAGGACCCTCTTGATTCCCATTCTCAACTGTATGTTGGTCCCTATTTGTTCAAGAGGAGTTGCCTACTGTGCAAATGCACAGAGTTGCAGATCAGAGCTAAACGTCCTGTCATTTTCGAAAGTCTTACTTTGATAATTATAACATGGACAATGTACTACCTAACTAGAGAAAAATCTATATGCAAATTGAAAATGACAAATATAAGATATCTAATAGATATTTTTCTGCTATCGCTTAGGAATTCAAACCATGTAAAAATACACCAGAGTTACAGTATGTTAAGATTTATCTTGAGTTAAATTAGGCATTATTGATACAATTTTAAAGAGTAAGACTGACACAAAGAATCCAGGTTACATGTTCTCTCAGAACATGTAACCTGGATTCATGTTGTTTCCCTCTGTCTAGATCTTGCTTGTGTTAAATCTGTTCTCAAATGTTCGTCACTTTGGATATAAACGTTCACTAAATGACATTGTAACATTAAAACAAATTAAATAGGTGTAAACAAACAGAAAACTTTAATTGAGTGAAGACATTTTAGTGTCTGTTTAACCACGTCCTCCCAAACGAAAGGACCCCCTTCCAGTGTTAGGGATGTGGCTTCACAGACCGGTTTGGGAGCCAAATTGAATTTATCTGCCTCTTTTGTTTCTGGCTCCTGGTTAAATTGTACCCAGTTTGCTATTTACATTTACTGCTGTTCTTTACATGAAAAAGCACCTCCTGCTGATCAAACATTTCACCGAGGTGTGTCATGGATACCATACGTAAATACGACATTAAAGCTTGATACTTGTTATTTTCTCAAGCAGTGCAATCAAATGTGTTCAAAATCTCCCACATCAAACTTTTGATTTTGAAAAACTTTTTTACCTTTATTCTTACGATGAGTATTTGTTTATTGTAAGTGAAAACCTACTTGTGCAACTCACTGATAGCATATCAACATAATTGACTGAGTCTTTGTTATATAGACTTAAATATGCATTTTGTTTCTAATAACATTTTTAAATCTTAGTCCTGATGTGCCTTTGTACACACTTTTGCCACACATCATTCATTATCTTTCTCGGATAGAAACTCAGCACAGTTCTTGTTAAGTCTGGACCAGTCTCAACAAAGCATATTCCATCTTTTAATTAGCTTGTAGAGACTTTATGATAGTTTGTGGTGTTAAATGTGGGTGTGGAAAAGTAAAGTGTGGGCAGTGAGAGAGATGTAGGAGGGGGGTGGACTGAACCCATTTTGCAATTGGCTGAAGCTCCAAGTGTCTCATTATGTGCCTGTATTGTTCCTTTGTTGTGCCGGTAGTATAAATACACCCCAGCTGGCCCAGAGGGTGAGACTTTAGACAGGCTGATTCAAGGGGGAGGCTGGTCTCAGATTTGGCAGGTCAAACTTAGAGACAAGTGAAGCTGTGAACTGAGAACAGGAGAGCAGATAATTAAGAAAGACAACTGTTAATTTTCTTTTACATATACTTTGGCACTTTTGGTCTCTTACTGCATTTGAGGTCTATTTTCCTCTTTTCAACAACCATGGATTCTGACACTGGATCCTCATGTAGCCGCTCCTCATCTCCAGACCTAGTGGTAAACGATGCTGCCAGGAGCTTCTTCTCCAACAAGATGTTCCAGACCTACTACAGAGAAAATGGAGAAGACAACAAGGCTACCAAAAGCAGAATGGATGACGGCTTGACTGCGAAGCCCAAGGCCAGGTCCGAGCTCAACAGGGACGAGATTCAAGACATGAGACTGAAGGTCAACAGCCGGGAGAGGAAGAGAATGCATGACCTGAACCAGGCAATGGACGGTCTGAGAGAGGTCATGCCCTACGCTCACGGACCGTCAGTACGCAAGCTTTCTAAAATCTCCACCTTGCTGTTGGCTCGCAACTACATCCTCATGCTGTCCAGCTCCTTGGAGGAAATGAAGAAGCTTGTGGGGGATGTTTATGGAGGAAGTGCTACCATCCAGAGTCGCTCTTCTGCCCTCTCTGCGATGAACCCTACAACCCCCTCTGCACACCTCCCTCTTCATCCTCTGGCCCAGTCTTTACACTCTCTGGTTGCTAGCACCCCTTTGACTTTCCAGCATCACTCAACTTCTGCTGTAGCGCCAGCTCCACACTCCCCTCCTTCTTCCACCTTCCTAAGCTTTCATTCTCCCATCCAAGGACTTCTCAAGGACCCTCATCACCTGTCTAGCACCTACAGACACCTCCCTGGCATGCCTTGCCCCTGCTCCCTCTGCCAGCCTTTGCCCACCACTACCTCCACATTGCAGAGCATGTCTATGACCAAGTGAGCAGAAATCTCCATGAACTATTTGGACCAACTTGTGAAGGCTCACCTAATGAACTTGCTAATGATGGGTGGTGCCAGAACATGTACATACTGGACTTATCCTCTGCAAAGTGCTGCTATTTTTGAAAACAATTTGTTTCATCCTTTGTTTCATGTTTACAGTTACAATGAATGTCTAGGGGGGGCAAACACAATAACTTATCTGTTGTCTGTTGTATTGAATTTTAGAAATTGAAGTGGTTCCTAACTTGCAGGATTTGTAAAGATTTTAATAAATTAAACTATTTTTAATATAAATATAACTGTTGTTTATCATCATTATTTCATGAAATTAATGTCGCCCTGAATTTAATGGTTATTCAAATTTTGTTCATGTTATTTTATTCAAGAAAAAGTTATATCAACATATTAGGTTATCTGTGAGGTTTTTCTTCTAAAGCTGTCATTTTTTTGGGGGGGAGTTTAAGAAAATCTCTGAAAAGTATATTGCAGCTTAATGAAGCCAAAACAAATTCAAAAATGCCCTCTTAGACCAAACAGAAGTACATAAATTAGGGAAACACAAATGTACGGGTCAGTACATTGGCATAGAGGACAAATATGACATCCATAAACAGGGGGACCATTCATCTTTATCTTAAAAAGTGTTGAAGATGAAACAACAGCACAGATGCCAGGAAGGCACATCACTTTGGTCTGGTCAGTCAGATTTAGTCAAGTTATTTGTCTCTGTTTTGTAAGAAAATTAGGGCCGGAACTCAAAGTGCAAATTGAAAGAAAAGGCAAACAGCAAGCATTTTTTTTCAACAGTTTGTAGTTGTTTATAAATCCTGAAAACATATATTTTACTTTATATTTGAAAGTGATTTGCAGGTTTTTTTTTTTTATGATAATTAGTCCACTAAATAATAAATATGAGTATCAATGACACCAATTGCCAAAAGATGATGAGATCTTACTACACTAAACTGGATGAATAAGAATAAATCATTGAGTGTATTAAAAGACAAGCAGCATACATAAACTGTAGACAACCTAAGTTTTAAGTTCTTGTCTGTTAGTGTTCCTCTATGATTCTCTATGAGGTTCAGGAAAGGCCAGTTAACTGGCTAATCGGTATTCCTATGGTCAGCGAACCAGTTTCTGTTAGTTCTGGCAGTGTGGAAAGGTGTCAGGTCCTGCTGGAAAAGGAAATCTGTACCTTCATAAAGCTTCTCATCAGATGGAATTGTGAAATACTCTCACATCACATGGTAGACTTAAAGTTTCATTGACTCTGGACTTTATAAAACATATTAGACCAACACCAGCAGATAACATGGCATCCCACATCATCACAGACAGTAGAAACTTCACGTTGGACTTCAAGCATCTTGGATTCTGTGCCTCTTCGATCTACTTCCAGACTCTGGGTCCTTAATTTCCAATGAGACGCAAAATTGACTTTCATCTGGAAACAGGATTAGAGCTCTTTTTGGGATTGAAATAACTGACAAGAAACTGAACTTTTCCTTATATATTCAAAAACTGTACATTGAGATAGCAATCTTTATTTTTTATTTTTTATTGCCCTGTAGCGCAAGGTGTAATCACCAAGGTTCAAAGAAAAAAAAATACTATGATGCCATTTTACCTTAAGTTAAGTAGACTAGTTTACTCAAGTTCCTCAAAAACAGGGCTGATCTAGAGAATTAAGGTTTCCATTTTTTAAAATTACTTATTTAACCCTAGACCACTATCGCCAGGTGATTTTCACCCAACCAAACAAGTTAATGTGATTTTCATGATGTTGAGTTTGTCTCAGTATCATGGGTCCCTGGGTAGCTTCAGCATTGCCTTTGACATCTTTGAAGGCATATTTGTCTCCCTGATCCAAAACCTGCTTTTTCCTACAGGCATGTGTTTGGGTGATTTTCACCCGGCAATAGTGATAGAGGGTAAAGTAGGTTTGGGTGGATTTGATAGTTGCATATAGGGAATAAGGTCAGTTAAGAGTGGTCCTGGAATTTGCATGCTAGCTTTATTTAGCACAGTGGTTATGAATCACTATCACAAAGTAATGATTTTCAAGGGAATTCATATGGTGACAAGAAATATTTTAGTCAGCTGGTCATTTTGACTCTCTCAAAATATGCCATATATTGGTTCTCTCTCCTGCAGCTGTTATTGTGCCAAGGGCCCAGATTCTTCTCCAGGGAAGCCTCACATGCCCCAGGAATGGGTGGAAAAGAAACTAAGTTTACAGTTTCTATATTTTTAGTAATTTTTGTTCATGAATGCCTTATTTCAGTTATTTTGTTGCATTTTTATATGGTCCCCTCATGGTACTTATCCCCCCTCCCTTTGGACATTGCACAGTTAAAAAGACAACTACATTAATTTGTCGTATATTGTCCTATTTTGATGCATTTTGATGACAAGTACTTTAATGGTATGGTATGTTATTTTGGGTAAAAATCACCCAGCGATAGTGATGGTTTTACTAATTTTAGCGGTAGTCTTCTATGGTCAAATTTAATGGGATTTGTTTTTTCTGTTTTGGAAATTTGATTCAATTTATTTTATTTTATTTTATTAGGTTATGTGATCACAGGGAGAATTACTCTAGTCTACTCCCCAAAATGGCCGATAGATGGCGGTAATGCACCTAATCACTGGTTCCTCTCTGCTCTAAAACAAGGGTCTGAAAAGAAGAAGAAGAAGTAGCTCGCTAAATACTGATGATGTCACCGTCTGAAAATGGCTGAAGGGTGAGATTGAACTCGCAAATGACTTTTTGTTAAAAAATACCACTCTAAAAAACAAAGGACATTAATGTGTTATGCATATCATGTGTCATATTATGCTTGTGTTTCTGACTAAGGCGCCACTTTTAAGCCTGCACTTCCCAGCTCACAGAATCAGTTCAGGAAGTGCATTTGTTTACCTAAACTCAGCCGATATCAGCGTTAGCATAGTTCCGATACTTACAGTAAATATTATTCTCAAAACGCTTTGAAACCAGAGGATCCCATTGGTTTAGCTGTTATTGTGACATTCAGTGTTCAGTCAAAGCAATCCCTTGTGAGAATTTGTTGTAAACTGTTTTCCTGACACTGATAGCTGTCGTTAGCTGACCTGGAAAGCTTGAAGGCTCTGACGAAGTAGGTTGAGTAAATCCAGAAGTGACTCTGAGTTTGATGTTTCTCTAAAGCCACCTTTCAAGCGTTTATCCGGGCTCAGTGTCACTCAAATTGCAGTATTTGTTCTCGTTCGGTTATGTTCTCTGATTTTTTTGGTTTCAGAATCGTAGCTAAAGTATTATTTTTAACGGTCTTACAGAGAAGGCTGGTGGGGAGGCTGGCTTCAGCAAAGCTTCCAGGCCGTCAAAGATAAGGTAATCAACATGAGGTAGAAAATTCATCCAAATACCTCTTCACAGCTCACATTTGGAAGGGCTCATGAATTACCTGTTATCATAGTTTGATAAGGGATCTTTTGGTCTGTCAAAAAAGTGCAACACTCATATGTAGGGTGACCAAAACGTCCTGTTTTCCAGGGACATGTCCTGTTAAATGTCCTGTCCTGGCAGTCCAAGTTGATTTTTATATAGGGATGGCAATGTCCTGGTTTCCTTTTTTTATTGGGCCACTAGGATGAAGAGGAAAACTTAAGATATTTTTTGTTTGTTTGTTTGTTTTTGTACTTTTGTGAGCTCTATTTTAGTTTGATTGCTAAAATAGCAGAGTTATTTGTTATTCAATACAGAACCGACATTTCTATCATTATTTCATTTGTAGTTTTTTAAACTTGTCATAATAAAACATGTTGAGTAATTGAATTGTTGTCTTTGGTTATAGATTGTATTTGGTAATGTGACAGTTTCCTATTCATACAGAGGATGCATACTTTAAATGTATTGTCATCTTGTAATAGACTTGGAGTATCATTTGAGTATGTCATTGCCAGGTCAGGTGTCCTGGTTTTCAGTCTTTAAACTAAGTTCACCCTACACATATGAGCCAAAACAAAGTTTGCACAGCATTACCAAGGCAAGACCAGAGTGCCTCTGTTGTTTGTTAGCATAATGGGACAGTCATCTTGAGTAAAGGAATTTTGCAACATATTTTATCAGAGGCAAAGTCATTAAAAAATGTTCTTTTTTTTTCATATATCATGTCATTACTTTAAAGGTTAAAGGATTAAGTTGATTTGCTCTCTTTTTGCAGTCATCTGAGGCCTTAGAATTCATAAAGCGAGACCTTACAGAGTTTTCTACAGTTGTGCAGCATGACACAACCTGCTCCATTGTGGCCACAGCCACTGCTGTCAAAAATAAGCTTGCGGTAAGTTACACCCTGTACCTCGTTTTGTATTTTTGTTGTTTTTAACAATGTGATCAAACGCAGGCGTAGTGTTTGTATCCTGTATCACATGCACATCTTATTGATGTAGAGATGATTATTTACTAAAAGATAATCAGCTGCAAAATGCCTATTCTCACCTGTCGATATAAATATGCTTCTTCCTAGGTGGAAGGTTCCTCAGAAACCACAGAAAAGGTAAAAAAGAGCCTGTCGAGTTTCCTAGGTGTCATAACAGACACTCTTGTCCCACCCCCTGACAAAACCATCGACTGTGATGTGATTACATTGGTGGCAACACCAGCTGGAACTACAGAGATTTATGACAGTTCAAAGGTAGGCAGGACTTTTTACTGACTGCACATTTTTCCAATTTACTCAACCTTTTGCATTTGATGCATTTGATACAGAACTCTGGTTAGTTTCCTTGAAAACAACACAAAGTAGTAATTGTGTAAAGGTTTTTTTCTTGTACTTCAAAAAAAGGGGAAAACAGCAAGGTGAAAGTAGCTCAAAATACTAATCAGTCTCAGCTAAGCATTTGTTTTTTTTCTGCAGGCGCGTCTCTACAGTTTGCAAGCTGACCCTGCTACATACTGCAATGAACCTGATGGTAAGGTTGTATTGTGAAGTATCATAAGGCCCTCTCTCTCAACAGAGTATTAGTCTGGCTTAGGTTTATTATTTTTGTAGTTTAAAGGTAAACTTTGGTATTTTTCTTCCTGGGTCCTATTTCCAATCTTGTTGGTGGAGAAGTCAGAATGACACCTCTCCACCATTGAGATTTGGTAGTACACACAGACTGTATATAGAATGGACAGAGTCTGCCTCCTCACTGGGTGAAGCCACTCCTAGAACAGCACACTCTGGCGGCGGGCTGCAGTACAGGTCATAAATCCCGCCTCCGCCAGCAAAGCCTATGGAACTGTTGACAAATTTAGAAATTAATTACACAGAACATGATTTTTTTTCCCCACAGCTTGCAATGTTGACATGTAGCTACTGTAAGACTGGTTTGTGCTCAAGTCCTCTTTTTTCTATGCAACTCCATTTTTAAAAGTAATTAGGAGGTTCATGTTTTCTTTGATTGACACCTGATACAGCCTATGGGCGTACAAAGACTGCGTAGCTCACCCGGGAGATACACAGTTTGAGCCGAGTGTCATCACAGCGACTGTCGACGACTCTCCTGCTGAATGCGTGCAACGCTACTGCACAGTGTTGGTTTCAGGAAATGGAGAAAAAATGCGGAATCGCCGAGAATTTTTCGGCTTCAAATCCGTATACTGGCGGAAGGTGGTACCAAGTTGTCCATAGTATATACAATCTATGGTAGTACATAGCCCAGCACAAGGTGGAAGGTAAGGCACACGTTTGCCATTCCATTTTTGAGACTCGTACTAACAATCTTGGCCTTTCAGTGGTAAAATAAAACACTTGTAATGGATGCAGTTTGACGATGCGCAATCGCCCAGTCAAGCTTGTTAAGCTCGTTTTGCTGCTTCCGACTTCTCCGCTCTCCGTACTGACCCAATTTCAGAAATTCTTCCTGTCAGTCAAACACATGCAAATACATGGGAAAATAAGGCCCAGGTTGAGAAATACACAAGTTCCCCTTTAAGCTCTCTACAATTTCCTGTGCTTTGGCTGAAGATGTTCAGGCTTTTACTAGTATTTTTACTATCTCTGTTATATGTTCCAAGTAAAAAGCTGCTCTCTCATTTGAAAGCAATGAACCTGCCTTAAAGCATTGATGAGAATTTTACTGCCAATAGCAAAGTAACAAGGAATTATCTGCTTTGATGTGTGAGTCAAACCAACCTGTTGATAAAAAAATTATTTTTGTAAGGCGTTCTTGTGATGATGGATGGACATTTCATGCTTTGTCAATACTCTTGATGCCCTTGATATGTTTTGGAGTGTTTTTAGGTTGAGTTATTTCTGTGCAGGTCCTCCAGAGACGTTTGAAAACTGGCTCTCCACCTTTAGTTTGGAAGACAAAAAGAAAGAAATCTCAGAACTTCTGGTGAACAGCCCCTCAATACGAGCCCTCTACAACAAAATGGTACTTGTTACTGATGGCCAAGGCCTATTCCCATTGTACAGTTTCTCATTTCAAACCAAACTTTTACAATATGTCACAGTATTTCAGCTTACGTTCTATAAGAGCACTTGCCAATTTGTATTCACAGGTTCCAGTAGCCGTAGCCCATTCTGAATTTTGGCAGAGATATTTCTACAAAGTCTTCCAGCTGGACCAGGTAACCCTTCCCTCTTAACATTAAACTGCAAACTATCTGCAATATACTGAATATAAAAATCGGTCCAATCGTCTCATTTTTGGTTTTGGGTACCACCTAGTGGCTGATTATACAACTGCCTCTTACTGTAAATTCAGGTCTTAAAATCACTCAGGGACTTTTTCTGTAGCACAACCAAATATTCATTAGTTTCATCAGTTCTTAAAAACAGAATCCATGCTCAAGGTTTTAAGTCATTACTATAGCATCTGCCAGCTGAGACAATGTAAAGCATGGGTTATGCATTATAGGTTGTTACCATTTTAAAAAGAAAAAAACATTCAGCAAAAATGTACTGAAACGTGGTCAGCATTGTTATTCTTCCTCAGGGTTTCTTTCCCCCCTAAAATTTGTGACCAAACGGTTTTATTTTATTACAGCAGGAGAATAATTTTCTCTGACAACTGGATTCTTTTAATCAGTGGTGTGTAGAGAACATTTTCAGTCAAAACATTTTTTTGCAATAATCTCTTGTACCAAATACACAAGATAAGGTGCATCCCTTGAATGAGATTTTCATTTTTTAAAATGGTAGAAAAGCACAAATATGGATCAATCAATTTATCTCTATTTACAGATAGGTGTGTGACCTTCATCACACCTGAAACAGAAATATCAAATTTTTAAAGTCACATGACAAGAAATGGATGTCAGTTACAGCACTCTGTGGTCAGTTATTTCTGTATAGCAGACCACTGTTATTAAAGGACTGTTGCTATGGACACGGTTCCGCTCAGACCTCGTGTCCGGAGCACATCTGATCATACACCATCTAAAATCTTGGACAAAACAACAGTGGTTTTGAGTGAAGCTAAAACTTTCAGGTACTTTTACATAAGTTGGCATTTGACGGTGGGGAAGAGCATATGATAGACCAACATAATCAAGGGGTGCAGTATTTAGTCTGACAGAGTGAGACGGGACCCCTGGTTTTCACCACCATGAGGGTCCTGTCATACAGAATCTTAGCTGCCCCTGAACAAGAAAAAATGTAACCATCATTATGTCCTGTTTGTTTTTAGCTTGGCTCAAAAATTAGGCGATATCTATATTGAAATTCTTGCATTAACTCAAACCTTATTTTTTCCTGTGTTTTCAGGAAGAGAGGAGGAGATTGGCGTTAAAACAGAGGGCAGAACAGACCACACACAGAGAAACCCTAGGCTGGGAGGAAGAGGAAGAGGGTATGCTTTCCTCAGTTTTATATGGTTTGGGTTTGGATTCATTTTTGTAATCTGTGACTTAAACTGCCATTCCAATGTCATTTTCTGTCAGATGACTTCATTGGTGCAGCTTCATCAACGCAGCCCAACTTTATTTCCAAGCTGGACAACAACTCAGATGACCTGACTTCGACGACTCCAATGGGAACAGCTCTGCCCTGTCCTGCCTGGTCACCCTGTGAAGAGCGTGATGTCACCAACTCAGTCAGCAGCGATAGCGTCAGCCAGCCAACACAAGTGGAAATGTTGCCAAAGCCCGTTGCCACAGAGATAACCAAGAAACTAACAGAAGCTAGCTTGGAAGATGTTAAAGTCAAGACACAAGAAAAGCAGAGGCCTTCAAATAGGGACTTACCTCTTGAGGCTAAAGAGGTGGCCGTAACTCTGCCCGAAGTCAGTGTTGGTGGGGCGTCAATGCAGACTCTTGCTTCTAAACCAGAGGCAGCAAAGGAAGAAGGGCCACAGGACCTGAGAGTGTTTGAGCTTAATTCTGACAGTGGGAAGTCTACGCCTTCTAACAATGGCAAGAAAGGTAAGTGGACCTAAAAAGGTTTTCCAGTTGGCATGGAGATCAAGTTAACTGAAATAGTAATAATTTGGGTGTTTTATTGGCTCAAGATTGGTATGCCAAAGCATGAAAATGAGGAGCTCACATAATCTTAAATTTATCAATCCCTCTACAGGGTCAAGCACAGACGTGAGTGAGGACTGGGAGAAAGACTTTGATCTCGAGATGACAGAAGAAGAAGTTCAACTGGCTCTCTCCAAAGTAGAGGCATCCGGAGAGGCAAGTATTACCTTTGCATTTTGGTATTTGGTTGATTGATTGAAATAAGAAAAGTATGATAACAGGTATGATTTATCTTTTTTGAAGTAAGTCTGATCTTTTTTGCTTTTTTAATAGCTGGATGAAGACTGGGAGAACTGGGACTGACAGCCATTCCAACAGAAACTCTTGACTGCAATTAAAGCTAGTTCTACGCAGTTGAACCATGCTTAATGTGTTGTTAACTCTTTGTCCACACAGCCACCGAGTAATGACTATTAGTAAGGTACTTTTTGACAAATTTAGTACCATCTTGGTAAACCTGTAAACAAAAACACAAGGAAGACATGGGCAATTCGCATTAGACAGCTCAAGCTTGCCTCAAGCCAAGACATGTCTAGTTCTTGGGAACCTTCTGGCCCAGAGAGTGAAAGACACTAGTAATGGGATGATGTTGACGCTGTGTCAAGAGCGTTAAAGGTTTCCCAGCAGCTCCCCAGCTGTTAACCATTTTTCTTTGTATTGTTCAATTTGCAATGTATGTCGGAAGTTCATTCCTAATTTGGTATTGACTTAAAGAGACAAAAATAATGACGAACTTTTAGCACGGCGTGTCTCCTTTCAAAGATGAAATACTGGAAAACTCTATGGATGAAATGGAGTTTTTGTTTTTCTTCCTTATCATAATGGTGAGGGCCCCTGAGTTTGTTCCTCTTCTTAAAGATGGTGAATCTTGAGAAAAACAAACAACAAAAAGAGCATCTTTACTTTTGGATAAACTCCGTTCTAACATTAAGGCCTTACTAAATGCAAACCAATGTTTTTTTTTTTCTTTCTCTTTTTTTTCATGCGTCAATTTATAACACAATAAATGTATATGTCAATTTAAGTTCTTTCCCCTTGCTTTATCATATCATAAAATTAATAGAATATATGATACTGTTGTAAGCTATATTCATTTTTTGTCTTTTTTCAAATTTTCCACTTCTTTGGGTAATAACTCGTTTATCTTATTTAAGTAGATGACAATAATCATTACTTTCAAAGAGGGAAGTCATATCTGACTTAAAATCCAAAATTGAAATGAATCCTCTTATTATGGTACTGTGTTCTTTAGTTCAAATTTGGGTTAAAATCTCTGGGTATATATATCTTGACAGGAATGAAGAGATCTATTTTCATTTTATTTTTTTTCCAATGCCAGCTTATGCTTGAGGCAAAATTGTTCAGCAGGCACTCTGCCACGTAGAGTTTTGTGCATCATGTGCTAACTGATATCCTTTTCAATCATCTACGATGTAACAGAGAAAATTAATCTTAGAGATGTAATATATAAACCTCAATCATTGCCTATTAATGTACAATGTGCTTTTGATTGCATGTCTATGCATTAACATGCAAGACATTGGGTCACTGGTTATTGTTCTATGTATTTTGGTTTGCATTGTTTTTGTGGAGATATTGGCTGTTCATCAGAATTATATGTTCTGGCAATATGTTGCATGTCTGCAATTGTCAGCTGTGTATTCCTTTCAGATTTGCACTTTGCACCAATTAAGGCTGTTCTACTGAATTGTCAAAAAACTGTCCAGTTCTTTTTTTCAGTCCAGAATGCAAATGAAATGACTATCCTCATCAAATAATTCATGGACAAAAGGGCTTACTATTGTTAATTACTAAACTTTCAGTATGGCCATTTAGCAACCTGAAAAAAGAGAAGCTGCTCAAACCACAGTCCAACCACACAGCCTCTCCAAGATCCATGCCAACCATAACAAGATTTCTAAAGTAAAGACCCACTCCAATGAAAATCACGTTTTTTCTTGTTGTCCCTATGTTCATATGGATTTTTTCTGATGCTAAATGACATATCATGAGAAAACTAAGTGCAGAGTTGTGTATCTGGGCATTCCTGTTCTCAAATCGCTGTGAATCTTGGACCAACCGAAACAGCAGGTTCAGACCATATGATATGGTTCAGACACAGTGGGATTTTCTATGTCACAAGTCTAAGCTCCTCCCCTGGCACCCCGCTCTGCAGGCCAGACTCAAAGAAGTAGAGAGGATGATCGTGGAACATGTGTGTGCGGCCTACTTTTTTGAAACTGGCTCATGAGACTTCTAACATTAAAAAGGGACGCTACACCACAGTTGCAAGTTCAACAGAAAGTTGAGGTTTCTGTAAAACTCAAAAGAGCAGGGGTAAAAATCAAACCAATCTCTAGGCGATGATAGCAGACATAGCGGAAAAAAAAGATGAAATGGCTAAAGTTAAGATGAGCCAAAATATCGGGCCAAGAAGGCTTCTTCCCAGACAACGATGAACGTCAAGGTGGCTTTCACTTCCTGAGTGAACTGAAGTAGTGGCCCAGGATGATGATTTGGGCCAAGATAGCGTGTTTTTTGTTGCACAGGTAGGTACCAAACACTAGGGTAAAAAACATAGTTTCCCAGGACATGTCCTGTTTTCATGTCCTGTCCTGGCGCTCTTGGTTGTTTTCAATGAAGTGATGAAAATTATCTGCTTTTCATTGGGCCACTAGGATGAAGAAGAAAACTTCAAGATATAGATTTTTTTTGTTAGTCAGTTTTTGAAAGCTAGTTCGTAAGTTTAACTTCGTTTCAGGTTGTACAGAATTTGAGCTTTACATCGTTTTCAGTCAAACACACACTGGGTCACAGGTAGCCAACAGTGTAAGCTAATAGTCAGAGAAGTGATGCAAGCTGCTCATGCAGTTTGTAAATGTAAATCCAGTGCTAGCCAGTGCATATTTTTTAAATATTTTCAATCTCTGCTAGTTAACTGTTTTTCTTAGCATGTTTGTACTCTGTTTCAGGCCCGTGTGTCACAGTGAGGGTGTATATCACTACCAGAAGTTAACATAACTCTGACAGAGTATTTTAGGTATAATATTAAACAAATAAGGTTTACCAAGGGCAACTTAAGCTCTACATGTATTTTCCTCTTGTATAGATATCAGTTTGTTGCTGTAATATTGATGTATGTCTTTTGTATTGGCATATGTCTGCAATGCTTACTCTAACCCCATTACATGATTAGCTTTCAGCTGATAAAAGTTAATTGCATGAATGAAAGAAGGGACTTCATTGTTCTCAACTGGAGTAATTAGAGTGACAGAAGATCCGTTAGATCTCTTTTCTGCCCTATTTAGCCTGAGGAAAAGAAGCTGCCTCATAATTGTACACACCTGATAGGCCTACAGGGTGTTGATTCCTTAGGACCACACCCTCCCTCATTTCACAAATGCATATCACCTAATATGCTTAAAACTCAGAGTGGTAGAAAAGTCAACAATTGGTTCAAATCTAGACTTTGTTTAAAAGTTTTTTCTAGATGCCAACACAGGAAAACAAAAATGCTATTGGTGCCACATCTTTAACCTAAACACCAAATCTAGAGAAAATCAAGAAGTTTATACCAGAACCACAGTTGCATTAAGGATAGTGAAAACAGAAAATGTGACTTTTTGTCTCTGTCTTTAAAGACTGACAGAGCTAATTCAGCTGTAAGGAAAACCACACCACAAAAATGCCTTTTTATGCAGAACAACCTTGGTGTGTTTGTAACTGATGTTTAAATTCAATTAAAATTTAATCTTAAATTTAAAAGATTATTTATTAAAAAAATACAAGTCACTCAAACATCACTTAAAATAGTAAAACCCAAATCCTGGATGTTTCTCAGTAAAGCCTTAGACCTACTATACACTGAACAATTGTTACAAAGACAGAAATGTGATATTGAAACATGGTAATACTCTTTTTTTAAACAGTGTCAGTTACAATATACAACCAGCCAGTACCTTACTTACACAGATTCATGAATGTTTAATGTTCTGCTGTACCACAGGGTCATGTTTCACGAATAGTCCTGTAATATTATTTCCATTCAGTGAATTCATTCTGTAACATGTCTTGTGGTGTAGCCAACTATTAGGAAAAAATGTATTTATGTACCTGAGTCCTACAATGTTGTAGTCACATTTGCTTCTTTGGCCTTTTCCCTTCTGTTTAAACTCATCTGGCTTTCTGCCAATGTAGGGTCAGTCTTACGGTATTGAGATCTAGGTGGGGCCATGTTGGTAAGCTCATGTTGCTCAGCAAATAAGAGCCTTTCATTCTCCTGGCGGACCCTGAGCAATTTGGCTATGCGCTTGCCAATGAGATATATCATCTCACAGATGCACATGAAGATGCACAATGCACTGGATATGACCATAAACAGCATGAAGATCTTCTTCTCTGTTGGACGACTAATGAAGCAATCAACAGTGTTGGGGCACGGGTCGAGTGAACACTTGGATAACCTAAAAGCAAAGAGTAAATCAGCTTTTTCAAAATTAGTTTATCTCAGTATTATTGGAGGTTAAAATAAAAGACTTGAAAAGACGTGGCACAAGGTTTACCTGGGCAAGTCATATCCATGGTATATTCGATACAGAATATAGAGAAATGATGTGTCAAATCCTGCTTTGAAGACCAAGCTCAGTAGATAGGTCCACCACAGCCCTCCTCTCTTCTTGCCAGGGTTAGCATACAGGTGAGAGCCATGGTGCAGTGCCACATATTTCTTGTCCTTTCCTTCACGAAATTTAACGTGAGCCATCACCATTAGAGATGGACAGGTAACAAAAATCAGCTGCAGTGCCCACAGACGAATGTGGGAGATGGGAAAGAGGTGGTCATAGCAGATGTTTGTGCAGCCAGGCTGTAAAAAGAATGAAATAATGAAACATATAAATATCTTAATTTTTCCATAACTTCCATGACTGTAATGTCAATCGTAAGTAAAGTGAGTGATAGCATTTGCATGTGGCTTTTTTTGTGAAAAAAGATTAATAGAGAAAAGAAAAAACCTTTAGCATTCTAAAAGAAATATATCCCCAATTTTTGAACTAGAAGACAGAACAAATAAATTTTATTGTTTTTAGTCTCCAGAATTAATAAACCTCCTGATCGCTCTCTCTCTCAAAAAAAGGAACAAGTCCTAGAAACACTTCATATGTATCCACTTGTTAAAATGCATCATAAGCAAATTTATAAAGCCTTATAAATTCTTTTATAAGTCTTTCTAACATCCCTGATGATTGATGATAAGCATTTGTAACAGCTTAACAAAATGTTTATGAAGTGTTGTAAGCAGAGAGCTTAATGTTAACAAGTAGAGAGTGCTGGTACAGAAAGATCTGCAAGAAGGAGAAGGACCTGAAGATCCATCAATCAAGGATGAAATGTAAGGAGTGATTGCAAGCATCACAATGCACAGGTCCAGTACCTGGTGAGACAGAGGAGGAGCTGAGCCGGGAAGCACCCCACAGACCTCAGAGCCTCCAAGTGGTACAAAAGGTTCCTTCATCCAGTCAGTCCGAGAAGAGAAGGATCAGATGACCCCAAGCCTCCAAAACAGCAGAGTGGCAGAAGTTTGATGGTGATGCAGACAAGGTTCGAGAAGCAACAACTAAAGGGGATGTTAAGAGGAGGCTTCAGCCCATGATGACCATCATAGTGAGCGTGGCTTCAGAGGGGTTCAGTGTTGACGAGGAGAGGGAACCATAGCAGCCTAACACCAAGAACCAGAGGGTGGTCAAAATCCACAATACCAGGAAAGAGCTGAAAACCCTTAAGAAACATCATAAGGAAGCCAGTGAAGAGGAGAGGGGACCACTGGCTGAGCGCTGTCACGTGGTCAAGAAGAGGCTCCTAGTCCCGCAACACAGGAGACAGAGATGGAAGAGGGCTAGAAAGCAGACTGCTTTCATAAACAACCCCTTTGCCTTCATCAAGGAGTACCTCTGTTGGAGACGCAATGGACATCTGGCTTATTCAAAGGAGGAAGTCGACCAACACCTCCACAGCACCTTTAATGACCCCACCCAACACCAAGAGTTAGGGCAGTGCAAGGCTGTACTAACACCATCTGAACCCGCTGAGGCCTTCGATCCGATGGAGCCACTCCTGAAGGAAATTCAGAAGGTGGTGTAAAAAGCAAGCCCCAGGTCAGCACCAAGACCAAGTGGAACACCCTATAACGCTTACAAGCACTGTCCTAAGCTTCTACACCATCTCTGGAAGATCTTGAAGGTCATTGGGAGAAGGGGAAGAACACTGTAGCAGTGGCAATTTGCTGAGGGAGCATGGATTCCCAAAGAGGAGGCCATATCATCTCACTGCTCAGTGTTGAAGGAAAGATTTTCTTTAGTATTATTGCCAAGTGACTGGTGGAGTTCCTCCTCAAGAACAGATACATCAACACTTAAGTGCAGAAAGGGGGCATCTCCAGGGCAACAGGGTGTTTAGAGCGCATAGGTGTGGTCATCGACCCCTCGCAGAGGCAAAGGAGAATAAGGGTGATCTGGTGGTCCTGCGGCTGGGCCTGGCCAATGCCTAAGGCTGAATGCCTCACAAGCTAGTCCATAAAGTACTGGAGAGGCAGCATGTTCCAACTGCTGTAAGAGACCTCATACTGGATTACGACAGCAATTTCAGTGTAAGTCTCTACAGGATCAACAACATCTGAGTGGCACAGATTAGAGGTGGGAATCATCATGGTCTGTACCATCTCAGTGATCTTGTTTGCACTAGCCATGAACATGTTTGGGAAATCTGCTAAACCAGAATGCAGAGGCCCCAAGTCCTAGTCTGGGATTTGCCAGCCACCAATCAGTGCCTTCATGGATGACCTGACGGTGAACCCCCGAGTAAGTGCCCAGAGGCAAATAGATACTAAAGGGGCTGAAAAAACTGATGGTAACCAGCACACCCCCTCTTTTTGACAAGGCCAGAGGGAAGGAATTTAGGCAGTTTGTCCAGAATGAGGTGAGAGTAGCAGTATAGGAGGAGCGGTCCAGCAGAGCAGTGGGGATAAGACAGCAAGGTGCTTGGACTAGGTAAGAGCAAGCTGTGGAAAGAAAAGTCCCATGGACAGACCTCTGGTGGACAGAGCCACACCGTATCCAGTTCCTGTTCCAGACTGTCTATGATGTCCCTCCGATAAACCAGCATGCTTTGCTAGAAGAATGGGACCCTCAAGCATGTACTGAGTTGCTGCCCAAAAGCTCTGGGGGAAGGCCGATGGTGACATGATAGAGCATCTGTACTGTCATCCCCATCTGTCAAAAATCAAGACCCACAAAGCATAACATCAATTTCATCAGAGCTGGGGAGAGGCCAAGAACAACACCAAGACCAACATCACCTTCTCGACACCACGCGGGACAGGCAGCTGCCAGTAGATCTGGGCAGCAAACTGAAGTTCCCCAGCATGTTGCTAGACCATCCTCAGACCTGACATCATTCTGGGGTCAGAGGCAACAAAGAGTATTATCATTCTGGAGCTCAATGTGCCATGAGAAGAGCGCATGGAGAAGGTCTTTAAGTGGAAGAGGGAGAGATATGACAGCCCGGTGAGCGACTGCCACAGTCAAGGCTGGAAGGCAAGGTGCATGCCAGTGGATATTCAATTATTGAACATCTCTTGAGCTCTTTATTTAGATCTAGGAGGTTTTATTATTATCAGTTATCATTATCTCTTGCCCCTGTTTAAAGTGTGGAAATACCAGCAAAACTGAAAGTACAGTGCATATTCATAGCTCTTGCTTTGTTTTACACTTTGGTTGCATTTTTAGACAAAGCAATGGAAATCATGAAAATGGTTTGGTTCTGATTCTTGAGGTTAAAACTTTAGTTATTTACCACCCAAGTATCAGGAAAAAGCAAGGCCTTTGTGCATGTGTGAAATTGCCGCAGTAAGCAGGACAGCTTTTAAAATGTGCATGGTTATTCAGTTTATTTTTGCAGCATTAATCAGCATTGTTTCTCTGTCTTACCTGGCGAGTATTACACACAAAGTCTTTGTTCTCATCACCCCAAACCCTTTGGGCTGCCACCACAAAAACCAGGACACGGAACACAAACACCATGGACAGCCAAATTCTTCCAAATGCAGTGGAGTATTTATTGACTCCACTCAACAGACTCTCTAGTCCCGACCAGTTCATCTCTGCTGCTCAACTGATCCAGTTGACAGACAGCTAGACCCTTTAGAGAGGAAAGAAGATGTGTCACATTTTCATTTTTCCAAAGATAGTTTTGATCAGAAATCTGTTGATAGCTGATTAACTCTACAGATAGCCTAAGATACCTTAGCTATCTATTATGATAAAAGTCTGAAATTTGGACTTACTATTGCATAGGGCAACTTACATATTGCGCTATCCAATGGGTGCAAGGCAGTGACATAGATATGTCAGGGGTACATAAAAAAAAATTGTGCCACTAAACTGTGTTTTAATGTAGACCAACAACTTTCGGCTGAGTTGATATCTGAAATGTCGAATTTAGTCGATCAGTCAGGACAGTTAATGGTAATGGAATTATTATTATTTTTTAATTTAGTAAAAAACAAACTGAGGCGTACGTCTGCTGAAATTGTAGTTGCAATGTGGTGACAAAAATGCTTCTTGGAAGTAGCAGTGCCATTTAGGTGCTCTCTTAAGGTCACGTACATAGGAAATAATTTGCAAGAAATAAGAAATAACTAGATGGACTGAAAAAAAAAGAGCATTTCTGTTTACAACACTTCAAGCTGACTTGGCAGTGTTGATAGTTACCAAAATCTTCACACCAGTTTTTCTCTAATCCTTCCTGTTGTTGATTCATAAAAAAAAACATACTGTGGTCATTACCCCTAGCTTTCTGGATTCTCCATTGCTTGCCTGGCCTGCCCCCACCCTAGTAAAAGTCTTGTGCATTATTCCTTTGAAAGGGTAAATTAATAGTTTCAAATACTGGTTTTAATGTAGCTTAGTCCTTACGCTTAGAGAAGCTCAGACAAGCTCTCGTTATCAAGCCAATCTACACATCCTCATATACTCAAGAAAGTCAAAGTTTCCTCTGATTAATAGGACCACTGTGTGTGTTAAATTATCTATTTCATCTAACCATGGCTGTGGTATGGATGGTGATGTAAGAATTATGTCTTTGATTGGACTTGCCAAAGCTTTAAGGAAGCTTGGACTGCACCAGAAGCACTAAAAAAGCGGCAAATGCTCCTGCCATATTCATTTCTGGCACCCATGAAGGTTCCTCTGACAACTATTCCCAAGTTATGATGTTCATGCTTGTTTATTGTTTTTTACAGCTGTCACACAACTTGTTCTGAAAAGTTGAATTTTAAGTAAAAGCCATAACATTACTTAAAATATGCCAATGTCCAGAGGTTTAACCAAAATTCATGTAAACGTGCTGTATGTCATTAAATCTATTTAAAAAAAAGAAAAGAAAAAAACACATTCTTCTCGCTACTCAGTCTTGAATTATCCTATGTTCACACAGATGCTTTGCAGATGTTGTCTGTACATAGTGCACGTGCAAAAAAAAAAAAGAAGAGAAGAAGCGGAAGAGACTAAGCTCTTAGGGCAGGGTAAACACTTTAAACTCTGAAATAACTCCAATGCTACTTGGTTTGACGCTTTCATCTGGATTAAGTTTTAGTCTCAATATATAAAGATATAAACAGTGAGGGGCTTTTTCTCCGCTGTGACTTGAAGATGAAAAACTGGTGGCATTCCATCTGTTTCCATCTTGTTCTTTAAAGTAACCTACAATTACTTTAACTTGTGTCAAAATGAGACATTTCTGGCTCTGCATTTTTAACAACAGTGAAACAGCATAGTTTATAAAAATGAAACGTAAGGAACCTTACCTCCAGCTAAACCCTGGTTGAAAAAAAGTTTCCAGAATTTTCAGACCAAATGGTAAAGATTAACAATTAGCTTTTAAGTTAAGTATAGTAGGTGAAAAATTTTCCATTCTTTTCTCTTCTCGTCTCTACTCCAGCCCTTCCCCTAAGAAATCCTGCTCAACCAGATTCAGCAGCTGCTACGTCATTGCTTACACACGCAGGCACAGAGAGACAGACCAAGAGAGAGAGAGAGAGCGAGCGAGCGAACGAGAGAGAGATATGTTGCAAGCCCTGTCTTGTCTGTGTGCAAAAAACAGAACATTATAACTCTACACTCTGAAACCCATGTCAACAAACACAGTATAAATAAGTAATGAAACAACAAGAAGACAGAATTTCCATCTAAAATGTAAACATACAGACATGTTAAAGTGTGTAGGCTATGTATGTGATTGTTTGAGTTTAGGGAAAAGAGTTTGAGACAGAAAAATGCCACACCCTCTCTTTTGTAAAATGGAGTACATGATTAAAGGGTAGTTCTGATTCCTCCTCCAGAAACCAGAGCATCATACTGTTGATTTCCTGCATCATGGCAGATATCCATTCGAAATCTGTGGGAATTAAGTTAAACATCCATCCATCCATAATTTTTTTTCAAACATTTTTTTCCAGTTTTGGTGGGCTAGAGTCTATCCCAGCTATTATTGGGTGAGACACTGCTATCTATCACTGTGCTGACATGTAGAGACACACAACCATTCACATACACTCACACCTACGGGCAATTCAGAGTGATCAATCAACCTAAGGGGTGTTATAAATGTCTTTTACTTTGATAAGGTTAGATTTTAACTATTCCACTAAACTAATGCAACTTACTGAATGTTTTCATTTAACTCACTGGTTGTTTTCATTGAATCACAACAGTGTGACATCTAGCTTGATGAGGAGGAACCTGATGAGCCACAGGATCTCTTTGTTCTGTTGGACAGGTTGGCTACAGTAGTTACATTCCTCAAGGTCAACAACACACACATATTTCATAGCACATTTTAGTTAGACCGTGTGAATAGTGGTTGGCCTGTTCACGTTGGATATAGCTGGCCAGTGATACTTGGTTGTTTAAGTCCAACCTCTGTCTGGGGCAATCCAAGTTAAATGTGAATTATACCCGGAAATGGGCACTCGTTGTAATGGAGATCCTAAGAGCTCTGTCTTTGCGAGTCCGGCGCTGTACTACCTTACATGTGACCTAAATAAACGTAATATCTGAGAACTGACAATTTCTCTGGTTGTCTTTGAGCAGTCAACCAAAGAACCAATTACATTACAACCATAGGTGGTTATAATGTAATTGAAGAACCTAAATGCAAATAATTACAGTTAAATATTAATTGTGAAGAACTACACGTATGTATGTTTACTCATTTTTTCAAAGTTTCTGTGTTACAATCTGTTTTATTTTGTGTTCTTTAATTTATTTGGATTCTGAAGGTGCTGGTGCTGCCTTCAGGTCTGTGCGCTGTGACTCCAGGACCATCTTTCGGCTGATTTTGGTCCTCTGCTGAGTCGAAACCTTTAAAATCACCAGTAGCCTGGACCTTTTGTGAATGTGCTCCATCCTCTTCAAGGGCCAACCTCACTGAAGTATGCAAACCTCATTAGACCAAAACAGAACGTTTTGACAATGAACAACTTTTCTCAAGGGGAGATTACAGCTAAAGAGCCAAATGTGCAAAGCTGTTGGCTGTGGCAAAACGCATTACTCAGGGGAAGAAAGAATATTTCAGTGGTCTTGCCTTAGAGAAGATGGAAAAGAAGAACCGGAATGTACAGCAACCCTTGTTTAAACAAGAGATCAGACAGAGGAAAAGTATATATATATATATATATACTATATATATATATATGTATATGTATATGTGTATATGTATGTATGTATGTATGTATGTATGTATATATATATATATATATACTATATATATATATATATATATATATATATATATATATATATATATATATATATATATATATATATATATATATATATATATAATTTTTAATCATTATTATTTCCTGCCCTAATGTCCTGTGCCACACTCCAGTCCAATTAGTGGCGGTAATGCGCCACGAAGTTGGTTTGCCAACTGCAGTTAACTAACAAAGAAGAAGAAGAAGCAGCAGTTGTTTTATTTTTGAAGGATTGTGACCGGAAGTCGCATGGTGATCGTGACCATTTCAGCTTTCAGATCAACATGACGAGTCCCTATCACTAGCAACATCTGGATTTCCCTTTGAGTTCTGTTTTTGTAAGTATTTGAAAACAATGTAAGTTGTTTGTGATTTTCATCATGGTAGCAATGTGGTGACAAAGCCATGGTAAAGCGAATGCTTTATGCTCAGAAATGTAATTGTAAACAGCCTGCTGTCAATTCTCGGATCATGCTGTTGACCTGTTTAAACAAGTGCTCGCTTGTAGCGTCTGTAGCGACAGATGGTGTAGCTAATTGGTGTTTGGTGTGGCAAGGTACTTCGCAGTAAGCGATGCACTCTGATTGAAAATAGTGTAGGAACATTTTGACATAAACCAGGCAAGAAAAACAAAATGATATTTTGATGAAATAACTGGCACATGCTGTCATTTATTTGCCGTGAGAAGCACGACAACCATCGCCAGGAAGGTGAAGCTAGTTGGCTGCTTGTCCATCACAACGGTAATTTAACGTTAAAATGTGAACCGTTAATTACAGTTGACGTGATTCGTGTGATTTGTGCTTCTTCCCCATCCTTCTGTGCAGCTTTAGGATGATGAATTTGGCGACACGGTTGCATTTTAAGTTTTTAGTCAGCCTAACAGGTGCAAAATTAGAGCTCTGGTCACTGCAATAGCATTACATTAAGCTAACTTAACACCTTTTTGAAACCTCCTGTTTAATCGTGCGGACAAAGTGTGGGGCTGATCTCCGTGTTAAAATACACAGAGATGAAAAAAAAAGAGCATTCCATAGTGTTTCGATTTTCATATTCATATCACATATTCATCCAGGGTCGTGACGCCAGACTACGTTTGTTGTTTTCCTTGTGTAGCAGGTTAGCAGCAAGCTAGCGGGCCGTTGTCAACCAGGACCCGGAGAAGTAGCATCATCATCAATGGTGTATCTACAAACACGAGCCTTCACATTTTCCCGTGTGTGCTCAATGAACTATTACCTAATCTTTCATCGCAGTAAGTATTTAACCAGCAATATTTTATGTTGTGTCACATGTCTTTTTAATAGGTGTAAAGTGGTAGCTACACGTCATACTTGCGATGTAAACTTTCTTTTAGACCGTACATGTATGGCGTTTGCGAAGCAGGGAGGGGAATTTTGTCAAGCCCAGCACCTGCTGCTAATTGTGGACAAGTGAACTGGAGACACCATCTTAGGCGAATACAGCCATTCACACAGACAGGTGTGTGGAGTGAAATTTTGTTGTTTCATCTAGATTAATGGTTCTCAACTGGTCTCACTCTGGGACCCACATTTTCCCATAGTCCTTAAGCCCATAGTCCCACTTTTATAGAATTCAAATCAAGCAAATGTATGTATTTTTTAATTAAAAAAAAAAAACTTAAAAGACTCTAATCTTTAACATAAATCCACTTGTTTTGTTGAGTAAAGTGCATTTCAGAGCACATGAAGGGCACAACATGAGGATGACAACTACTAAAGTTGCATATACAGAAAATATCAAATATCTAATAAATATCGCATTAAACATTTACTTTTTTGACCAGCTGTTCGTGACCCATCCAGAACGTGTCCACGACCCACTTTTGGGTTGAGAACCACTGATCTAGATTATCACATAATTTTATCACTGTCGTTATTACATAGTGATCACTGAACCAGTGTTAACATTTAATTGTCCACAATGGCATGAAACCTTTTGGCTATGCTTACCAAAATTTAAATGTATATATTCTTTTCTGTCATTATAGGTCCTTACTGTCTCCCTTTTCAACCCATATGAAGACAAGCCAATCTCCAGCCTGTTACATGTCCTGGGGAATAGGGAAGGATTTGATTTAACTATTGAAGTTTTCTTCAGAGCTCTTGTCCTTCTGCTTTTTCTGCCTTCTTTTGCTCAGATATATTGTATGCAGCCCTTTTCTGAATTGGCTAACTGAACTAGGAAATAAGGAGGTTAGTCAAACCATCACATACTTAAACATAAATTCGTGCATATGCATTGGGTTTTAGATTTTCTCCCTTTTTGTTAACAATCAGACACTTTTTACAAAGACAATTTGGACACTCTGCCTGCTACTCCATTCAGTAAAACATAGTTTTTGTGTACTACTATATCCCTTCATTAACAAAACTTTGTAGGTCTCAAAATGAACCGACCAGCTCCAGTGGAGATCTGTTATGACTGTTTGAGGTTCCTCATTACGCATAACCCAACTAATGCGCAACTGGGGAGGTTTATTGAGGTAGCATGCATTTATTAATTTACACCCTTCTGTTATTGTTTAGTTTTTTTATCAGAAAATCACTGTGAAATGCTGTGTTTAAAAGTTTGTTTTGATGTGTAGGATCTAAAGGCATTTGGAGTCAACACACTTGTGAGAGTGTGCACTCCTACTTACGACAAGACACCATTGGAACAAGAAGGCATAAATGTCCTGGTAGGTCATATAGATAGCAGGAAAAATCCACTGAATTGGTCAGCTTATTTATTAACCAACACAGAGTAAAAATAATAACATTCTGAATCTGACACTGTTAATGTTTTTATCATGTAAGTTAGGAGCATAAACTTGATCTAATCGTTATCCAGAAGACCCTTAAGTGGTTTGGATAGGACCATTCCCTTGCAATTGAGGGTAACACGAAATGGAACAGTTAAAATAATCTGCATGTGTTTATATCATCTGTCTACCACTTGGATAATTAAGTGTGAAAACTTGGCTAAACAGTGTCAGATAAAAAAGAAGAGGCGAGTTCTAATTTGAAAGTGTCCAGCAGTTAAAATACTAGCCAGCCCGCCTAAACAAAGAACACCATGTAATAAACGATAACATACAGTATGCAATATATAAAGCAATAAATAAAAGGTTTGGCAATACACCTTTGAGTTTAACCAAAAACCCCTAAAGAAGTCACCGCTAGGGGACTGTTTTACTAACAGAAAATCATCTTGCACAGTTGACACTAACACGTGAGCTGTGTCTCCTCCTGATGGAAGATGACAGCTATTCAGGATTTTATCTACACATAATGTGTATTATTATTCACTTTAGTTGATGAAACCTCCAAATCTTTGTAATTTTACACTCAGGAACATTGTTCTGAAATTGTTGACATATTTTTTCTCACAGAGAATCTTCTTAAAGACATCTCAGAGTGCTCTTTTTATACCTAGTTATGTTGTCAACCTTCATGATATTACCCTAAATTACCAGGATGTTCCTCTATTTCTTTTTAGTGTTATATAATTTTTAAGTATTTTTTATGATTGAGGTTTTGCAATGACTCGTGCTGATTATGCTATTCAAGAGAGATGGTGACAGAATTGCTTCCACTTGTGTGAAGATGCTGACTCATGCTCAGGTTTTAATGTATAATGTTTTATAGAGTGTTTTTAAATAGTGGCGTTGACCCTCTCAATCCAAAATGCAACCACTGATGCTTGGTAATTAAGAATATGTCATTATTGGACTGACCTTTTTACTTTACTGTTAGTGATATGGTTCGACACAAATAGTAGTGTAAAAGAAATGATAAAAACCAATTCCAAATGACTTCATGAAGTTTTATCATTAATATAAGAGGCTTGGAAATTTGATATGGTATAATTTTTGCTCTATATAATTTACAATGGCATTAACCTATTTAATTTGCTGGTTATTGATTGATCAGGTGGCTTGTTTTAAGATTGGTTGACGGTATGCATGCAAATTATGCTCATCGGAGTGTGTATACTCTTACAGCATGTAATAGTAACAAATGCAAGAACAATTGTAACACCGTCTTTCTCTCAGGATTGGCCATTTGAGGATGGTTCTGCCCCCCCAGAACAGGTGGTTGATCATTGGTTGAACCTACTGCAAGTAAAGTTCAGAGAGGAGCCTGGGAGCTGCGTGGCTGTGCACTGTGTAGCTGGATTAGGACGGTCAGTATGCAAAGTCGACCATACATGGTATAGTGTAAATCTCATATAACTTCTGCTACCAAGGTTTTTTGTCAAAAGTAAGTTGTGTTTGATATATTTGATTTTTTAGATGTGGATATCTGTGAAATAAGTCAAATTTATATATTTTTTTGGTGGTCAATTAAAAGATCAAGCCTGCCATTCATAATCGACCTGTGTTTGGTTTGTTGTTATTAATTTTGGATGATTGGACATTGCAAAGCAAAGTCTTTTTATAGCTTAAGATTTTACACAATGAAATGATTGTGCTAAATTCTCAACCAGTGTTGAAAATATGATATATACTGTATCATCTATTTTTAAAGATATTCAAAATGTTTTATTCTCAGCACCAGCACTGTCAGTGAAACTTAAAATGAAATGAATGTATGAACCACCACTGCAGTAAATCTAGCCAGCTAACTGGTTTCAGTGTCTACCCTCTGCTTTATGGCAGTATTAAGAAACCCCCTTGCTGTGAACCAGTTAGTTTATGGCACAATTGTATGCTTATTTAAAGCACAATTTCAAAAGACAGTTGTTGATACTGATATAATGTGACATTCGTATTACTTTTTTAGTGTTTGCACCGTTTGCAAAGACAGATAGCCGTAGAACTGTTTCCCATGGTGGTAGTTTAAAATTTTAATCTCTCTGTTATTTTTCAGAGCTCCTGTGTTGGTGGCCCTGGCTCTAATTGAGTGTGGGATGGAATATGAAGATGCTGTGCATTTCATTAGATTGTAGGTACAAAAGCTGATAGGAAGATTGAATTATGAAAATTTTGCTATGTACCATCCATTTATCTATGTCAAATTTTTCACACCTGTGATCCTCTTTTATTACTATATTGTTTTGAGAATAATGTTGATTTTATGTCATCAGGAAGCGTCGAGGAGCATTCAATTCCAAGCAGCTACTTTACCTGGAAAACTACAAGCCTAAGTTATGCCTGCGCTCCAAAGATGCCAATGGAACGAGCTGCACTATTCAGTAAACACGCCCCACGCATCTTCACTGCAGCCCTATTCTAAATGTTAATCTTTGATGTTCTGTGGAGACATGAAACATTTTGCCTAATTTTTTGTTACACTGCAGTCCTTGACAACTTTTTTAAGCTTTCAAAGTTCTGTACTTCCAGAATTTCCCCAAACTTAAGTTATTATCTTGTGAAAACATAGAGCGTTGATTTAATATTAAAACGATCCTCCAACAGTGGAGGTATTTCAAGTCATTTCCTCTCCTGTGTCTGTTACCTTTCCTCCCAGTTTTGTGGTGATGTTTCACTTATACTATTACAAATGATAGCTTAAAAAGGAAAGAGACCCCACAAAGTAAGTCACCTCCAGTCTGATATTTTCTGGAGGTATCTCTCTTTTTGTGTTACAGATGCAGCAGCTGCAGTCAGTGCTGTGCATCTTAACAAACTAACAAAGTGAAAAACTGTGACATTAGATTAGTGGAAATTATTTTTTTTAGATGGCAAGTAACAGTTACATTTGGATTCTTTTGATATTAAACTATCATGCAATACACTGTGGTTCTGACAGATTTGCTTATTCTTAAATGTTGCAGCCAAAATGTGGCCAAGATATTAAAAGCTTAGAGAAGATCAAAATAAACAATACTTAACTTTTTCTTCTCCAACAAGACTGAATGTTTAGAAATTTTTAGAAACAGTGTCCCCAGTCTTATGCAAATGTGATGTGTTTTAATGATGCAATCCAGAATAGGCCCCTTGTCAGAGACATTGCCCTACATTCAGCTTCTCAAAGAAATGAACTTGTGCTGGCTGTAAATTTTTGAAAATGGACTATGCTTTCTTTCCGCGAGGCAAGAGGGCTAGTATGTTAATATTAATTTGTTTAATATATTTTTTAGATAAAATAACACACTTAAAGTAGTAGTACTGTAGGCCATCGATCAGCAACTGTACTCTTAATGGCTGTTCAGCTGCTGTGATTGCAAGATGCTGCGGTGTTTGTATCATTGTTTTTATTTCTGTAGATTCAATTTTCATTTTCTGTATCTTTTTTTTATCAGTATATACATTTTATTTATTCAGTGATTCTGCTGTATTTTCTGTGAAATGTCTTCTTGAGCAAATCTATTCATGTGCTTGGACAAATAAAGTATTTCTTACAGTTGTGGTTGTTTGCAACAATTCTACTGTGATGGATCTGACAATTTCTTTTCTATAAGTTAATTTTTTATATTTCAGATTCAATTTTTCATTATATTTGCATAAAATAGTGTGAAGTCTCAATCTCAATTCTCTGACCAGGACCGTTATATAAACTTCATTTTTTCTTTCAGTATTTATAAGTTGTAAAGTTGTATAAGTTGTAAATATATATTCTTTTCTGTCATTATAGGTCCTTACTGTCTCCCTTTTCAACCCATATGAAGACAAGCCAATCTCCAGCCTGTTACATGTCCTCAGGAATAGGGAAGGATTTGATTTAACTATTGAAGTTTTCTTCAGAGCTCTTGTCCTGCTTTTTCTGCCTTCTTTTGCTCAGATCTATTGTATGCAGCCCTTTTCTGAATTGGCTAACTGAACTAGGAAATAAACAAGATTAGTCAAACCATCAACTACTTAAACATAAATTCATGCATATGCATTGGGTTTTAGATTTTCTCCCTTTTTGTTAACAATCAGACACTTTTTACAAAGACAATTTGGACACTCTGCCTGCTACTCCATTCAGTAGTTTTTGTGTACTACTATATCCCTTCATTAACAAAACTTTGTAGGTCTCATAACGAACCGACCAGCTCCAGTGGAGATCTGTTATGACTGTTGGAGGTTCCTCATTACGCATAACCCAACTAATGCGCAACTGGGGAGGTTTATTGAGGTAGCATGCATTTATTAATTTACACCCTTCTGTTATTGTTTTGTTTTTTTATCAGAAAATCACGGTAAAATGCTGTGTTTAAAAGTTTGTTTTGATGTGTAGGATCTAAAGGCATTTGGAGTCAACACACTTGTGAGAGTGTGCACTCCTACTTACGACAAGACACCATTGGAACAAGAAGGCATAAATGTCCTGGTAGGTCATATAGATAGCAGGAAAAATCCACTGAATTGGTCAGCTTATTTATTAACCAACACAGAGTAAAAATAATAACATTCTGAATCTGACACTGTTAATGTTTTTATCATGTAAGTTGGGAGCATAAACTTGATCTAATCGTTATCCAGAAGACCCTTAAAAGGTTTGGATAGGACCATTCCCTTGCAATTGAGGGTAACACTAAATGGAACAGTTAAAATAATCTGCATGTGTTTATATCATCTGTCTACCACTTGGATAATTAAGTGTGAAAACTTGGCTAAACAGTGTCAGATAAAAAAGAAGAGGCGAGTTCTAATTTGAAAGTGTCCAGCAGTTAAAATACTAGCCAGCCCGCCTAAACAAAGAACACCATGTAATAAACGATAACATACAGTATGCAATATATAAAGCAATAAATAAAAAGTTTGGCAATACACATTTGAGTTTGACCAAAAACCCCTAAAGAAGTCACCACTAGGGGACTGTTTTACTAACAGAAAATCATCTTGCACAGTTGACACTAACACGTGAGCTGTGTCTCCTCCTGATGGAAGATGACAGCTATTCAGGATTTTATCTACACATAATGTGTATTATTATTCACTTTAGTTGATGAAACCTCCAAATCTTTGTAATTTTACACTCAGGAACATTGTTCTGAAATTGTTGACATATTTTTTCTCACAGAGAATCTTCTTAAAGACATCTCAGAGTGCTCTTTTTATACCTAGTTATGTTGTCAACCTTCATGATATTACCCTAAATTACCAGGATGTTCCTCTATTTCTTTTTAGTGTTATATAATTTTTTAAGTATTTTTTATGATTGAGGTTTTGCAATGACTCGTGCTGATTTTGCTATTCAAGAGAGATGGTGACAGAATTGCTTCCACTTGTGTGAAGATGCTGACTCATGCTCAGGTTTTAATGTATAATGTTTTATAGAGTGTTTTTAAATAGTGGCATTGACCCTCTCAATCCAAAATGCAACCACTGATACTTGGTAATTAAGAATATGTCATTATTGGACTGACCTTTTTACTTTACTGTTAGTGATGTGGTTCGACACAAATAGTAGTGTAAAAGAAATGATAAAAACCAATTCCAAATGACTTCATGAAGTTTTATCATTAATATAAGAGGCTAATATGGTATAATTTTTGCTCTATATAATTTACAATGGCATTAACCTGCTTAATTTGCTGGTTATTGATTGATCAGGTGGCTTGTTTTAAGATTGATTGACGGTATGCATGCACATTATGCTCATCGGAGTGTGTATACTCTTACAGCATGTAATAGTAACAAATGCAAGAACAATTGTAACACCGTCTTTCTCTCAGGATTGGCCATTTGAGGATGGTTCTGGCCCCCCAGAACAGGTGGTTGATGATTGGTTGAACCTACTGCAAGTAAAGTTCAGAGAGGAGCCTGGGAGCTGCGTGGCTGTGCACTGTGTAGCTGGATTAGGACGGTCAGTATGCAAAGTCGACCATACATGGTATAGTGTAAATCTCATATAACTTCTGCTACCAAGGTTTTTTACCAAAAGTAAGTTGTGTTTGATATATTTGATTTTTTAGAGGTGGGTTTCTGTGAAATAAGTCAAATTTATATAATTTTTGGTGGTCAATTAAAAGATCAAGCCTGCCATTCATAATCGACCTGTGTTTGGTTTGTTGTTATTAATTTTGGATGATTGGACATTGCAAAGCATAGTCTTTTTATAGCTTAAGATTTTACACAATGAAATGATTGTGCTAAATTCTCAACCAGTGTTGAAAATATGATATATACTGTATCATCTATTTTTAAAGATATTCAAAATGTTTTATTCTCAGCACCAGCACTGTCAGTGAAACTTAAAATGAAATGAATGTATGAACCACCACTGCAGTAAATCTAGCCAGCTAACTGGTTTCAGTGTCTACCCTCTGCTTTATGGCAGTATTAAGAAACCCCCTTGCTGTGAACCAGTTAGTTTATGGCACAGTTGTATGCTTATTTAAAGCACAATTTCAAAAGACAGTTGTTGATACTGATATAATGTGACATTCGTATTACTTTTTTAGTGTTTGCACTGTTTGCAAGGACAGATAGCCATAGAACTGTTTCCCATGGTGGTAGTTTAAAATTTTAATCTCTCTGTTATTTTTCAGATCTCCTGTGTTGGTGGCCCTGGCTCTAATTGAGTGTGGGATGAAATATGAAGATGCTGTGCATTTCATTAGATTGTAGGTACAAAAGCTGATAGGAAGATTGAATTGTGAAAATTTTGCTATGTACCATCCATTTATCTATGTCAAATTTTTCACACCTGTGATCCTCTTTTATTACTATATTGTTTTGAGAATAATGTTGATTTTATGTCATCAGGAAGCGTTGAGGAGCATTCAATTCCAAGCAGCTACTTTACCTGAAAAACTACAAGCCTAAGTTATGCCTGCGCTCCAAAGATGCCAATGGAACGAGCTGCACTATTCAGTAAACATGCCCCACGCATCTTCACTGCAGCCCTATTCTAAATGTTAATCTTTGATGTTCTGTGGAGACATGAAACATTTTGCCTAATTTTTTGTTACACTGCAGTCCTTGACAACTTTTTTAAGCTTTCAAAGTTCTGTACTTCCAGAATTTCCCCAAACTTAAGTTATTATCTTGTGAAAACATAGAGCGTTAATTTAATATTAAAACGATCCTCCAACAGTGGAGGTATTTCAAGTCATTTCCTCTCCTGTGTCTGTTACCTTTCCTCCCAGTTTTGTGGTGATGTTTCACTTATACTATTACAAATGATAGCTTAAAAAGGAAAGAGACCCCACAAAGTAAGTCACCTCCAGTCTGATATTTTCTAGAGGTATCTCTCTTTTTGTGTTGCAGATGCAGCAGCTGCAGTCAGTGCTGTGCATCTTAACAAACTAACAAAGTGAAAAACTGTGACATTAGATTAGTGGAAATTATTTTTTTTAGATGGCAAGTAACAGTCACATTTGGATTCTTTTGATATTAAACTATCATGCAATACACTGTGGTTCTGACAGATTTGCTTATTCTTAAATGTTGCAGCCAAAATGTGGCCAAGATATTAAAAGCTTAGAGAAGATCAAAATAAACAATACTTAACTTTTTCTTCTCCAACAAGACTGAATGTTTAGAAATTTTTAGAAACAGTGTCCCCAGTCTTATGCAAATGTGATGTGTTTTAATGATGCAATCCAGAATAGGCCCCTTGTCAGAGACATTGCCCTACATTCAGCTTCTCAAAGAAATGAACTTGTGCTGGCTGTAAATTTTTGAAAATGGACTATGCTTTCCGCGAGGCAAGAGGGCTAGTATGTTAATATTAATTTGTTTAATATATTTTTTAGATAAAATAACACACTTAAAGTAGTAGTACTGTAGGCCATCGATCAGCAACTGTACTCTTAATGGCTGTTCAGCTGCTGTGATTGCAAGATGCTGCGGTGTTTGTATCATTGTTTTTATTTCTGTAGATTAAATTTTCATTTTCTGTATCTTTTTTTTATCAGTATATACATTTTATTTATTCAGTGATTCTGCTGTATTTTCTGTGAAATGTCTTCTTGAGCAAATCTATTCATGTGCTTGGACAAATAAAGTATTTCTTACAGTTGTGGTTGTTTGCAACAATTCTACTGTGATGGATCTGACAATTTATTTTCTATAAGTTAATTTTTTATATTTCAGATTCAATTTTTCATTATATTTGCATAAAATAGTGTGAAGTCTCAATCTCAATTCTCTGACCAGGACCGTTATATAAACTTCATTTTTTCTTTCAGTATTTATAAGTTGTAAAGTTGTATAAGTTGTAAATATATATTCTTTTCTGTCATTATAGGTCCTTACTGTCTCCCTTTTCAACCCATATGAAGACAAGCCAATCTCCAGCCTGTTACATGTCCTCAGGAATAGGGAAGGATTTGATTTAACTATTGAAGTTTTCTTCAGAGCTCTTGTCCTTCTGCTTTTTCTGCCTTCTTTTGCTCAGATCTATTGTATGCAGCCCTTTTCTGAATTGGCTAACTGAACTAGGAAATAAACAAGATTAGTCAAACCATCAACTACTTAAACATAAATTCATGCATATGCATTGGGTTTTAGATTTTCTCCCTTTTTGTTAACAATCAGACACTTTTTACAAAGACAATTTGGACACTCTGCCTGCTACTCCATTCAGTAGTTTTTGTGTACTAATATATCCCTTCATTAACAAAACTTTGTAGGTCTCAAAACGAACCAACCAGCTCCAGTGGAGATCTGTTATGACTGTTGGAGGTTCCTCATTACGCATAACCCAACTAATGCGCAACTGGGGAGGTTTATTGAGGTAGCATGCATTTATTAATTTACACCCTTCTGTTATTGTTTTGTTTTTTTTATCAGAAAATCACGGTAAAATGCTGTGTTTAAAAGTTTGTTTTGATGTGTAGGATCTAAAGGCATTTGGAGTCAACACACTTGTGAGAGTGTGCTCTCCTACTTACGATAAGACACCAGTGGAACAAGAAGGCATAAATGTCCTGGTAGGTCATATAGATAGCAGGAAAAATCCACTGAATTGGTCTGCTTATTTATTAACCAACACAGAGTAAAAATAATAACATTCTGAATCTGACACTGTTAATGTTTTTATCATGTAAGTTGGGAGCATAAACTTGATCTAATCGTTATCCAGAAGACCCTTAAAAGGTTTGGATAGGACCATTCCCTTGCAATTGAGGGTAACACTAAATGGAACAGTTAAAATAATCTGCATGTGTTTATATCATCTGTCTACCACTTGGATAATTAAGTGTGAAAACTTGGCTAAACAGTGTCAGATAAAAAAGAAGAGGCGAGTTCTAATTTGAAAGTGTCCAGCAGTTAAAATACTAGCCAGCCCGCCTAAACAAAGAACACCATGTAATAAACGATAACATACAGTATGCAATATATAAAGCAATAAATAAAAAGTTTGGCAATACACATTTGAGTTTGACCAAAAACCCCTAAGGAAGTCACCGCTAGGGGACTGTTTTACTAACAGAAAATCATCTTGCACAGTTGACACTAACACGTGAGCTGTGTCTCCTCCTGATGGAAGATGACAGCTATTCAGGATTTTATCTACACATAATGTGTATTATTATTCACTTTAGTTGATGAAACCTCCAAATCTTTGTAATTTTACACTCAGGAACATTGTTCTGAAATTGTTGACATATTTTTTCTCACTGAGAATCTTCTTAAAGACATCTCAGAGTGCTCTTTTTATACCTAGTTATGTTGTCAACCTTCATGATATTACCCTAAATTACCAGGATGTTCCTCTATTTCTTTTTAGTGTTATATAATTTTTTAAGTATTTTTTATGATTGAGGTTTTGCAATGACTCGTGCTGATTTTGCTATTCAAGAGAGATGGTGACAGAATTGCTTCCACTTGTGTGAAGATGCTGACTCATGCTCAGGTTTTAATGTATAATGTTTTATAGAGTGTTTTTAAATAGTGGCATTGACCCTCTCAATCCAAAATGCAACCACTGATACTTGGTAATTAAGAATATGTCATTACTGGACTGACCTTTTTACTTTACTGTTAGTGATGTGGTTCGACACAAATAGTAGTGTAAAAGAAATGATAAAAACCAATTCCAAATGACTTCATGAAGTTTTATCATTAATATAAGAGGCTAATATGGTATAATTTTTGCTCTATATAATTTACAATGGCATTAACCTGCTTAATTTGCTGGTTATTGATTGATCAGGTGGCTTGTTTTAAGATTGATTGACGGTATGCATGCACATTATGCTCATCGGAGTGTGTATACTCTTACAGCATGTAATAGTAACAAATGCAAGAACAATTGTAACACCGTCTTTCTCTCAGGATTGGCCATTTGAGGATGGTTCTGGCCCCCCAGAACAGGTGGTTGATGATTGGTTGAACCTACTGCAAGTAAAGTTCAGAGAGGAGCCTGGGAGCTGCGTGGCTGTGCACTGTGTAGCTGGATTAGGACGGTCAGTATGCAAAGTTGACCATACATGGTATAGTATAAATCTCATATAACTTCTGCTACCAAGGTTTTTTATCAAAAGTAAGTTGTGTTTGATATATTTGATTTTTTAGATGTGGGTTTCTGTGAAATAAGTCAAATTTATATATTTTTTTGGTGGTCAATTAAAAGATCAAGCCTGCCATTCATAATCGACCTGTGTTTGGTTTGTTGTTATTAATTTTGGATGATTGGACATTGCAAAGCATAGTCTTTTTATAGCTTAAGATTTTACACAATGAAATAATTGTGCTAAATTCTCAACCAGTGTTGAAAATATGATATATACTGTATCATCTATTTTTAAAGATATTCAAAATGTTTTATTCTCAGCACCAGCACTGTCAGTGAAACTTAAAATGAAATGAATGTATGAACCACCACTGCAGTAAATCTAGCCAGCTAACTGGTTTCAGTGTCTACCCTCTGCTTTATGGCAGTATTAAGAAACCCCCTTGCTGTGAACCAGTTAGTTTATGGCACAGTTGTATGCTTATCTAAAGCACAATTTCAAAAGACAGTTGTTGATACTGATATAATATGACATTCGTATTACTTTTTTAGTGTTTGCACCGTTTGCAAGGACAGATAGCCGTAGAACTGTTTCCCATGGTGGTAGTTTAAAATTTTAATCTCTCTGTTATTTTTCAGAGCTCCTGTGTTGGTGGCCCTGGCTCTAATTGAGTGTGGGATGAAATATGAAGATGCTGTGCATTTCATTAGATTGTAGGTACAAAAGCTGATAGGAAGATTGAATTATGAAAATTTCGCTATGTACCATCCATTTATCTATGTCAAATTTTTCACACCTGTGATCCTCTTTTATTACTATATTGTTTTGAGAATAATGTTGATTTTATGTCATCAGGAAGCGTCGAGGAGCATTCAATTCCAAGCAGCTACTTTACCTGGAAAACTACAAGCCTAAGTTATGCCTGCGCTCCAAAGATGCCAATGGACAGTGCTGCTCTATTCTGTAAACACCTGTCGCCCCACGCATCTTCACTGCAGCCCTATTTGAAATGTTAATCTTTGATGTTCTGTGGAGACATGAAACATTTTGCCTCATTTTTTGTTACACTGCAGTCCTTGACAACTTTTTTAAGCTTTCAAAGTTCTGTACTTCCAGAATTTCCCCAAACTTAAGTTATTATCTTGTGAAAACATAGAGCGTTAATTTAATATTAAAACGATCCTCCAACAGTGGAGGTATTTCAAGTCATTTCCTCTCCTGTGTCTGTTACCTTTCCTCCCAGTTTTGTGGTGATGTTTCACTGATACTATTACAAATGATAGCTTAAAAAGGAAAGAGACCCCACAAAGTAAGTCACCTCCAGTCTGATATTTTCTAGAGGTATCTCTCTTTTTGTGTTACAGATGCAGCAGCTGCAGTCAGTGCTGTGCATCTTAACAAACTAACAAAGTGAAAAACTGTGACATTAGATTAGTGGAAATTATTATTTTTTTTTAGATGGCAAGTAACAGTCACATTTGGATTCTTTTGATATTAAACTATCATGCAATACACTGTGGTTCTGACAGATTTGCTTATTCTTAAATGTTGCAGCCAAAATGTGGCCAAGATATTAAAAGCTTAGAGAAGATCAAAATAAACAATACTTAACTTTTTCTTCTCCAACAAGACTGAATGTTTAGAAATTTTTAGAAACAGTGTCCCCAGTCTTATGCAAATGTGATGTGTTTTAATGATGCAATCCAGAATAGGCCCCTTGTCAGAGACATTGCCCTACATTCAGCTTCTCAAAGAAATGAACTTGTGCTGGCTGTAAATTTTTGAAAATGGACTATGCTTTCCACGAGGCAAGAGGGCTAGTATGTTAATATTAATTTGTTTAATATATTTTTTAGATAAAATAACACACTTAAAGTAGTAGTACTGTAGGCCATCGATCAGCAACTATACTCTTAATGGCTGTTCAGCTGCTGTGATTGCAAGATGCTGCGGTGTTTGTATCATTGTTTTTATTTCTGTAGATTAAATTTTCATTTTCTGTATCTTTTTTTTATCAGTATATACATTTTATTTATTCAATGATTCTGCTGTATTTTCTGTGAAATGTCTTCTTGAGCAAATCTATTCAGATGCTTGGACAAATAAAGTATTTCTTACAGTTGTGGTTGTTTGCAACAATTCTACTTTGATGGATCTGAAAATTTATTTTCTATAAGTTAAGCTTTTATATTTCAGATTCAATTTTTCATTATATTTGCATAAAATAATGTGAAGTCTCAATCTCAATTCTCTGACCAGGACCGTTATATAAACTTCATTTTTTCTTTCAGTATTTATAAGTTGTAAATGAAGTTGCTCATACTGTCAGGCGGCAGGTAAACTTCAGTTCAAGGTGACTTTCATTACATTGCAGCTGCCCAGCATGATGTTGAGTCTAATGTGACCTCTGTGATACTGCATAACTGGTCATCCTGAAAGACTGGCAGCATTACATGTATCAGATGGATGATATTAAATTGATTGGTCGAAGTGACTGAGCGTAGAAAACAGTCACATGAATTAACTTTATACGGAAAGCATATAAATACAGTGCATGTAAATGTTATGCAAGTAAGGCCAAGTTCTCATACTTATAAACTTATATATACTTACATATAAACTGGAAGTAAAGTATAAATAAAGATTGGGAACTGTAAATAATTACTTGTCAGAAGCAGTCACTGATACAGAAGTCACACTATACTGATTAATAGAGATGATAATGCAATATTCACTCATTTGCCATCTAGTTTAGCGGTTCTACGTGTAGAATGCATGGTAATTGTGTTACATTGAACACTTTGATAACTAAAATCCCTTTTTATGGGATTATGTTTTTACGTCAGCATTGATTGTTGTGCCAGATCTTTGCCTCTAGCTTGGACACAGAACAGTTAACCCTGCCGAGCTTTGAGTAATAGCGGAAAAACATCATTAAAAATGGTGCTCTAATGTAAGATCATGGACCAACAGGCTGGCTGAACTTAACAAGCAAACATCTAATAAGGAGATAGAGGTGAAGACAAAACTATTTGTATACTGCACTGATCCATGTTATATCAAACTGTCTGAGTACTAAGTTCCTTCAGAACAGGTGACTCATAAAATGTTTACAACAAAATCACAACTGACTCTTAAGCAACACTGTCATGGCAAAATTAGTCACATATTTACATCAAAGAAACAGATTATTTAAGGTTAAGTCAGGGTACAGTTGTACCATGTTTGGTAAAGACATACCCCTCTTTGTATTTTGTGATATAGTATCACAAACCTAAAGAAAAAAAAATAATACAATACTAGACACAAAACAAACTGCAAACCTTTCCAAAATAAATCTGTGCCAAAGTCAAGACAGACTTTTTACAAAAAGGTTGCTTTAATGGTCAGCTGGTATGAGCAAAACAAAACAACAACAACAACAAGAAAAATTCTTATATACAGTGATGAGTTTGAAGATTTGTAATAACAGATGTGTGAGTGACATTTTAAAACTATTTAAGGACCCATTATCACCTTTGAAATGAAACGTATAACATTACAATGGCACTGCTATTGATCCATAATACCAACTTGTGACTGCTTTTGGTTGTATTACATTTCTTTTTTATTTGTTTCTTTTTTTTTTTTTTTTACTTCAGTACAACCCTGCTGAAGTGTTTAACTATTTGAGACCAACACAAACCATTTAGCTCTTTAGCTTTCATCTCAACTCTGTAGCCTCTTGCTGAAGTTCACCTCGGCACAATGTGGAGCGTTTCTTGGCTGGCTGCTGCTGCGATTTGCTGCCTCGATGTTCTTCACAGAGATTGGGAAGGAATAGAATAGAATAGAACCAGAAGAAAAAAAAAAAAGTGGATAAGGCTAAGTCATTGTTCTTTACATGATAAAAAAGAGGTAAAACTTGAGTTAGGTTATCAAGAACAAGTCAAGCAGTTTAAATCATTTTATTATCCTGTCACTTTTTTTTCTGTGTTTAAATGGTGTTATATAGAAAAGTGTAGACCTTGAAGATGTGTTACTAGGTAGATCTGCTCATGAGTCAAGCTTTTTACCCACGGCAGTGTTATCTGACAAGGAACAACAGACTATCGAGTAAGTTTTTCTTGAAACCCTAATGACAGATTATGTAAGTACAATATCAAAACTCACTCCGTAGATTTCTGGACTCATCTTCATACAGTAAACTTATCCTTCCATATGACCTGAAAACGTCAATAAACAGGCCATCTCTGTTGAGGAATTATGCTACATTTTTTAACCAAGAGGCAAAACTAGACAGAATGGCCACATGATAAACCTCAACAATTTCTGTCTACTCCCCCTGCTGCTCTGAGCTCACTCAGACTTCACCCCAATATCATCATGAATGTTTGTAGGAATTATTCAGGGTAAAGTCAGGGTAGAAAAAGTTGGCTGTTTGTGTTCACATACAGCCCATCCAGGTAATTTTGAGAAATTTTCAGCAAGTTTGTGCATGTATGAAAGAGATACTCTTGACAAGGCCCACAATCATTTTCTTGCAGGACCACCATTCACAGAGCTGAAAGGGCAACACTTTCTTTCTTGCAACAGTAGAGATAGAAAATTTTGACATGCTGACAAGCTGGCTTCTTTCATTAAAATTTTCATAGTCTAACTTCTTAACTTTTAAACATATAATCTATATGATGTTCAAAAGTGAAGAAAAAAAAAAGAATCCCGCTGCAACTAAAAAAAGAAATGGTACAGATAAAAAAAAAAAAAGCCACAACAGAAGTTAACGATGCAAAAAAAAAGTGGCGATGGGAAAAAAAAAGTAACTAACCACTTTTCAATGTGCCATTTGTTTAGGCCGTGTAGCGCCTGAGTCAATATGAAGTTAAACTGGAGGATGCCAGTGTAGTGTTAGCTTCAGTTCATCTTCAAATCCACTCAGGCGCTACACGGCCTAAACAAATTATACATTGAAGAGCAGACGAAGCGAAATTAAACAATAACCTTTCCACTTTCTTCTTTGCTCATCTTTTTGCGGTCGTCTTCTGTGCCGAGATCATCATTATTGGTGCCCGGCAGCTCACTTCCGTTGTGTGTTTTTTTTTTAATGCATCCTTTTATTTTTGCAGTAAGGAATCCCCCCCCCCTTGTATGGCCACTCTTTTTGCGTTGTTAATTTGCAATATGTTTTTTAAAATATTTTTTTATTATTATTATTATTTTCTTTTGCTTTTTTAAAATTTGCAGCATTGAGGTTCTTTTTTTTTTTTTGCATTCTTTTTAATTTTAGCAGTGGCAGTTTTCAGCCACCGTACAATGTCACCAGGACAATGCATTCTCAAACACTGTGTAGCCCTTTTTTTGTAATAATAATAACGAAATTCAAATATTATTATTTATACTGTGAGCTGTAGACTTGCTACATACAATATTTACTATGAAAGCTTTTAGGCAGGGCTATACCATTACGTAAACCCCCTCCTCGTTGCCATAGCAGTGGGACGATCCCCACCTACACCACCCGCTTTGGTAGATACCAAAATAAAACATCATGGCGATTGATGGTAAGTGGGTCGATTACGTCTCTTGGTGTCTGCTTAACTTGAGCTTGTAATAAGACGTGATTTTTGTAACACACATACGCGTGACATCAAGTGAATGGTGTTTTCTTTGGCTTGAAACAGTGATCGTTTTTGTTTTTTTCCAATCAAGTGGGTTTTTTCCTGAGAGAGTGGAGGAGCCAGCTGCTGTAAGCGACATTTGCACTGTCTCTAACGACGGTATACAGAAAGTAGCTCCTATATTTGATCTATTTTTCGACGCTCAGAACAGTGTGGCTGATTGCTGCTTACATTACCGTAAAATCAACATAACTCCCATTTCGGAGTACTCGGTAAAGATGACTGTCAGTTGTATATCCTCGATGCGTTTTCATAGTTAAAATCTTCTGGTGAAATAGAGGCCACAGAAAGGGTGTGTGGTTTCATTGAGTTGATGTATCCTAATGTGAAGGCAGTATTTGAAACCAACTTTAGAAAGCTGTCATTTTGGTTTTGGAATAACATAATGAAGGTTGCATTTATTTTGAAATTGCGAATTACACCTGATATCTTGGCTTGTTTCAACAGCCATAATTTCATGTCACCAGCCTAATGAACAGGTATGATTGGACTTGTTCCCTGTTTAAAAGAAAAAAAAAATTCCGTTAAAGAAACAAAAAAATGACCTGGGTGCAACTGCAGTGACCTGCAACAGTAATGTAAAATAGCATGGGTATTATGGGTTCCGCACATGCAGTGCCGGCCCAAGCCTCCACGGGGCCCAAAGCAAAATTTGATTTGGAGGCCCTCTATTTCTGCAAATAATATTGATTGTTGATGATTGGGGGCCCTCTAGTGGCTGCAGGGCCCTAAGCAGGCACTTAGTTTGCTAATGCCTTGGGCTTAAATGTGGGGTGGGCAGGATCTGAGGAAGTGCCAATTTTCAGGAGAAATCTTGAATGTAAACACTACCCCTCCCAACCAGTTTTCCCCTCAGCTCCTCCTCTCCCCTCCCTCTCTGCTCCAGCAAGCCCCGCCCACAAACAGATGCTCCTGCTCGGTCGTATTGTTTCAATTAAATTCTGATATAATGCAGAAAAATACTTAAGATACTTAAGTCAACGTGAAAGTAAACAGCATTGGTGCTACTGTAGATGCCAACGCAACCAGCAAACACAATGTTTGCAGGATTTCTAAATAAAGTAACATACTCCAGGACCTGAGGTAAACAGTTTAGCGGCACTACAACATGCAGCAGGTCTCGTTTGACAAGAAACACTTCTGTTACAGACACTTGGCTTACTTTGTTAAAGAGGTTTACCTGTCCAGCAGAAGGTTACAGGGTCTGTAAGATCCCGAAGCCTCCCCCAGCGTTTGACCCGGCTTCTTAGCTCTTGTCCCGGTGGTCCACCTCCTTTTTAAGTGCCCGTTATTCCGCCAGAGTCTCCAGTATTTACTTCGTTTTATTGGTTGTGTCGGCAGTCATGGCCAACGGAGGATTCAGCCTTTTTTCATGCTTTCTGGTTGGTTTCTGCTGTCCGATATTGTAGCACGCTAATTTTATTTGGGCTCGTGAATGACACGGGGGAACAGCGTCTGCCTCACAACCAATCAGCACTAAGAAGCAGCGTCCGCCTCACAACCAATCAGGCTGAGGGAGGCGGAGAATGGCTTTGTTTACAGCAGGGGTGTCAAACTCATTTTGGTCTGGGGGCCACATACATCTTAATCTGATCTTAAGGGGGCCAGGCCAGTAAATTTGTTGCAAAATTGCATAGAACTAACAATAAGTCTACTTTTTTCTTTGTATTAGTGCAAAGAAGAAGTAAATTATAAAAATCTTAATATTAAATGAATTTCCCTTTTACTAAATATATTATGAACAACCTAAGAATTAAAAAAAATATATATATGTGCAATTTCAACAACACTTTTACTCAGTTTAACATTCATTTAAGTGCATTATGTATACAAACTGGTAACAGTGATTGTACAATGTTGCAAAACATTTAGTCACAGTTTTGTGGACTTAAAAACACTGTCCTTTCCACATCTGGGAAGCAATTTGAACAAATGAATTGCCTCCACATATTTGAAATCTTAAGTGGCAGCTGTTTAAAACAGACATTTGATAAAGTAAATTTGTCTCCTTCCTTGTTAATGCATAAAATATATACATATTAAAAAAACCTCACATACATAACATATATGGCATGCATAAGAAATATTTTATTCAACAAAACTCTTCTGTTGTAAATCTGTTACTGAATAGCACTGACTTTCACAGCAATTACTACAGCAAATATTCACAGCTGTTTATTTTTATAGTGCAACGTTGAAAGCAGCATTCCATAGGATTCAGTTTTGCTCAGTATTTGCCCCTGAAACTTGGCATCTTTTAGCCTTCACAAGTGCATCAATATCAGGCATCATGTCTTGAGTAGCAGCCAATTTCAGAATCTCATGTAAGTGCTTATGTGAGAGCTTTGAGCGCAGCTTCGTTTTATTAATGTTCATTAGTGAGAAAACTTGCTCACAAAGGTAGGTAGTCCCAAACATGGACAACATTTTTGCAGCCAGTGCTGTCAATTTAGGGTAGCCTGGTAGGAGGTACTTGTAAAATGTGTCCAAGCCCACAGAGGCAAATTTGTCCTTCAATTCTACATCACACTGCAAATCAATGATTTCAAGTTGCATGTCAACTGGCACATCAGAAGCTCTGACTGTGAATAGTGAGCGAAAAACTGCGAATTCTGTCTCGAGTTCGCTAAAGACTTGAAATCGTTTCTCAAACTCCCTCAGCAACCCTGAAATCTTGTCTTTGTACTGTTTCATGTCAGGATTAACGCTTGCTGCGCACACATCTCTTAGACAGGGGAAATGAACAGGGTCACCGCTTGCCATCTGCGTCTCCCATAGCGCGAGCTTTAACTTGAATGCACGTATGCTGTCATAATACTGTATTATAATTTTTTTGCGTCCTTGCAACATTTTGTTAAGATTATTCAAGTGCTCTGTGATGTCAACCATAAACGCAAGGTCCTGCAGCCATAGTGGGCACTGTAATTCCTTAACAGGTTTACCTTTTTTATCCATGAATTGTCCGATTTCCCCACGTAGATCAAAGAAGCGCTTCAGCACAGCACCTCTGCTTAACCACCTTACTTCTGTGTGGTATGGCACACCATGAGTAATGTTACAGTCACTGAGAAGGCTGTCGAACTGACGATGATTGAGACCTCTGGTTCGGATGAAATTAACAGTCCGGACAACCACCTCCATAACGTGATCCATTTTTAAGGACTTGCAGCATAATGCCTCCTGATGCAAAATGCAATGAAATGTCCAAAAGTCTCCCCCTCCATTTGTGGCTTTTACTTTTTCCCTGAACTTTGTCACAACACCTGCCTTTTTACCGATCATTGACGGCGCACCATCAGTAGCCAGGCTTACAGCGCGAGACCAGTCCGCCCCGACTTTGTCCAGCGCTCCAACGACGGATCGGAAAATGTCCTCAGCTGTGGTGGTGTTGGTCATAGGCACCAACTCGAGAAATTCCTCTGTGACAGTCAAAGTCTCGTCCACTCCACGAATGAATATGGCTAGTTGAGCCACGTCCGTAATATCAGTACTCTCATCAATTGCAACAGAAAATGCCAGAAAAGACTCCGCTTTGCGTTTCAGTTGGCTGTCCAAATCTGCCGATAGTTCTGAAATCCGGTCTGCCACGGTATTTCTCGTTAAGCTAATATTGGCAAAAGCTTGTCGCTTCTCAGGACACACAATTTCGGCAGCCTTCAGCATGCAGTTTTTGACAAACTCTCCTTCACAGTACGGCTTTGACGCTAATGCTATTTGGCTAGCAATTAGGTAGCTGGCTTTCACCGCTGCATCACTGACCTCACGGCTCCGCGTGAAAACAGATTGCTGTTTTCTCAGACCCACCAACATTTCATTAACCTTCTGTTTTCTCAGTTCTCCGTGCAAGCTGTTATATTTTTCACCATGCTGAGTTTCATAGTGGCGCCGAATATTGTATTCCTTAAGCACCGAAACTTGTTGTTGGCACACCAGGCACACGGGTTTCCCATTCACCTCGGTGAACATATAAGAAGAGGTCCATTTTTCTTGAAAAATCCGACACTCGGTGTCTACTTTTCTCCTTTTTGACAAAGACATTTCGCTGATGAGGGTACTAGCGCCAACAGAAAAAGCGGGTAATGCGATGCTTACAGACCGTGAAGTTCAGTCAGCAGATGGTAATCTGCTCTTAGTTCTGCTCTGACAAAAACATAGCGCCCCTAGTGGACAATATAGGAACTGCAGATTTGAACGAAAATGAAGTTCATTCTTTTTTTTATATTATGCAGATTTATCCCTCGGGGCTCGGGCAGTACTGAATCCCCAGGCGGGCCGGTTCCGGCCCGCGGGCCGTATGTTTGACACCCCTGGTTTACAGTCAGAAAGAGCGGGCTGCTCAAAAAATTAAAATGTTGACTACACAAACATAAAAAAACACAGTGATATCGTTATATTACCAAATCATCAATAACTAATAGCTATTGACTGGTATTAAAAGCTTTTTTGTGTACACAGCACAAAAAGATGGTTCTTTAACAGAATCCTGTCTACCCCACCTTTAATGTTAATAGATTATGATTTTTATGTCTTGTAATTAGCCATGCCAAGACATTTCCAATATGTTTCAGGTGGTCTCCTTTAACATATCATCTTGCGAGTTCAGAAAATCATTCAAACTAGTCACATTGATAGACTAGTGCATGCAATAAACAATCAGGTGCACTTCGCTTGATTCAAACTGTGCTATTTTTTTTTATATGTATAAGATTCTGCCACTAGTAATTGTGAACACGCTTGCAGTGCTTTTGCACCATTTTACTCCATTTACCTTTGGATATATATTAATGTTAACAGACCATTGCTAAATATATGTCAGCAAAAGATAATAAGGGCTTAGTTTTAGGGTTGAAAACATTTGCAAGAGTCACAACTTTAGTGCAAAAGCAAAAAAACAAATCACAGTTGGATTATTCACTTCAACTTTTTGGCTTTTGAGAGTCTGCATACAAAAATCCTAATAAATCTCAACTGCGTTCAAACTACCACAAAAATGGCTAGAAAGAAGCAACTGAGTAAAGAAACAAAAGTACAGATTTGTACATTGAGGAAAGAAGGGTACACAGAAAGAGGTGTTTAAATAAGGACTCCACTACACTCTGAAGAGACTAGAGGAACCTGGAAGTTATGATGATGGAAAAAGACCTGGACAAAAGAGAGATACTATCAAAGCAGAGGATAAACATATCATTGTCACCAGTAAGAGAGATCGGCGAAAAACAGCACCACAAATAAGGGAGGAAATCAACATGACAAGGTCGAAACCCATATCTCTGATAACCGTGAAATGACATTTGAGAAAGGCTGGTCTGAAGGGTTGTGTATCTGCAAAAAAACACTACTTCGTCCACAGAACAAGAAAAAGAGATATGAGTGGGCAAAAGCTCACAAAAATTTGACTTATGATGACTAGAAACAAGTTTGCACTGTTTGGTTCAAAACGCAGAGTCTATATTTATTTATGGTCACCCCTGTGATGATAAGCCTGCTTCTTTTCCCTTACCTTTGGTTTAAGATGAGCAAAGTGTAGATGTGTTTAATTCCTTTTAAACACACCCTCATGCAGGAGGAACTGATGGAATGGAGTTGAGTTACTGAGCAAAACACCACTTCTGTTGCCTTGATGCATGTCTGAGTTATTGAAGACATATAAATGGTGGCACCTAGTTTCTGAACTCACGTTTCCAATATTGGTTGGTTTCTATATCAACAAAACTACATCTGAATGATTTTTTTTTTGTAATATTGTTTTCATGTTAGTTATAGCACAGAAGGCCACATTGAAACTAATTTGTCTTTGCAGGTGGTGAGCGTAACTGTGGAGTACATGAGCTGATCTGTGTCAGAAAAGGTAGGGCAGATTATGTAAATCTTTCCTCGAACATGTTTTTTTTTTTTTTTTTTCATACACCTCCCCAACAACATTTCTCATATTTAACATATGTCTGTGTTCTGTTCCTCTGTCCTCAGGTTATGCTGTCTTCACTCTTGTTTGGGTGTGCTGTTTTTTAATTCTTACTTTGTAGTATGTGCTAATTGCCTTATTTAAGAAATGTTCAAATGAGCTTCCCATGCAGCGAAATTTATGCTTATTTTCAAAAGTAAAAACTTGGCACAAACAATAACTTTTTTATGTACTCATACTTACTGATGTAATTTTTCCCAGGGAGATCACGTTTGTCATATCTGTTAGCAGATTTAGAGTATGGTTACATACTCTACATACTCTAAATATGAATATGGTTCATATTTAGTAAATATGATGAAACAAGTTAATCTAAGTCTGTTTGAACTTGACTGGAACAGGCAGGGCAAGAAAGGCTAAACTATATATATCTATATGGATGGTTGGCACGAATCGATACATTCTGGTTTCTTTATTCAGGTGGGTGCTGGCTCTTATTGGCACTAAAATGATTATCTGTCGAGTACCTGGGTACAGACACCAGATTTTTGATGAGAAGGAACTACTGAAATGAGCTGATATGCCAGTATTAAAGAAAAAAGTAGTAACCCATACAAACAAGGGAAACAGTTCTTCCTGTATTCCTTTGAACATAGGCAATGTAATGATGGCACATAAAACTAGTTTTATAACATTTGTGTGGACTGGTAGTAGACAATTTTATGTTTCTCCTACACTTTATGTTTTGTTATGTCTTCATTAACACATATTGCCTGTATGTCAGGAACAGAACACACTTTTTGTTTGTCTTTCTCTTTCTCGCTGTCCTGTTTTTGTGGACACAATATCAAGGAAAATTCATACAAAATTAAAATATTTCAAACACCGACCTAGAAATAAAGGATCAACCAATTAGAAACACTATTAACTCCTACATATCAACAAGTTTTTGTACAGTACGTTAGAATCTATGGTTTAATTGAGACAACTTCACAAAAGTGTCTTCCTCAAAAGATATCTACACTTAACTCAAAAATTTCATGGAAAATAAAAAAATATTTTGGATATAAACCTTGATCCACACCTGTTTTTACCCGTCTTCTTTCTCTTCTGTCCTTTACCTTTTAAGATTAGAGCAGAAATGACCAACTAACCATACATATTTAGAATCTGTTATAGTTATAGCATATGGGCAGCTTGGATAAATCATGTGTTGAGTCCATAATTTACCGGATATTGTACTGGGCTAATCATAAATATCATCCAAGAGACCAAATGAAAAACCTCCAGTAACACAGAGAGGAAAATCAGTCATAAATCGGCCTGAAATTCCTGTGGTGTGTGTCTGGTCTTGACTGGTCTGGTCTGGTCTTTTACTCTAAAGAGGAAAATTTGCGCCTACTCTGCCCACACCCTGTTCATTTCTCTGTCAGGAGACTTAACAAGAAATCATATACTCTGTAGAGCTCTGTGTTGATCTTTCTGTCTTGTTACCAAGTAACAATTACTGTGCGTTATATAAGGGTTGAATAGGTGCTGGTTAATTTATCAGTACAGTTGGTTTCATTGCTTACCAAATATTAATAGGCCTTAACAGTGTTTCAAGTGTAATGCTATCATTATAGATATATTTTGAGAGGACTAGCATCAAAAAGCAAGCCTTAGAAATGAGGATGTTGGTGAAATTTCTCCAAAGCTGCAGGCGGAGGCTGTGGGTGTCCTTGTGGCTTTGTTTTTTTTCTTCTTTTTTTTCTTTTTGTCATTCAACATGGCAACAGTTCCCATGCAGACTAAACTCAAAACAATTCAGACATGCAATAATTAAAAAAAAAAAAAAACAGGATAATAAGTATTTCTGTAATTTCTCTAGAGGAAAAACAGTATTTTGATATGTTTTATATTAAAACTAGGTCTCACTGTCAATGAAGATACTTTTTAAAACAATCTCTAATTTTCAGAAAAGTTGTCTGTTGTCTGGCTTTCTGGATTGAAAATATGAAACCATTAGCATGCTATTCCATGATTGTAACCACATATATGCACCAGTTTCTCAGTTTGAGTGTAACTCCAGTTTGTACTCTCACATTCAGAAATTCATGAGCTCAGATTGTTGCAGTGAGTAATTATATCAATAAAACACAGCTGAACATAGTAAGCATTAACCTCTCCACTTTTTTGGTCCAGTCCTATTTTCAAAGAACAGAGTCATCTAGTGCATCTTACAACACAACACTTGCAACTGTTTTTTTTTTCTCTGAGCTTCTTGTGTGATAATCTATTATTACAACTTCCTGTGAGTCATTGCCCGTGCTGCTCATTATGTAAGGGCTATTCCCAGTAATTTGACAAAGTGCACCAGTTTTGATTAAATACAACAAGTGAACCAAAACTAAATTTTTCCATATACCCAATCCTACACTTTTTTTTTCTTGGAGAGAACCCTGAGTTGTAAAGATCTTGATTTGCAAGATTGTGCATTGTTGTGACAGCCTGAGGGAGAGAGACTGCTTCATTTTCTCATTGCAAGTGCTTTATTAAAAAAAAAAAAAAAAAAAAAAAAAAAACTTGGCAGCTTGCATTATGCAACAAGTTGTGATAATAGAATTTTCCATCTGTTAGTAAAGCGAAGAGAAAAAGAGCAGGTTAGAGTGGGACTCTTCATTTGGTTCATTTACTTTATGTATTATTTTTGTTCCCTTTTTTTCTTTTAATTTTCTCTCACCTTTATTGTTTTTGTCATGTATTTACTCATTTGTTGTTGTATTAATATTCCAAAACATTGATGCATTGTATAAACTTAAGTTGAATGTGTTTCTGATGCACTGTTTGCTTCACAATAAAGATATTTGAAACAACAAAGCAAAGAGGAAAAGAAATCTGACTGGCATTCAGCACCTCAGCAGAGTTTGCCTGAGTGTTGGCCCAGGACTATTGTGTTGCTCACAAGGACTTTGTGCCCTTGGGTGACCTTTTTTATGTATTTTATGACAAGGTAAACTGACATTTGCTGTGCAATCACTATAGAAGACATATCCTAGAATAAAAAACAACTGTGGTAAATAAGAGTTTAACCATCCAGGTCTCTCTTATTACCTTTTATTTTGGACATTGGTGATATTGCTACTCTGAAGTTTTACTGTGTATGAGAACCTCTGTTGAAAACTAATAGTATGTCTACTCAAAAAGTGCAGCTGATGTTTCCTCAACCAGTAGGAACCTGATTTATCAAAGTAAAACAACTGAATATTTAACATGACCCAAAAAATAATCAAGAGACTACTAAAATATTTTTCAAAGACTACTGTGCTACCGTTTTAGGAAATCAGGTGGTTTGCTTTAATGCTGCTGGAAACCATGTCATTTAAAGAGGACAAAAATTAATTATAGGACCAATTTGTTTTATATTTAGTAACTGAACACAGTAGTCCCCACAAAGAGTCACAGTTATCAGTAAATGCATATGATAGAAGTTGGACTTGATTTATTTTGTTTGCTAAAAGAATGTATAGATTAAAACTTGCTGCCATTCAAAATGGCATGAAATAACCTATTCATTTTTTTTTTTTTTTTGGTCTAAGTCTCTCCAGAGGTGCTGGGATTTCTGACAGCAATCGGGCTTTTCATCATGCTGATTACCCTCCTCTTCTGGTACCTCAACAACAAGCTATCACAGGAGAATCCGGGAAGCCTTCAGTGCCTTGATGAGTTAAGGAAAAAAACAAAGGTGCAAGGTAAGGAAGTGTTCACACACCTGTATATTTGTACTCTCAACATATTTAAGTGGGATCACATGTTAAAAATGCCTTTTGGGATTACCAATTCTTTGCACACATCTTAGCACACTGAGAAATTATCAAGATAAGATCAACTTTAAAGGATGTCAACCTTTAACACACAGTGATTTTTTAGACCTTAAGCACACAGAGGTAATTTAAGAGGCTTTACATGACAGGGGGAGAGCTACATCCAGACACTGAAATCACAACAAATTATTATTTTATGTTTCTCTTGAATACTACTCCTTCATGTAAACCAACAGTTGCACATGAATTTGTTTTGCCATTTTACTATCACAAATGGAAGAGATACATACAATGCAGGACTGGGTCCATAGTGTTTAGAGGCTTAAAGTGTTGAAATTTGCATCTTAGTGTGTTTTGCAGTAACCAGGACAACTGTCTTAAACCTGAACAGGCACATCTTACCCTGACGCCAACCTGCAGGCCTCATCTTCAGACAGTGAGGATGACCTAATGAGTCAGTATCAGGAAGCAGTCAGCCGCTCCCAAGGCCTGAGAGAAGGTGCCAAGGCAGCTGCTAATGCAAAACTTGCAGGTGGTTTCACCTGGCAGAGCTTGCAGAAGCATAGGTCACTGACTGCTGACTATGATGGCTACAGCAGCGAAGCCTCAGCTGACAATGGTATGTTTTGCATCTATTAGGTTGTTTTAAGACATACCGTTCATGCCACCACTAAAATTCAGTTATAAAGTACAGTAGCAATGCATTTTTGTTCTTTGTGTTTGTATCAAGAACGTTCACACTTCACTCTCAGTGCACAATAAGGAGTTGGACTTGCATGGTAGGCTAAGACAGATATTTTGCTAGTCTGGATTTGCTGGATTCATGGGTTTGTATAGGATAGTTTTCATAGACAGGTATATTTAAAATTGCAGATCAACATTTTCAGTAAACTCCAATATTCATTTGATTGTAGAGAGTATGTTGAGATCTGTTGGACAAATCTTATGGCTGCACTAATTGCTGATATATGTGTAAAGGGGAGGTATTGTGCTTTTCCACATTTACCACAAAAAAATGCAAAGTTAAGAAGTTTTGTGTCCATGAAGATATATTGTATGTTAAGTTCCCAGATGCACCGCCACCCTGTTGCACCGCTCTAGATGGTTCTGACTGCACCAGAGGACCAGTTGGTCCACCTCCCGACTTATCACTGTCTTAGTTGAGACCGATGACTGTGGTGTTGTCCACAAACTTCAGGAGTCTGACAAACAGATTTCCTGAGGTGCAGTTGTTGGTGTACAAGGAGAAGAGCAGTAGGGAGAGGGCACACCCCTGGGGGGCACCAGTGCTGATGGTCCAGGGGCCTCCTATCAGCCATGAAGCTGATGATCCACTGACAAGTGGAGGCTGGCACCGTGAGCTGGGCCAGTTTGTGGTGAAGGAGCTCAGGAACAGCGGTGTTGAACACCGAGCTGAAGTCCACAAACAGGATCGGTGCATCATCCACCATCCTAGGCAAACTGCGGGGGGCCTGTGATGTCCTTCAGGTGGCTGAACACCAGTTTCTCAAAGGTTTTTATGACCATCAGGGCAATGGGCTTGTAATCAGTTAACCCTGTGATGGAGGGTTTGAAAATGAAAGGGGCTTCACACTGCTTTAGAGCTCTGTTTAAGACGTGGGTGGTCAGCTGGTCAGCACAGACTCTCAGGCAGGAAGGGGACAAATCTTCAGGTACTCGAGCCTTCCTTATATTCTGCCTCTAAAAGCTGACACACCTCCTCTTAATAACTTATAGGAAAATTAATCTATGAAGTAGGGATTTGTTTGTGCAACATTTATGCCCTTGATTCTTGAATATGTGAAAATGAAATTGGGGTGGCACTTGATGAAAATCAATGGATCAACAAAGTCAAGAGGCCTCAGTTTCTAGTGACTATCAACTCTTTCAACTACATTCACTCACACAGCCACTCGAGTACTGTTGCGGTGAGAAAACAGCAAAACCACAGAAGACTTTTTCAATATGGTGTAAAATTTAAAATCTATATATATTTTAAACTAATCAATATGTATACTTTTTAATGACTTTGACGTTTCCACTTACATACCAACCAGCCAACAGCATCCAAAGGATGAGACAGACCCCTCCGTTGGATGAGCTTCAGCCACCTCCATATCAGGATGAAAACGGGTCTCCAAGGATGTCTTGTACACTGTCAGACCTGGGAGATGCAAAGTGTTATCTATCTCATACCAGTGGAAGCCCACACCTGTCCTTTGACAAATGCCCAAGTGAAGGCAGCGATGGAAACGAGACTGAGAGCTACCTCAACAAGGGTTGTGAGGAGGACGTACCAAGTGACAGTACAGCAGTCCTCAGCCCAGAGGTAAGGGAGTGACAGTAATTCAAGCATTAATACACATACATGGTATGGCTGGAATTGCATATTGAGAGGTTCGATTTATATTGATTATATCCTTGGTTTCTTAGGATTTGTCAGCAAGAGGATCAGCAGCCCAACTACTGAAAGGATATGACACAGATTCTCTTTTGAAATATGGCACTGTAGATGTTGTGTTTGACTATGACTCGGAAGACCAGCAGCTGGTGGTCACAATTGTGGCAGTATCAGATCTTCCGTCCCTAAAACACACTGGAAATATTTCTTGGCAGGTCCATCTAGTGATGCTGCCCACCAAGACACAGAGGGCAAAGACAGGAATCCACAAAGGCCCATGCCCTGTCTTCACAGAGAGCTTTCGATTCAGCCATGTGGAGTCAGAGATGATAAATAACTATGCCATCCGATTCCGTCTGTACAGTATGCGGCAAATGAAAAAAGAGAAGGTGCTCGGAGAAAAGGTGTTCTACCTCACCAAGCTCAACCTTCAAGGCAGATTGTCTGTGCCTATCATATTAGACCCCCGCTGTGCTATCCTGGTGAGTAAAATTTTGCAGGCTGTCAAGCTTTTTCAAAATACCTAATTAACGCACTGCTACACTGACTGATATTCTTTTGTTTTGGAAAGCATTTTTAGAAAGCGGGAGTTCAATATCCCGGTTTCGCAAATCCTATTATGCTGTTGATCACGTTGTGTTTTATCATCTACATGTACTACACATGTACATATACATTTAAAACAATTGGTATGGCTTGTTTTTTTTTTTTTTAACACAAAGAAAATAACAGAAAAAATGATATAGCTCCCCCACCAGCACACACACACACACACACACACACACACACACACACACACACACACACACACACACACACACACACACACACACACACACACACACACACACACACACATCAAACAGATCACATTTTATTGATATATTCTCATATTTTCTGCCATTGTCATCAGCATCTCTCATAATGTTAGATGAATTGGATCAATAACTGATTGATTTTAGGATGAAGAAACATAAATATTGCTGTACTTGTCTGCCATATCATTAATTCAAGTGTTAGGAAATGTATTTGTCTACAGTCATGTAGACTCAAACATAGCACCAACTGGGTGATACACCGTAGGCTTTGATTATGCCCTACTGGACTACTAAAGTGATTCATACCTCTGCACATTGTATCAATCAGTTGGGTTTATCAGCCACAGACAGAAGGCAGGAGCTAAAGGGATGATAAAATAAAAGCATCATGTACAGTAAAACAATATTGCAATAGTGAAATGTATATTTACTGGTAGGGTGGGATTAAACCATGGACACCAGACACTAGTTCCAACAGATAAGCTCTGCAGAGAGAAACTATTTGAAAACATTAGTCTGGAGACGAAAGCTAAATTACTTATATCTACAAAGCAGGGACTTAAATCAAATATTTGGCTGTGTTACCTACCTCAGAGTCACAGTGAGGGGACTGTGTAGCAATTAATAAGACAGAGACTAAGTAAAAGAGGCCCCCATGATGCCACTGGTGCTTTAAATACCTTCATAACCCTCTAGGGGCTGGGTCAGGGGAGAGTTCAGAATCAGAATACTTTCGTTTTTCCAGGGTTGGAAATTCAGTCAACTCACGGTTAACCCAGCTTTTAAGCAGGGTGTTTTTGGAGGCTAGTAAGAGCAATTCAACAGTAATGCACCAACACCAACAATGCCCACCACACAATATATCATAATTTCTTATATTTGTTGTCTCTCCTATAAACCACTCAAACAGTTTAGCTGTTACTGTGCTCCCATGTTCAACAGTCCAACAGTTTGGCATGATTACAGATCTGTTGGACAGTTCAGTACAGTTGTACAAAAACATATTGGCAAAAAGGCTGCATGGCATCAAGGTGAGGCTGTGATGATTTCCCAAACACTGACCCTAAAATCCTCGTTCTCTGTAGTACTATTTTAAGTTGCTTAGTTAAATGGTAAATGGACTATATAGACCTTTACTAATCTTTTTTCAATCATTAAAAGCACTATTAAATTACATGTCACATTTTAATAATTCACATCACATTTTTGCAGTGATGGCAGAGGTACCTGTATAAGGCAGCCATCAGTATTAACTAATTCCATCCATACACTGCTGGTAAAGTGACCAGGGGGCAGTTATGGGTTAGGTGTCTTGCCCTAAGACACCTTGGCATGTGGATGACCTGGGATTTAACCCTTTAACATTCTGGCGAATAACTCTACCAATTACTCTACAGTGACCTTTTGTAACCCTCACATCATTCTGAGGAACATACAGCGTAAGTACAACAGCAAGCCTTTCTGGGGCCAGAGTTCATGGGTTGCCCACGATGATACCACTGATGTTATTTCCAATATCTCTGAAACATTAAAGAGGACAACGTAGACCCTAAGAGCTCAGTGTTTGAGGGCCTAAGGCAATTATATACCTACATTTTTTTTCTTTATTTTGCATTTTGGTGATGATGACACCTTGTTTCCTCTTCTGTATGAGGCAAGTCAGCAGGAAATCTTTTTATTTCTATGTAAATCTCTGTGGCATCTGAAGTGCCTTTAAAACCCCTCCCCTCTGTAACATTTTGGTTAATAATCTACCTTGAGTATGTATTACAGGGTTTGCTAATATAACAGATTGTCATCTGGCTAGCAGGCATTTTCCTTCAACGGAGTCACTGTTTTGATTGTCCTGTGAGATCGTACGATTTAAAATACAGGAAAAATACGTTGTTGCTTCATCTCAGTTGCTTTATTATTGTAAATTGTTATTATTAAATTGTTATTATTATAAATTTTAGTACATTTTGAATCTGAGTAATGTTATTCTGATAAAATATGGTTATACTTTACCACTTTACAATAACTTTTGGTGGGCCTATTGACTAAATAGGTGCTTATTACTTGATTGTGTTTGCAAGGGTTTCGGTTATATGTATGTATAACGAGACCAGAGGCATCAAAATCAACAAAAATGGGAAGGATGTGAAAAGTAAAACAGTTTAGAAACTTGAACTGTCCACTCTACGAGTAGTAGATGTAGACATAGATATCACAATAGATGATATTACAATGGAATGCAACAACATTACAATAAATGTGATGTATTTCAGTATCCAATTTTCTGATTGTCTCCAATTATTTCAGGGTGGTGAATCCCAGGTCAATCTCTCAGACATGACATGCAGTGAAACCGCCTCATCGTTTCAATCAGTCAGTCAGATTTCCATCCCAGAGATCCTTGTAGGCCTGGTGTACAATGCCACAACAGGACGTCTCTCTGTTGAGGTCATCAAAGGTATCCATTTCAGAAATCTGGCTGCCAACAAGCCACCCAGTAAGTACTCTTAATTGGTTTAGTGTGGTTATTTGACATAAGAGCAAACAAGAGCTTGAGTTTGTTACAGAAACAAAGCCTTTTAATAGGAATACTGTATGTGTCAAACAGCCTGAAATGACCAACACCTCAGTGTGATTTTATGGTGACTGGCAAAACAGTTTGTCTGGAATTTAAAATGTAGGTCTTTTCACTTTTTAATAATTAGCAAGCCATTTATACACACCACAGGCTTGTCTTCCGTATAAGTTTGTGTAAGATTTAAATGATGACAAAGGTCCCTAATAAACCTGTACCTTCTAACTGATTGTGGAGTGTTAACATAAACTGGACGGCCAAAAAAGTATTTGGCTTTATGATGAATTCAGTTTACCTTTACTATTTTACTATTACTATAATTTTTTACCACCAACAAGCAAAAGTATGCATCGCTTGTAATCTCACAAAAAAAGTCAAATGCATGGTAACTGAAGTTCCTTTGTCTCATTTTACCTCTGGTTTGATGCCTGAAAAATTAAGGAAACTGCATTACTGTATGGTCAACCCTAAGATAATTTCAAGGGTTCAGAGCAGCAACGCCATTCAAAACCTGAACTTAGTGTTTTGTTGTTTACCTTCCAGTCCTGTGAGTTTTTCCTTTCATTTGTTGTGCCTGCATATGAACCCCTCTACAACTGTGTTGACATCTTGGTCCATTGTTTTTCCTACTGCTGTCCACCCCTTATTGTCAGATGGACTATTCTGTTGTCTTAAACACTTAATAGGTGGACAGGTTTATATTATCAGAGGTGAGTCTTTGTCCTTGATATCGAGTAATTCATACTTTCATATAGTCTATATTTTTTTTCAGACTATCTCCATGGATGAAGTCAGTCAAATTTTTTGTTTAATTTTTCGTGAGTTGACTCCTTAATTTGCTCACTTTTTCTGGCTATTTTATTGACCCACCTGGCTTCTATTGTTAATATGTGAAGCGCTTTTCTTAAGAATTGAAAATATTCATTGAGAGTGTGACATCAAAAACACAGGTAGTATTTCAGATGTTGCCAAAGGTGTTTCTACTATCTGAGCTCCTGGGGTCAACATGCTGGAGTGTCCTTTGGCAAAACACTTCAGACATTAATTGAGATAAATTAAAAGTTGTGAAACTTTACGCGTTTTTCTCTACCATGATGAACAGATGGATGCAACAATTACAGTAAAAAGCACTGTCATCAGTCACAAGAGTCCAAAAGCACAATCCTGTAATGCATAGTCCAGCTTCCATTTTAATAAGGCCACTAGTAAAATGGTAGCACTAGTATCCCTCTTCTCGACAATGATTAACATAATTGTTTCTGAAATGTAAAATTTGGTTTAAAATTGGCCCTTTCTTCTGTTAGTCCTGCAGAAAGACGAAAATCTTTATCCATGGAGATAGTTGCTTGCAACTTTTATTTTTGGATGTGTATGTCCTATGATGCATGTCGCCCTGCAATCACTCTGCAAAGTTGTGTTTTATGTCTATTCAGATGAAATGTGGCGGAACACTAAGTGGTTATTTTTATTTAATGTAAATGGTGCCACTCTGCATGCTTTGTTGGTTAGTTCTGCATGTAGCGCATGAAACAAGGCTTTTAAAACAAATTATGCGTAATTATTTATCTAAATAGTATATAACAGTATACATTAATGTACTGAAAAGAGTGTGGTATTTGCACTGATTCTATCTTTTTCAAACAGTACAAAAGTGACAAGTCAAGTTAGCAGCTGCCTCTAATTTTTTAAAGTACACTAAGCAGGAATCAAAAAGGATACCAAAGCCATTTATTTACACACTGCTTTGATAATCAAAGGCAACATGTGTAAGTCAAAGACATTGATATTTTAATCAATGCAAATAATAATGATAAAATAAATGTATATATATGTATATTATAACTATAATCAGGGCACCCTGTAGGTGCAAGTTCCCAATTGGAATCCCTCTGGTCACTATTCCGTCTTTTGCCGTAATTTTAAGGGTCTTGTCATGTTGAAACGTAAGCCGGAAGAATACACCCCGACAAACAGTTTTTGAAAATACAGCCACTCCCAGCCATTTCATGTAAAAAGACAGTTTTTATACACTCGTCTCTTTTCTAAAAAACTCCTAACGTTGTGGTGAAATATCAACAGGAAGTTAGGTAATTTGAAAAAAGGAAAAAAAGGTGAAAATCACCTCTTTTTTTCACCATACCCAGAGGTCCTTTTCAGATTTCCTTCTCATTCAGTGTTTATCCTCTCTTCTTATATGCAGGTTTACAGATAGAAATGACCTGAAACTTATAATCACGTGAGTTCCTGCACAAAGGTTCCCTGTGTCACCATTAGATAGGAAGTTGTTTTTTTCTCATCTATGCAAGCTCCAGTCTGACCCAAACTCACCATGCATGATAGCAGTCAAGACCTGAACACATATTGAAATATTAAATCTCAGTTGTAGCACCTCTTGACGGCAGCAGGAATTTTCATGCTGTTACTCTATGACCTGAATCCTCAAGACCCTTGAACAGATCCGAATGATTTTTGCTTAATTTGTCTTTAAGCTATTGATCCAAATGTGCCCCAAAAACTTAGCTTTCATCTGTATGGTGCAGCAAAGATAAAATTTGACATCTCATCTTCAAATTTTAAACAAACGTCAAACGTCAACATAGCTACTATTCCTGTCCTCTTGAGGCAGTCGAGCCAACTTTGATATTGTTTTAAGAACCACAACGCCACCTGCTGTCAAATAGAAGTGACTGTTTCAATTTCACCACGGTTAAATCCCATGTAGTATTAGGCCTAAATACAAGTAGTTTTTGGTAGGCGGCAGGTTGTTTTTCCGTTCATGAGGACTAGAAGACTGACAGTTTTATTGTTTGAAAAATGGTTGTGGATTTTATGCTTGAAGAGGCCTAGACACTGCAAATTGGAGGGGGTTGTGCTAGGAGAACAAAACCAGATCAAGTGTGTGACCTAAAGCATCGGTGGGACAATTAACACGGTATATTTCTATCAAGCAGTCTGGTCTGGTCCAGTACAGTTTTGCATCTTCTTTCCTTCAAAGATATAACATGGATGAGTACACAAATCCATCATGTTCATTTTATCAAAAATTAAATTATTAATCAGCTGTCCCTGTCCTTTTTGATTGGTAGTTACTTACCCCTCAACAACTGCATCCAGATGAGTTATGAAACCTATTAGGATGTATGGAAAATGTAGGGATGGGCATTAGATGACAGAGCTAGTATACTTGGGTGAGTCTGTATTCTTTCTCACGTATCGAAGCTTGTTTTGAAGGTTATATGTCATCTGACTGTTGACAGTTTGAGTATTGAATGTCAGCAGTGCTTCAAAAACTGTTCATCTAACCTGTAGTGGGCTACTTTTTTAGCTACCTCTATATGTTCACTTGTGTTTGATATCCACAAACAAAAGAAATAGATAGGCCTACCTTTAAAACACCATTTAGTTAAAAAAATTTTAACAACAAACTCCCACGTAAGTATGAATCCTGTGTTACAAACAAGCTTGTGAAGGGAAAGGATGCAACATAAAACCCCAGTTCTGTGAGGTAAAAATGATCATTTATTCCTAAAAGAAATCATGAAGTGCTGTTTAACATGAAGTTGAAGCGAGGAACAGAGGGATGTGGAGTGCTGCTCAAAGAAGCAAATAAACACAACAAAAATGTCACTTTCTGAAATAAGCTCTAAACAGCAGTTAAAATGACACAAGGGGTGAGCAGGTCCCTGTCCCTTACAATTCAATATATATGTATGTATACGGTATATGTATATATATATATATATATATATACATACAAACAATTAAATCGCCTCCATGGATGAATGACAACACAGGTTTCCTAACAAAGAATCTAGCAAACGTGAGTGTCTGCCTGGAAGCGCTCCTATCGGCATCCAATCGGAATCTGACGCTCTTACCCGATTGGTCTGGCGGACTCGCCCATTAACCAATCAGCAGCTGGTTCGATAGTATCAACATCCTCTCACAGTCACACACAGACACTACAAGGTAAACTGGGCCGCACATGTAGTACACACACAGAGCGGGGGCACAGAATGGAGTACTGCAGCTTAACAAGAGGGACATACACTATATACGAAAAGTCTATTTCATAATTTGTAGACATCTCAAACTTTTACGTCCGAGAAAAACAAAAACTATGAATATAAGAGAGATGTGCTGGTGCTCATTATTAGAGGGCTGTCATTAGTTCTACAAACTAGCAGATGTCATAATATTGGCTGAATTTGATGCTTAAAAAGCCTGGAATTTTTTTCATCACAAATTGAAAAAAAAAAACGAATTAGCAGTTTCATGACTTGATTTTGCACAAAGTATTTATTATGAAATGTATGCCTGGTTTCTTTTTAATTATATAACAAAAAAGTCCAACAATTTAACATTAAAATTTAAAATGGATTTTTGAAAATTAATTGAATTTCTTTCTGTCTACTTCCTGTTTCTTATTCAGACACTTTTGTGAAGCTTACCTTACTGAACTCCATGGGCCATGAGATGTCCAAGTGTAAGACATCCATCTGTCGCGGTCAACCCAACCCTACCTACAAAGAGACATTTATTTTCCAGGTGGCCCTTTTTCAGCTTTCAGATGTCACACTCATCTTGTCTGTCTATAACAAGCGCAGCATGAAGCGCAAGGAAATGATTGGATGGATTTCACTTGGCCTCAACAGCTCTGGAGAGGAGGAGCTTGCCCATTGGACTCAGATGAAGGAATCTAAAGGACAGAAAGTTTGCCACTGGCACACTTTGTTGGAGTCCTAGCAGCAAAAATACCTGAGGAAGAGAGAGAGAGGGGGGGGGGGGTGGTAGATGATAGCAGTTGTTCTGCTGCAGTTAGGGTAGAGGAAGTTGACACATTCCATCCAGCACACAAGTGGTGATTCAGGAATAATAGTATTTGTATTAAAAGTTGTCTAACAACTTTTCACAGCAGAGTTTGAAATTTCTCACAGCTATTTATTTGTCGTACAGTTTGTAATGTGATGTAAGATGATTCTACACTGACTTATAATAATTACCTTGAAGTTTCTGTGGAAATAGTTGATCTGGGACTGCTCCCAAAGCTTGGCCTGTTTTGATGAAAAATGCACCTCCACCAACCATGATATAAGAGATTTTTTAATCTGATTAGGAAGAAAGGACATTGTTTTTCAGTTGTTGTTGTTTTTTTTTAAAATGTCATATGGAAAACAAATTATCCAGCTACAAGGGGGGGGGTTATGTGTTTGACACGACATTTTATTTGCTCTATTAACTTCTCATTGGTTCAACATGTGAGCGGTTCATTGAAAAGTCCACTTGCCACAGACTTTGCGACATTTGAGTCAACCCAGGTGGAGTTTTATTTGTTTGAGTCAAAGCTTTCTTTTCCTCATTCTTCCCAAAGGAACGTAGGAGCTCACATTGTCAGAAAACTTTTCAATTTGGAGCTCCTTCGTTAAAATTTTCCATGATGCCATTTTTAAGCCAGGGACTTTGTTGAAAATAATTAACATCACTTTTAACATCACATATTGCCCAGAATCAATACCTTTTAGGGCTTGAACAACAACATGCCAATTCGTCTTTTAGGGGGAAACATTTGTGAAACACAATGCATAGACAAAAAATGGTAGCATACATTGTCATGTTTGAAATGTTGCAGTTTTTGATACATTTTCATGTTCATTCTTCATGTTCACATGTTTAAAGGTTTTTATCTTTTTTGTTCTGCTCATGTTTACATAGAGTTGAATAATGTGATGGCATTTGTCTTTGCCAAAGCTCACAGTCACATCACGGCCAGGAACTCAAGTAATGAAGAGAAATAAACAACTGGGACAAATTTTTAATCAAATTAGGCATTTAATGTACAGTACGGTCAGAGAGAACTGACACAAGGAGTGTAGTGGTTAATAAAATTAATTGTTTTTTAAGAGAAAATTACCTTTTTACAGTTAGAAATTTTAAATACACGTTTGTTAAAGCACAGACATATTTTTAAAAAGTTAAAATGTATACTTGTTGTTCTGGCAATGGTACTTATGTACGAAATATTACAGTGAGAATGAACTTCAAGTATGTTCTATATAATTTCAGATGGAAATTTCACAGGAAAGTGAGGGCAAATTGGGTATCTACTGAATTAACGACTGCAAAAAGGAATGTAACAACTGAATTATTCATCAAGTGTGCCAACACTAAAACTGATTAACCAACAAACAGAACTACAAAAAAATTTAAATGGCTATTTTGTATGATAATTTTTCTTTTTCTTTTCTGATTTTTTATGTATAAAGAGGAAAAATTGGGTGTCAAAACAGTAGTTGTGCAATATTAATATGACACAATATTATGACATTGTCTTCATAGTTTTTTATTGTTCACATTGATTTTGTTTGTGGAATGTAATTACTACAAATATGATCATTGAGTAGCTTTTGGTCTTCTTACACTTCCTTTTAAAAAAGACAGGGTCGTGTTGGGATTGTCGAGACTTTTTTTTTTTTAAGCTTTCACACTTTTTAACAGCCTTTACAGCACAAGAGATAAACACATTTAAATAATATGCCTTTTAATAAACCAGAACCATGCTTACCTCTTGACAACCAGCAGATTGAACCACTAGGGTTGATTTGGTGGTTCAGAGGGAGTGATAAAGTAAATTCTTTTTTAATGTGATTAAAATCGGTTCTTAACACATATATTCCGTAAAAATGTAAATAAATACAATTTAAAATTGAGAAAAGTTACTTAATTTGAAAATCATTGATCTGTTTGGTTATATTGATTCTTAAGGATTATTTTGAGTTTTTTTTTAAATACAACTCATAGAGAAGAGTTTAAATGTGTCCTATTTTAATAAACAGGTATTCTGGGTAATTTCCTGTAATTTTTTAAGCAAAAAAGCAAAACCAAACCCATCGTGGCCTGTTAGGCTAGAGCCAAATTATTTTTAATATATTATAAGTGGTGTGATGCCAGGACAAGACACTTGCATTTGGGGGGGGGTTATATGTGTCTTATATTCTGATAAAAAAAACATTAATTGAGACTGATTGTTACTAAAGTAAATACTGCATTTTAATTAAAACATTTTGTGGTGGAGGATTTTTCAGTAATGTCAGCCATGAGAGAGTGCAAAACAACCCTTTAGCACTCTCTTTTGCTAATCTTTCATGAGGTGCAATTATGTCTTAATAAAGTTTTTGAAAAATTATGTTGTGGTAGGTTTCTTCCCGCACTTGACCTTACAAGGAATTTTCTGAATATATTCAGAAATAAAACTGAGCAGTAAGAAACAGAAATGTAGCTCTGACAACTGGGAAATTTTCAAATGACAAACATATCAAACATATGAATATCAAAGTTATGGCTCAAAGTAATAAATGTCCTCATTTGCTTCTCATTGTTTGTTGAAATAAGAAATACTAGCTTTCCATCATACTGTGCACTTGTCACATCCGAGTTTTGTCAAACAGCACTTCGTTTGACTCAGAGCCTTCCTTCGATCAGAATTCCCCGCACCGCTGCCATGCATTGACCATCCAGAGGTTGGCCCTTCAGGGGACACTCGTGTGCACCTCAGCCCAAGGTTGGTAAGCATAAATCAAAGCTGTGTTTGGTGATTGATCCTCAGGGTTGGGGCAGGTACACTGAATAATGTGCGTGTCAGGGTTAAAAGGGGCTTTGATCCCTGACTTGAAGGGGGGATCTCTGGATGGGAGGATAGGACAACATCATGACGTGTGGGCAGGTGTGTGTGTGTAGGTGTATATTTCATGCATTTGGGATATGCTGATTTTTTCATTTTTGGTGTCGCATCATCTGTGCTTTCTAAATATGTTGCAATGATTTCATGAATATCTGAAATTATATACTAATTTGTTATGTATTTCTGGGTGGTTCGGGCGCGGACACACAGTAGCTTAAAGCTCCTGGTTGTGAAATACAGTTACATTGATATTGACGTGACATATCTTTATGACCTAAAAAGGATAAAACACTGAGATAGATTTTTTTTTCTACACGGTTCTTTTTGATGGGTAAAACCACTGATAATAATAACAATCATAATGATAACGAATGCTCCACCGGGCACCAATGGGCCCGAGCAGTGTCACAGCTACCTCTGTAAACCACCTCCCTAGCGCACTGCCACCATTTTGCACCGCCTGCCATCCCCGGTGCCATGCTCTCCACAGCAGCCCTTACCTTTATGATGGTTGGTACTTGTGACTGCCTTTGAGTGTTGTAGGTCATTTACTGTGAAAAGAGTTTGAAAGGACATCACGGACACGCCCTTTGACCTAAACATATGAGTTTTTGATATGGTGTCTCTCAAGGTCTATTTATCAGAACGGAAGAAAAATAACACCAAGGGCTCTATTTTCGTGTAGGCCGGTGAGGCTGCGGAGGGTGGCGGACCCCGCTCAGTTGTATTTTCGTCTGGCGGAGCCCGGCATACAGTCAGTTTGGTATTTTCGTGGACTGAGGTGCACAAAGGCAAACCGAGATCCGCCAAGCTGGGCGTGGTGGCGTGGCAGGGGGAGGCGTCGACAGAATCAGCAGGCGCAGTGACATTTTCATGCTCGCCACCGGCGTGTAAAGTGCGCTGAAAGCTCGCCGATTCATACCTGGTCAGCTTTCAGCGCAGCTGGTCTAGTGGTATTTTGGTAGACCGGCGGGGTATCGGCATACGTCACCGATGCCTCACCGGCAGGTTTCCACAGTGTCAGGCACATTTCAGTGCAATAAATAATCATCAACAACTAATAATCTGAGTCAGCACATACATTTAGATCTATATATTCTGATCTATATCTGATCTGATGAGTGTGTTTGGCACGCGTTTGGACACACAACCTGACCGAATCAACACAGCTGAAACCGCATTAAGTTAAATTAAATATCTAGTAAATAAACACACATGATGAAGTTAACAAGATATTTAATTCGTCTCCCTCCTTTTCTTTCTTCCTCTTCCTCTTATTTCTCGCGCAGCTTGACCTGGACATGTCTCCGTGTCCTCTCTCCGTCCTGCTGCAGCTGCAGCTGCGGCTGAACAGATGATTTGCATCAGTGCTCAGATAAGTTATTTACTTTAAGCCTACATATGGATATTATAATATTCAGTTTTGTGAGCCAAATTTATTTTATATGCCAACATCAATGAAAGAAAGAGCCAGGCCACAGAGCGCGATGCATCCTTTATGCACAGGTGGTCCCGAATTTAATGCCATTATTGGAATTTATGTTGTGATTTGTGCACACAACCCACCTTTGTCACGAGAGTTTTAACTTGATGTGACTGTCTTTATTTGTGGAAAAGGGTGTTTGTCTTACCAGTGGGTCCAACCTTACACACACTAAATCCCTCTGTGCTTATATGAGAGAGAGTGAAGGACACCCTCCACAGCGCTTACAACGACACTTGTTGAGGGACTGCCTTCTGCCGCCATCCTGTGGTATTACTGTCTTCAGACAGCTCTTGATCTCTTTGACTACTTCACGAAATTTGTAATACGCCTCGCTGGTGGTGGATTTAAAGGTGAGATGAGAAGCTGATGTGATTGGTGAAAACAGGTCTCGGCTGTGTTAAACCCTCTCCATGCCTTCTCTCCTCCCCCTCTACAACTTAAGCCGCTGGGAGGAGCTGAGTTAGGGAGGGGGGATACTTACGCCGAGCTGTGCTGCTCACCAAAATTCCAAAATGTGCTTGGGCACGCCTTGTCGGCGCAGCGGACCTGACTTATGCCGCGCCTGTGCCACGCTGCCGGCAAGGCACGAAAATAGAGCCCCATGTATGTATCTACCATTTCCAAAGCTACTAAGATTTGCTTTCATACAACCTCCCAACTTTTCTTCTTTAACCAAATGTGTTTTTGTCTTACCAACTCTTCTTACATGTCTGTCAAGCACCAAAAACATATTGTTTTTTATTCAAATTAAACAACCCCTTTAAAAACTACAAAAAAATCCTAGGACATACAACTAGCACTTAATTTTCCCCATTCCAGGTAACACACCCTGCCATTCCTCAGTTTATCCAACAATGTTATGAAGACAAACAGGGGAGGGTTTCCACCACACTGTTCTGCAAATAGACAATGTAAGAAAAACAATTTCCACCAGAACTGTTCACTGAAAGAGAGGTACATACAGTACATTTGTGGCAAATATTTTTTAATCATGTCTTAGAAAGAACCGCAATAACAATTTTTCACAGAGTTTTTACAAATTTGTAAAAAAAAAAATTCCACCATAAAAAGTCTGCTCTGATTTAGTTTCATCTTTGCATAAACTTTCAAATCCAGCCATTCCTACCACATTCTATTTGTTACCTCTTTCTTGCTAGAGCTTTTGGTACAACATTTAAAGGCAAGACACTGCCTTGTTCAGGCAATCAGGATGGTTGTTGACAGTATCCACTCTGTTCTTATTTGGCATTTGAGAGCAACATATTTGAACCTGGGTAACATTGTAAAGCATTTTTTTCTGTTATGTCCTTCCTAGAAGTTGGTCATTCGATTTACTCATTTATCCATAAATCTTCTTTGGTTTAAAACAAAGTTTTATAATCACTCAGCTACACTGCAGGAGGTTTTTTTGTCACTTGTAATGGCTAACACAGAGTATTTGAAATGTTATGGGTTCATCTGGGCCAACTACCAAATACTTTGCTTCTTTGGCTCATATTAAGATGAGATTCTGACAAAATGTGCATCCTGAAATAGAAACAAATAAATGACACATTATTTAGCTCTCTAAACTGAAAGTTCAGATGCTCAATAGTACCTTCTACTATATTTTTTCAGCCTCAGAGGGTCAGAGCTCATTATGCTCCAAAACCAGGGGTTCATGAGGTAGTCAAGACATGTCAAGTGGTGGGATTCACAAATGAACTGAGAATCACCAACTTTCTTTTTTGAATAGTGGGACAACCACACAAATAAGGTGTGTCTGAAATTTGCCCGAGCTGACTACCATACTCACAGATGATTTGCAGTAAGACTTGAGAAGTAAACTTCAAAACTGTATAAGCTTTACTGGCAACTTCCATTAAATGTGCCATTATGGGAGATTTTTACTCATGTACCAAATTTAAATTTATGTTAATGGTGGGCAGTACAGCAGGTGGTTAACGGAGAAGAACAAAACATACCAGCAGCACATTTGGAAGAAAAAGAATATGAGAGTTGCTATGGTCCATTACATTAAGATACACATGTATGGTTGAAACAAGGACTTCATTGAATTGTCTTTCAGTCTTCAAACACTGACTGTTCCTCATAGAATAATTTTTTAAAGTAAAATTAAAAAGGCTTCATTCAAGCATGATTTAAAAGAAATACTACTGAAAATCAAGCTGTGCAAATTTCTACAGCCCAATTCACAAGAAGGCATTGAAATACAATCTCTACGTTGTTATAATGCCAGCTGTTGACTGTGGTCCAAAATTATCAGTACACTTAAAAGCTGTTTTGGTATTTGTTGATCAGTTAAAGTAACAAAAAAGACATCTATCCAAATCTTATTTTGTTCTTCTGTATTTTCCAATCCCTGAAATAATTATTGCTTCATTTTTTTAACAAGCAACATGAAGAAACATTTCCAAAATATTATATTCACATATAGTTTGGCATAAATTTGGAGGACTTCAGGAACATGTTAAGACATCAGCAAAGACAAAGAGAGCCTTCTTTTTCTATCAGTGTGTTTGTGTGTTTGCAGAAAGATGGAGGTTACGGCCCTCAGGCTGTCTTCTTACAGACATGGATGAAGTAGCATGGGGCCTCGGACTGGCCAGGGATGTATGTTTGGAAGTCTCCATACACGCTGTGCTCCAATTTGCTGTTGAAGGCCTCTTTCAGCAAATTTTTGAAGCTTTCCAGGCGATGTGGATAATAAGACAGACGGAATTTACTGTGGACCAAAAAAAACACAGTAGGCACTCATAAGTATTCTTTCAAACACTTAACAAAAGGCACATCCTACTGTGCATTACATGTCCGGTCAAAAAAACAAAGGCAAAACAGACTTTTAGAGTTGAAGGTGGGTGTAAGGGTATGGATGTCCAGACTTCCCGAACACCGACAGATGAGTGAGAAAGAAAACCACTGCTGCTGAGCCGCTGAGCTGAATCAAATTCTCAGAAAAAATCTGAAATAACATCTTTTATGAAAAAATCCAGACCGCCAGGAGGGTTTGAAGGAAATACTCAAAACTCTGGGGACACCAAAGGCCCAGTCTCTACAGCCAGATCTAAACCACAAACAAATATTCTTTATACAAAGTACGAGGTGCTTTGATGAAAACTGCCACAACTTAAAAGACCAAAGAGGTAGATCTTCCCACAAACTCAGGGGGAGACAATGGCCCCGTTTACATGGGTAGTTTTCCTCAATCTGATTGAAATCAATCTGATTAAGTGAATCTGATTCAATCTGTATACATGAACTTTAAGTAAAGAGATCCACGTTCAGTCCGCGTTTTCATGGCCCCAGCTGAATCCAATTGTATTGTATTGTATCAATGGGAATTGTTAATAGGAACCATTGTTTTAGTTCTGTTTTAGAGTTGCGCACGGACGTGTTTGTGTGTGACACCGCCAGAGTTACCAGACCGAGCAGAGTAAGGAACCTATGTGTTGAAGTTAAATAAAAGTATAATCCATCCGGGTTACACAGCAAGAAGTGTACGCTTCGTCAGTCGCACGAAACAACACACTTGTAAATATAGCAGTGTTGATATCATGCTAACAGACACGTGTATTGATTTATTATTTCTGGCTCATACAGAGGAAAAATTTTCTTTCCCAACAAGAGTTGAATGTGATATAAATGTACAGTAAATGTAAATGTATGCTGTTATAAATGTTCAGAATACGAATGGTGGTGTCTGATCATTGTGATCACAGGTAAATTCTTCTCCATATTTTCACATTTTATATCAGAAATTTAAAACTGCCCCAGCTAATAATTGAAAGTCGGTTTTTATTAACTCGTAAAGCTTGTGTCTTAACTTGGCCTGATTGAATACCAGTTTTTAGTTGAGGATTTACAGTTAATTACCCTGCACCAGTAATTTCAAAAGGGTTTATATTTATTACTTGACTACAAGCCTCCATTGTTACAAAAGGACATAGTAAAAAGTTGTGGTATTTTACTTCAACACTGCAGGCCTACCTGACTTCAGGAAGATTGTGGAGAGTGGCTTTTGGCACATGAATGGTGTAGTCAAGGGTGATCATATGTGGCTTACTGTTGACCCACAGCACTGAGGTGGAGATATCCTGAGTAAGATCACTCTGAAACACACAAAGGAACACACATTTATTAAATATGTTGGTGACTTGACACAGATAAATACGAATCACAACTTAACTCTTTTCTGCAATACAGACAGAGAGAGAATTAATGTTTGATTAGAATTAGAATCACTATGGTTAATTAAGAAGTTAGGAACTAAGAAAGCGACTGAAGAATTCATTCTTCCAAGAGCATTTTTTTCTTGTCATCTGTTTATGTTCATACATAAGTACTTTTCAAAGCAGCTTTCATTAGGAGGGAAAAAAACTAAAATTAACGCATTTTTGGCAACACTGCATTAGTAGATCTCTGGCTTTCCACAATTTGACTGTTTTGGCACAATGTTCGTAGTACCCTTACAGAAACAACCATGGTCAAGATTTTTAAAACCACCAATAGAAATCAGTTTAACCCCATACAAAAGTGCAATTTTAAAAATGCCTTGACGTTCTTTCTGTCTGTTTCTCCTATATACAAGAAAGTCAATTCCACATGTTGAAAATAACTTAAACAGTCACAAGATTCCCTAAATAAGGGGCCACAATGGAAACTACCTAGCTTTCACAGGTTCTGTGATTTCTCTTTGCTCCCCTAAACACAACAAACAAAACCAATCCTGTTTTGTAGTGTTTGACCAAGCTTGAAGTTCAGCATCCAAGTAATAAACCCAGAGCACATGCACTTTCATCAATGTTCCCAGAGAAATATAAAACCCTTTGATCCAGATGTGATTTTATGCTGAGACAGCAGCTTATCATTTGAAACCAACATCACAAACTTTAATGTATAAGGTAAATGCCTTGTATTTTCTCAGATATCAATGTTTATTCATATTATCATATTCACTAAAATCTTCATATTTTTAACCTTTGATCTATTCTCTGTCTGACTCATGTAAGAGATTAAAGCTACTGCTGCTATGCTACTGAACTGCTCTCACAATGCAGTTTGCCCAGTCATTGTACTAATACTTGTTCACATACCAAAGCATTGCAAAATAGCAGCAAGGACTGAGGTTAGACTGAATGCAAAATACAAATCAACATGCTGGTTTGCACCATTTAATTACATATGTCTACTTATATTGAGATGCCCTACTGTTACCTTATAGTAGATATTTTTGCCTTGAGGTGCTCGGCCGGTCTCCAGGATGTAATCATAGTTGCGGTGGTCAATGATAAGGATTCCACCGGGTTTGACCATACTAGCAATGTTCTGCAGAGCCAATTTTTGGTCACTCTGGTCCCCTAAAAGTAATACAGAACAAATCATAGGATCAATTCATCTCAAAATTAACATCCATTCCAGATAGTACTTAAAAAGGGGAAAATATTCAAAAAATTGACCATAAAAAAAGCTCTAATCTTGAATATATAGAGAGCACTGATTGAAGGTACGCTTGGCACGGTTTGAGTGGTTAAGCAGCAGCTCAGATTAAGCCAGCTGTATCTTTTTCTCTTTCCAATACCTTTGAAGTCGGGTAAATGGGCAAAGGAGTTTCCAAGGCAGATAACAGCATCATAGCCATCGCCTGGTTTCTGGATATCTTCCGGTAATGTCAACCAGTTGGCTTCTTCAATCACTTTGAGAGGTGACAAACAACATAACAGAAAAACATGGCTGATCAACACTACCAAATTCGACTTCATGTCCGGTTTCAAAAATAAACTTAATATGCCATTTTCTTAACATTTAGAAATAATTCAATTTTTCCATGAAAAATACCATACCCCACTGATCAAAAGCTGGTTCTTTTCTTCTCTCCCATCTTGACTTCAGTGCATACTTCAGCATTTTGTCACTGGCATCCACGCTCACCATATTAAAACCCTCCTCTACCAACATAATGGAGTCAACTCTAAACAAGAAAAAAAAAAACTTACTTGATTACACTATTTTCTATCACAATAAATTGCAATACAACTTTTAGTTAAGTCACGTTTATCTAATTGACCTTACACTGTCATCTGAACTGAATCTGAAAAGATCTTATAAGCTTCCATTAAGAGTGTGTCAGGGAAATTCTGTGTAAGAGAAGGCATGTCTGCAGACAGGACAACTGAGGTTTTTTTTTTAACCCTGCGATGGGTTGTGATTTCAGAGTATTTGAATATTCATCAGATAATTTTTTTAAAAAGTTCTAAAAAAGATAAAAGTGCCATTTATCTTATCTGAGTTTTTCAAATGTTATAACCAGCAGCGACTTGTAATGCTGTACAACCACTGGATGGTGATGGTCCCATAGTAAAAGCTGCTCACTAATTGACATGAATAATAAAAGATAAAGACAGTATAGATGTTGATTCCAGAGAAAACAGGCAATAAATCAAGTGTGGGACAATGAAATTCAGAACAGGAAAAAAACAAAGCTGTAAAAAGCGGAGAGTGCGGACCTCTCTTTGAAAATATAAATGTAAATGATTACCTAAGAAAACTTTTCAGGTAAATCTAGCATATCTAGATTCCACACATCTAACTATCATTACCTACAACTACTATGCAAAGTCATAGCTCTCTCTTTCTTGTCTGTGTTTCAAGGGATAGGGGGTGGTTATTTAGTCTTCCTCCTGTGTTAGCTTTTACTACACACCCACTATGTTAAGGTTCGGTTTTGACCATGTCTTAAATCAGCAGCAATTTACACTAAAAACAATTATATATCATCCAATTTGGTTCTCATCTCGAGGTTACCTTGTTAGGCTTTATTATCCATGAAAATATTGCTTATAATATTTTTAATGGGCCTTTCTTTGTCAGTATACCCCTCATACAGACATCTATACTGAATTGATCTCACATGTCTGGACATGCCCGATGTTGTTTTTTGTGCAGGGAAATACATGGCAAAATGAGAATTTCCTAAATCTCACATAATTGGAAGAGAATCTGACTGTTATTGTGGTGCCTGACAGTGCACATTTGATTTTAGTTTTTGCTCTAACTATTAGATATTAATCCAACCAGGTCAACAGCGACCCTAACACGACAAGTGCCATAATTTTATTAAGAGCATTTTATAATTTAGTGAATTCATTTTTTTTATTTCTATTTTGTTGAAATAGAGATTCCTGACAAAGTCAAAAAGTCTTGATGCAAATAAACTAATTTATGTGGTTCTTTAAACCATTTGAAAACAAAAACGGGTCAGGAGCAGGGTTAAACATGAATGAGCTCCTATACCTGTGCATTATACCAACCTTGTTATTACCTCTCCTCACCCCCAAAGTAGATTGCAATATACACTATGAGGAGTAAGTGTTTGCAGGTGAATGACACATGGTAGTTAGTAGCTCCAACTTTTGGACTGTCCTACAGGCCAAAGTAACCAAAGTCAGACCGCAGTCCTGAATGTTGATTTTTGTTTGGACAATGCTTATTTCTTATGCAAATAATATAATATAAGCTAATGCTCAGTAAAGGAGTTATGCAACTCTGTGAGGAGCACAGCAATGAAATTTGTTGGAAAATTAAGTGAAAGAGTAGCACACTGATTCAAACTTGAGTCATGCAAGATTATTAACAATGACATAGAAACCTATTTACAAAGTATTACAGTATGTTCGCTGTATGAGCACCCAATTCAACTAAGACACAGAAACTGTAGCTTACAAAGGAAAGTTTTTATGTCCTTAGATTTTTTTGCAAGTACATAAAAAACGCATTACTCAAGGAAAATATAGGCAGGTAAAACAAAAATAATTTCACCCCCAATAAATGTTAATTCCTTGATAATAAGCTTGGTATAGAGCGTCTACTCTTCTGGTGAACGTTTCAGAGCTACTGTGGAATCACTTGCACGTTTAGAAAGCCAAAAATAGTAGGGCTATTTGTAACCTCACTCAACTTGTCACTGAGACATTCTATAGAAGGGGGTCAGAGTCCACGCGTTTACAGCCTCTTCACCTCTACCACTAGTGCTCCCTAACACCTACTCAATATTTACTTTTGAAGCACAAATACATAGATTACATCCAGTGTCCTTGTTGTCTCTACACAAAGATAAACTATCAGCAGAGGTGAGCACACCAAAGGGAACCAGCCAAAACTGCCTGCAGCAACCCAGAACAAGCTCATCAACCCCCCTCACCTGATCCAGCCTAAACACTTTAGCACACCTTCAAGAAATATATTTTTAATGCAAATTATTTCAAATAGGTGACTGGCAACCTATCTAAATTCAACATAGGCTAAAGCTTTCAGGAGGCAGGGACTGGCATTGATGGTGCACCTCTGCACTGTCATTCAATCCACTCCATCCTAATCCGTGTTTTACCCAGGTTTAAAAATGTTGACTGGTTTCTAACATTATTTATAACTGTATTAAAACCTGTTTATTCAAGGACAGGATTAGCACGTTGTGTTGCTCCACCAAACCCAGGACGTAAAAAGTACACATGAATAACCAACTCTATACATGTGGACAGATTGCATATTGATCTATGATCTCTGATATGGTGCTGGATTTTCCAATTTGAATTTTTATAATCAGACATCTTTGTTTTTATCGTACTATTTCATGAATAAAGTTTAGTGCTCTGTCACTTTGTTAGAGGCAGTGAGACGTCCACTGCCACGCCTGCCGAAGCATATGTCACAACCAACAACATTACCCTGTTCCGCAAGCAACATCCAGGATACTCCGCACCCCTTGCTGTTTCAGCAAAGCCACCACCCAGCTTTTGTACTCCTGCGTCCTACTCTGCGTGTCTCCGATGTACAGCTCCCAGACTTTCGCCGCTTTGCCGTCGGCATACTGATCAGGAAGACCCTCGGCGGCCACACCAAGAGAGCGGGTCCTAAACACACTGTCAACCGACATGCTGCTGCTTTTTTTGGGAAACTCCTCCGTCTTACCTTACCTAACAATTGACAGTAACAACCAAACGAAAAGTTTCACGAATGCAACAGGTAAACTACACGTTTCACGAACTGCAGCAGTTCAATTGACATGTATATCAGCAGAAGAGTAGAGGGTGGGGGTGGGGGCAATTTAAAACCAATCATAACCAAGAATGCACTGACGCCTTCCATCTGATTGGATGGGACATAGGAAAACGCCCCCACTTCCGTGTTTACGTTTGCAGACGCCCCCCCTGACGCACGCTTTCGCTCCACCGTCTCAGGATCATTTTTACGACACACTTTTATATAATGAAACATTATTCCATCAGATCGTAGCGTATGGGTCTGACGAAGAGTTTGTGGTCACAGGCCCTGCTGCTAAAGAAAGAGGCATTTATTTGTTCAGTGTTGCCTTCAAGGCTGTACCCAGGTAATAATGAAACAATGAGCAATGGGAACATCCCTCCCCTAAAATAATTCAACTTTTTCCTCATCATTTAGCAATCGACCCGTCGTTTGTGAAAGACATTTCATATTGTTTGAGTAGTTAAGAAAGCAAAATAGATAATATAATGACGCTGTTCATCTAAAAAAAATAAGTATTTATTTGCCCTCTTTAGGCTTGCTTGGAGGTTGACTCCCACTGTTGTGATTGGCTGTTCATTTTCACACAGGACCGTAATTATGAGTAGTTTCTGCAGGATTTTGTCAGCTAAAACCAGAGCTATCCAGTGGATAATCTAGATCACATTCTCAGTAAAACCTGCAGAGCTGTGTGGTCCAACTTGGCAACAGTTACCAAATAGCTTTATTGAAGATAGATAGTATGGCAACCCCTGCAACTCGTGATACACTGCAGCATGTACAATAAAATAAGAATATAATAGATATAAAATGTATGCAGTGCCACAGAAGATCATATTGTTTCAATTAAGTCTCATGGCTCTGAAAATACAAGTATGAAAATACAAATTTAGAATGGTTGGCATGCTGCAAAGTGTACTTACACTAACCTAATTACTTTTAGACTATTAAGTAAAACTTGTTCAGAAATGAGTTACTGACAGGCTTTTTATTCTAGCTTCAGAAATGATGCAAGTGAAATGGACATTCTTAAATGTGAATTTAAACAATTTAATCAATACAGGAAAAAAATGTCTACTTATCTTTTTTATTTTATGTTGCAGAAGACAATATGAAATAAGAGAATAACCATTGTGCAGCCAAAGTACTATATTGTGATGTAATTGTGTGTGAACAACACATTACCTGTAGACTATGGCTCTTATGCAAAGACAAGTTGCTAAGTCCCTTTATACCTGACCCTTCCCATTCGAGACAGAGGAACAATTGCAGTATCAATAATCTCACATTACATGGTATTCAGCATACTCCTTCACTGTTAACCATTGCGGGAAGATGTTGTGCTGTTGTCTTAGCTTGAAGTATTGTATTTGAAAGTGTATTTCTTTATTTGTTGAAATAGAAACATGTTATTTTGATGCATGCTATAAATCAAAGTTGGTAGAAGACAGCATGACCTTTAGACCTCATTGGAAAAAGATGTTTTTGATAACTGATGATTCCTTTCAGGTGTCCATTAACCCATTTAAATGCAGCAGTAACAAGCTTACCTTTTTATGTATGTACAAAAAGCTGGTGCTGATTATTTACAGCCAAATATGTCTGCAAACTTGTGTGAATGTCTATTGATGCTTTTATCTGAATTTTACACAGAAATTGTTCTACTAAAAATATATACACTACTCAAAATAAGTTATAGATATTGTGAGATCCTCTGTGGATTTTATACATAAGGTTTTTGTTTCACTTAAGTGATTTTTGGGATAGGGAGACAATTGTGTTGTATTGAAAATTGTACACCTCATTTTGTGTTTTCCATGTAATGGTCTCACTGTGAACAGTGTGCCTCAAATATAAGGGCCATTACCAAAAAAATTGAAAAAGACAGCCCTTTTCAACGTGGCATAAATTTCAATATTCTGGGGGTATAAAAGGCTGGTATTGTCAGTAATTCATTCCCAGTTCATCATTTAAGCAGCCATGAACACACGTCATCTAAGGGAGGAGCAGCACCACTCGGCCATGGCGGGCCTTCTCCCTCTCTTGTAATGTGCTAAACTGAACACTAGGTGGTACTCCAAGGAAAAGAATGATAAATATTGTAGAACAAAGTCAGACTCAAATCCATTGTTTTTAGTTACCGAGGTAACCTTAAAAATGAGATGTGAAACCACTTATGTTTTAAAGTTATATTTAGCAAACAGTTCAACAAAAAATACAAAAACCAATTCTTTAAAAATTATTTCCTTAAGTACATTTGCTCAGGTAACATCTTACAGCATTCTGAGAGGCTGGCATTTTTGTTATGGTTTCCATTTTGAATTGTTATTTGAGTGTGTAGCCATAAATTGGCTTTAAAGTAATATGTTACAGAAAACCTAAGTTCATAAAAGAGGAATTGTTGAAATTAGACAGTTTAAGCACCAAGGAGCACATAAAATCAAGTATTTTCAGTGTTTAAATGTTTATAGATATTAACCTGGCATTTGTAAACATTGAAGTAATACTGAAATGATTGATCTCAATTTTATTTCATTTTTGATGATGGCTATTTCTTCTGCTACTACTGCTTGCAATCTTGTATATTAGAAACCAAGTGACCATGTTGTTTTGTGAAGGGACAGTTAGCTCCTGCTTTTTAGAATGATAATATCAATAGTATGCACTGTCCCTTACACATGGAATAAAAAAACAGAACAAAAAGGATTTCCTCTCATTTTGGAAGGCTTCCCAAAATGGTGTAGCCATCAACCAAATGCAACAAAACTCCAAAAACATCTTAAAAAATATACGCTAAAATGGGTACAGCAGAGTCAGCGGCCATCATTTTTAACACTCAATATTTTGCGAGGGGACAGTAAATTGTTGATTGGTATTTTGTGCTCTACCCCTCTGGTACTTGACAACATAAAACCTTATGACAGCTATAAACACAACTACAGCCAGAGCAAGAAAAATCCATATCCAGAGAAAACCACCAGCAGTCGAAGACGCGTTATTTGTATGATTATTGGTAGCTGGTTTCACAAAGCCAATTATGATGGGAGTTGTGACCACAAAATGTTCATCATACGCTGCTTTGATGCATTTGACTTCATCTTTAAGTATGAATCCTTTTTCACAGGAGCACTTAAAGCTCCCAAAAGTATTGTTACACTTTTGGTCACACCATTCCATTGAACATTCATCAAAGTCCACACAAAATTTATCAACAGCCAGGTATCCTTTAGGACATTCGCATGCACTGTCAGTGTTTCTTTGACATATTGCAGGACATTTCTCTTGCGAGCAGTGCAGTTCGCACCGCTTGGGGTTGATACTGTCTGGGATATATCCATTAAAACAGGAACATTTATATCCACCTCCTACAGCCGTGCATAGATGCTCACAGGGAGCATTTGAGCAGCCTTTGGAGCTTTTGTAAAAATTGGAATCTGATTGTCTCTGAATCTGGCATGCATCTTTGTGCTTCATTTTGCACAGATAGCCATCAGTCCTGTCAGTGCACAATCGCTCTGTCAACCTTCGATCATTTGAAATAGACACACAGTGTGGAGAGCAGACTTTAAAGTTGTCATTCCAGGTGCAGAGGGACAGAACAGAGCTATTTTGCATTCTACCAGACGCCCACTTATAACCTCTCAGTGGAGCTGAAAGGTTGCTGCAGATGCCAGCAGGTAAACTGAGTCCAATCCAGAAGTTTCCATACGATTCTTTACTTAAAATGTCGAGGATGTTCCCGTCTTTCTCAGTCTGAAAGGTCATCAGTTCTCCATTCTTTTCATGGCATTCCTCTTTGGCTGTTTTAAAATCCACCATTTCTTGGTTCACAGTAACACAGTCACTTCCAGTACAAAAAGGTCTGCAAGTGCCTCTCTGCATCAGTCCAAATCCTGTCTTAACAGACAATAAAAAAATCATCCAAATAGGCATTGTTTTTACCTTCATTGTCAAAGACACCGTGAGCTGCGAGCAGTTCTTGATGTTGTGCTGTGGCTGCTTATAAAATTGGCTGAACAAAACTTGGACTGAGTCTGTTGCGACCTACACAGGAAGCAACACCCCTTTTGACAATGGCAAGACAGGAAGGAAATGAGATAAAGCTGAACTTCTATTTTCCATGGTTGGCACAGGCATGAACAAACATTATTTCTATTATATGGCTTAAATTTATTTGTTAATCATATATACAACAGTAAGGATAGTTAACAAAAAATACAATGTCAATCAATAAATCAATAAATCAATTCCATAGCCCAAACTTACAACAGATGTTATCTCAAGATTCCTTCACACACCTGTGTGTGTGTTTTCTGTGTGTACACTTTTGCCATTCCATCAAGCCAAATTAAAAAAAACATTACTTACATTTTGTACATGTACTATCTAAACAACAACAGCTTTACACAGAGATATTACATAACAAGTATAAAGACATGAATTAACCTATCAATCCATCTTGGTTGTTTTTTTTTTTTTGTCGTTGTTGTTGTTTGTCTGTTCGTATTTTTGGTCACTGACAAGTCACAGGTCATCAGTCAAGATGGACTCATATAGTTTCTCCAAACGTGGATCCAAACCAGAAGACACCCAACAATAGCCATCAGTGGTTGCCTTCTTCTTGGCTTTCTTTTGTGATTGACTGCATCTAAAAATTGCAATGGCTGCAGCCACTGTGACCAAAATTAGCAAAGGAATTACGGAACCAAGGACACAGATGATCACCCTGGAATTTACTGTTTTGGCAAGACTTGTCAAAGAGGATATATTGTTGTTCTGCTGATCACTGTAGGTAACATTAACAGACTCTGAAAGTGGTGTGTAGGGGGACTGGAGCTCATTTGAGTGTCTGGTTAAAAATTCTGTCAGGTTTTCTTGTGTTTCTGCTTTGGCTTGATCATCCGGTGAAGCAGCTGCTGTTATTGTCATGTCTGGAACACAAGTAGTTCCATTGGTCTCCATCTTGAAGCCTTGCTTGCAGGTGCACAAGAAACTGCCTTCAGTATTGACACACTGGTGATGACAAAGACTACTGATACATTCATTTATATCCACACATGAATAGCCATCCTCAGATAGCGTAAAGCCTTCATTGCATTTACAGAAAAAGGATCCAATAGTGTTTGAGCAGAGGTGTTCACATCTTGACTGCACACACTCATCAATATCATTACATTTACCCTCAACCATTTCATAACCATCTCTACACACACAGCTGTAACTGCCATGAGTATTTATGCACAAATGAATCCCACAGATCTGTGACTGGCACTCATCAATGTCAGAGCAGTTGTGTTGGTTCTCATCTAGTTTGAAGCCATCCGGACATTTGCAGGAGTACCCAGACTCCCCAATTACACACTGATGATCACAGGTATCTAACCCACACATGTCATTCATCCTGCAGGTGAGTCCATCTTCATTCAGGTTGTAGCCTTCTTTGCAAATGCATTGTGCCTCATCTGCATCCTGAAAGCACAAATGTTCACACTCACCATTGTTAATTGTACAGTTGCGCTTTTCCATTTTGCAAAATGGACCTGGGTCCGTCCAGTGAAAGAAATTGTCTGTCTCCCTGCACACGGAAAAGTGAGACTTATTGTCCCCACATACAGTTTCAGCATATGTTCCAAGGGGGAATAGTTGCATTTCATTTCTCTGTTTCTCTTCTGAGAAGGGTGCTGTGTAGGTTACTTGCCCAGGCCCCAACAAAGCTAAGGGTTTACACATTCCCCTAAAATAGAACCTACACACATAAAAAGCATGGGCTGTGCAAGATCCATCTGCCCATTTTAGTTGTGTCTGACCTAATGAAGTGTATCGAACACTTACACATCTCTCCGTTGTGCATGTGCTGGTAGGATCTCTTCCCCAGTTAGAGTAGTGGGAATCTTCCTCCCCAGATACCCACTTAAATCCTTTGAGAGTCTTGTGGGCCAAAACACAGTCCCCTCTGTGCAGTTTTAATCCAATCCAAAATTGTACTGATCTGTTCTGACGTTGATTTTTCATCTGTGAAAGAAGCTCGAGCAACAAATCCTCTTCTCTTTTCTCTCTGATGGACATCAGATAACCTCCATTGTGGTAACAGCGTTCACTTGCCTCTTCAAAGCTCACCTTCTCCATATGCAGTGTGAAGCAGGAATTGGAGCTGCATAGTGTCTTATGTTCAGCTCCAGATAAACCCTCAAAGCTTTTCATTAGCTGGAGTACAAAAACCAAAAGCATAACTGCCATCAATATCGACGAATAAGCTATTCTCCAAAGGGTTCCTGAGAGTTTTGGGACAAAATGTGTCCACTATATGGCTGTCCATTCGTTGCCAAAAACAAGTGATGCGTGTCTGAAACCTGGATTCGTGATCTTGCATCCTGTCTGGGACAGAAACTAAAGACGGAAACCATGTTTAGTATTAGTTTGGGGTTCCTTTCCCCCAACCCTGCTAACCATTTCCGTCTCAAAACAGAAAACAATGGCTTGCTTTGCTGTGTTTTGATTGCTTCTCCAGATGTTTCCGCTCCCAGTACACTCTGGGCACTCTCTTAATTGTGGTGGTGCACAATACATGAAAAGGGTCAGAGTCACTGAGCACTTTGACATTTCAAATAATGCTGTGAATGGCTGCACAATAGCTCCAGTAGCCACCTTCTGCCCCAGGGATAGTGTTGACCATCACTTCATGCCAGGTCTTACTTGTGTTTGAGGAGGAACCTAATGTCATGTTAGTTTAGTTGTTTTGTAATGAAGTTTTATTCCCTGTGTATTTTCCCTGTAGTGTCTCTGTTCCCTATTGTTCCTTTGTCTCTGTGTTCAGTATTCTTGTTTTCTTGTTCTTGTGTTTTTCTGTTTTAATTTCTCAGGTCAGTTTTCATGGTTCCCTGTTTTATTTTGTACTCGTCAATCCCTGTGTGCAAAGTCTAGTTTTACTTACTAAGTTTTCCCTCCTCTAATGATTTCTCATGTCTTGTCTGTCTCAACTGTTACCTGTTACACGTCCCAATGTTTATATAGTCCCATTCTTCCTCCCCTTCTTTCTTTGTTTGTTCATTGTCTATTTCTTGCTGACATCTTTGTTTATATGTTTTCCCAGTGCTTCAGTGTTCTTCTCGGCTCAGGTCGCTCATGTTTTCGGTTTGGGTTTGCTAGATAGGGATCTTTTTTGTAGATCTAAATGTGAATTTCTGTTTTTTGCTTTTGAAACTCTTTTTTTTTTTTTTGGTCCACATTTTGGGTCATTTTCCTTTTGTTTAAACTCTGTTATGTGACACCCAACTAATTACTTGCCTCCTCACTCACTTTCCTCCAGGAAAGATCTTTTTTATTTCTTGTTTTTATATGGCTGCGTACTCTTGTAACTCTCTCGCCCCCTCCAACACATACTCACTGCACTGAGGAGCTCCTTAAGGGACAGGATGCTCCACCCTAAGTTCGTGATGGAGAGTTATCGCAGGTCATTCCTTCCTGCAGGTGTTAGACTCCACAACAGAAACCTCAGTGTGCAATAAATCATTTATATACATATAAATTCTGCACACATGTATGTCCTGTACATAAGTATGCTTATTCTGTGTATATAGTCATATAAATATCTAAATTTTTAACTGTAATATATCAACATATAAATAACAGCTTTAAACAACAGTCATGTATCTATCTATCTATCTATTCATATATATATATATATATATATATATATATATATATATATGTGTATATATGTATATATGTGTATATATGAATATATATATGTATATATGTGTATATATGAATATATATGTGTATATATATATATGTATATATATATATACATACATATACATGTATGTATGTATATATTGATTATATATAATATTATATATATATATATATATATATATATATATATATATATATATATATATATATATATATATATATATATATATATATATATATATATATATATATATAATATAATATTATAATGCCTAAGTTTCTTCATTCTTCAATATGTCTTTTGTATTCATCGCTGGACTTTGTGGACTGGTGCCAGTGGAACCACCTCCAGATTAACACTGGAAAGACGAAGGAGTTGGTTGTGGACTTCTGCAGACCCCTCCCCCTCCATCACCAGTGAACATTCAGGGACATTGAGATGGTGACGTCTTATAAGTACCTGGATGTTCACCTAAACAATAAAATGGACTGGACTCATAACACAAACGCACTTTACAAAAAAGGACCGAGCAGACTCTATTGAGCTCAGGAGGCTGAGGTCTTTTGGGGTGCGGGGGGGCACTCCTAAGAACCTTCTATGACTCTGTGGTGGCCTCTGTCATTTTCTATGGAGTGGTCTGCTGGGGGAGCAACATCACAGCAGCTGACAGGAAGAGGCTGGAGTTAGCCAGCTCTGTATAAAGAAGGCCAACTCTGTCCTGGGATGCCCTCTGGAACCTGTGGAGGAGGTTGGGGAGAGGAGGATCAAAGCCAAGCTGTCCTCCATGCTGGACCGTGACTCTCACCTCCTCCAACACACATTCACTGCACTGAGGAGCTCCTTAAGGGACAGGATGCTCCACCCACCAAGTGTGTGATGGAGAGGTATTGTAGGTCATTCCTTCCTGCAGCTGTCAGACTCCACAACAGGAACCTCAATGTGCAATAAATCCTATTATGTAAATATGATGCGTGTACATATCTTTTTTTAACTCCAAGTTTCTTTATCTTTTAATTTTTCTCCTTTTGTATTGATACTATGCTGCTGTAAATTTTGAATTCCCCCCTGTGGGACTATTAAAGGAACATCTTATCTTATCTTATCTCAATCTGCTCCTAATCCCTCCACCCTGCCGACTGAGGACATTATTGTCTCACATTTCACTGATAAAGTTTCTACCATCATGTGGTGATGCGAGGGACTCTGAAAGTTAATTCAAAAATGAATCTTGTAACTTGACACAAAAACATGGGAAAAGATTTAATATTGGAATCTTATCATTGTTTATTAGACTGAAAAAAACCCTTTGTTTACCACATTTTCTGATTTCATGGGAATTGCTGTTGACACTCAAAAAAAGAGCACAATTTCTATAGTCCATCATGATCAATGTGTGACTTAATTTCTTTTTGAATTCATTTCAATCAATCAATCCAATTTTATTTATAGAGCACCAATTCACAAGCAGTGTTTTACCAAGATGCTTCACCAAAATACAGACCAGACTCTATTTACAAAGACTAACTGTAAAGGTGAAATAGAATTAAGCCCCATCATGTAAGACCATACCCACTCCCATCCCATCTTAAACACTTTGAGGTATTTAGCAGGTTACAGTTGAGAGGAAAAACTTCATTATAACAGGCAGAAACCTTGAGCAGAATCAGACTCATGCATACAGTCATCTGCTGTGACTGCACTGGGTTTAGAGAGGGGATGGAGGGAGATACAGAAAGAGAGAGATGGACAAAGATGAGACTGATAGACAGAGCTAAGACTGATGCATGTAGACAGAAAGAGGATGGAGAAGAAAAATGGATTATTAAACAAAAGCACCAATGTCATAAAAAAACTGTAAACCTCAGTGAATTGTAACAAACAATGTCTTACAGGTGGAAAATAGATTATCAGTATTTATTAGTATCCATGGTCTTAAATGCCAACATTCCCAATCAGCAAATACCTGAAACATTTCTATGTTTTTCAGTGCAGGGTTTTGAAACCATGACACGTCTCAGGATCTCCCAGATGCCAAACACTTAAGGATGGTTCACTGTAAAAAGAAACAGAAGCATGGTTTTCATGCAAGTTATTGTACTAATAGTTGTGTTTTTATCTTCATTGTTTTTTCATCTCATAAGAGCATTAGCCACTGAAACATTTCCTCCATAATTACATAAGGCTTTCTCAGGTATTATTGCCATATCAGATGGGATAGAAAAACAAAATATGGATGGATGGGGTGTCATAGAGTTAACATTTAAAAACAGTTTCTTATTGTCGAAGAACTCGTTAAGTATGTGCTAATGTAATGTGAGTGGGTTGTTAAAGTAGACGGCTACACAAGTAGAAATATCACGACACAAAAACTTAACTGAGGAAAAAGTACTATGGGAGCAAGCCCCCAATTGGCTGCCAGAGCAGCCAATTCAGAGCATGAGATAGAACAACTAGTTTACATACAAGATAGGCGACACACACACACACCACATATACTCCAGACACAGCCAGGCCAGAGAAAAACACAAAATACAATATACATTACTGGAATATTTTAACCCTGTTTTATGATGATCATGTTGAAGGCAACAAGGACATCATAGAATGTAGCAACAACATACAAATAAGCTTTTGTACATTTCTTAATAGGGTTGGTTACAAACTTATCTGTGGAAAACTCCGTGTCAGTTTAACACTACACAAGTACTTGTCGAGTGTTGGTTTGGAAAATATGATCATAATTTCCTGTCCCTCTGTATCACATTATACTTATAATATAAAGACCCATAGATATGGCAAAGAACTCATTACAAACAAACATCTGAAACATGTCCATAAGAAAATAATAATGTACCTGTACACTCTGGGGGTTGATCACTCCACTGATTTCCTTCACAAGTGATTGCAGCAGCACCTTTCAACTTGAAGCCATAGAAACACGAGTACAGAGCGACCAGTTTGCCAGGACCCGAGGACAAAATAAAATCCCCATTCTTTATTTCCCTCGGAGAGCCACACTTTACCAAGTCTGTGATTTAATGATAATAATTATTCAAATTAATGTGTCATTGTGATTCAAAGGAATGAGTAAGGACTTCATAGAGCCTGACAGTGTCTAAAACCCACCTTGGCTTCTTTCCTCTCTCCAAGCTTCCAAGTTCATTGATGGTATATGCTCACAAGGGAGGTAACCAGAGGGATATTTCCTGAACCTAAAGGAATCAGGGAGTACTTCCTTTACATTGCTGTTATCACAAATGACCCGTGAGAGTGACCCCTTTAAAAGCTCCATCTTCTGTTGCTGGCTGAACATGCCGTCAGCCTCCCACCAAAATCTGAAAAAGATGAACTCCTAATTATTTCAGATTTTCATTAATTTAGTAATCTTCATTGGTATTCTATGAAATCTCTTTTTTTACACAATTTTTTAATTTCACTTTTTAATCCCGGACGTCAAGTGATTTATAGCCAAAGATTCCAATAATGATCCATTTTTAATATCAACGTACCTATCACCATCACGGAGTGTTTTCATCTGCTTTCCTATCAGGCAAGCAAAGAGGGGACCAGTCCTTGAGTCTGGCAGCAAATTTTCAACAAGTCCCCCGAGCCACACATCAATATTATCAGGATGTTTGTATACTTTCAGTATCTTCTTAGCAATTTTGTGATCACTCACAACTTCCTTTAAATCATCCAATGTTTTTATGGTCGGCATTCCACAGAAGGCTCTCCAATCATTGTATCCTAAAAAAATATTTAATTAGAATATAATGTAACAATAATACATTCACATTTGGCCGTTTTATCTGATGTTATGCTGGAGCCACACTGCACAGTGAAACAGAATTTAGATCTGCTTTAGAGAGCACGTCGACAGAAAAGAGAAGCCAAACGGCCAGAATGAACAAGGCTGCTTGGGCATGGATTCAGAATTTTATAGGCGACACATCTTCAAGAACCTTTAGCAGGTCCAGTTGCCCCTTGAACCAAAAATGATATAACCATGACCTGGATGAATGAGACAGCCCATTTTAGTTTCATGCTTCTGCTTTCTTATCAAAACATAACATTAGATTATCCACCATGCAACCTATCCCCAACAGTTGGCACACCCCTGAGAAGAGCCAAAGGACTTGAAGGACTTTTAAAGGACACTCACCAGGAAGCGCATGATCTCGTCCTCTTTGCAGGTTTAGCGATGCAAGGTCCATACGGTGTGGCATTTTAAGGACTACTAGCCTCTCTGTTAGTTCATCCGTCAAAAGCATGTCTGCGCTTACAGCTTGTGCTGCAGATCCAGTTGTACCTCTTAAGATTGGTTCAATTCCACCTAAAAACAAAAACTATTCTATTTTGAATATGTGATACATCTTTTGTATTTTTTATATAAATTAAACATGTTTTTATTTGTATTGCTGTTGTAAAAGAAAAATAATAATGATGATTTTGACAAAAAATTTTATGACAAAATGTACTATTTTAACAATCACTTAAATGAACCAACAAATGCATGGATTAAGTATGACATATTGATCCAGGATTGCTCTCTCCTCTGCTAACAAACCTGTTCAACTGTCTTACTATCAGCTGAATTGCATGGAACAAATTTCTTGTTACACTGCAGAAGACTTCTTATTCTGAATCTGATCTACATGCTATCTTTCTTTTACTGAGTATTTAATGTACTTGCAGACCACTTAAGTGTTCTGATGTGAAGCTTCATTAGATTATACTGACCTTCTCTGACTATTCTCCAGGGACTGAAAAAAGAAGTATGGAGTCTCAAGTGGGCGAACTGCTCATGTTCCTGGTAGCTCCCGTTAAATCTCTTGACAATCGGAGAGATTGTGGCATGGCCAAACCTGAACGCAGCGCTGGCGAACACATTGGAGACTGATGGGTCGGTAGTTGGGTTGTATCCCCTATAGGGCCCGATGTACTGTTCATAGGATTTTGAGCCAATAATTTTTGGAAGATAATCTCTCATGGTAATTATCTGAAAGGCAAAGAAGAGAGGGAGGAACATAAAAAGCCCCCCCAAAATCCAGAACTTAATAAAATCTCAGAGGAATGCAAACCTAATAGTTATATCTATATATGAACATATCACAAAGCACTGCCTACAGAATTTCTAGTAACATGAGTATGATTATGACTCATTTGGACATATTTAGTTCTTGGATTATCAAAGTTTACCGGACAGAAGAAGAAGATCATGAATGGATTGAAAACACACTGAAGGGTCTGGTACAAAAGTAAGAAGGAATTAAAGATTTACTGTAATGAACTTATTGAGAGAAATAAGGAATGACCTGGACATTACCCCAAATACAAAGGGAAGTTTGTTTGAGACATGGGGTTGATCATATTTTGATAGTTCATCAATGACAAAGGGATTGAACAGTTTGAGTCCTTACAAAAAAAATATGGCTTGCTATATTCTCATTTTGTATAGCAACTCGAAATAAGATTTGCTTTTGATCGGCCCTGAATAAATGAAAATGGATGGATAAATAAATGACTGATTGATCCATTGATTGAATTATTGTTTGATAGATTTTTTTATGGCATCAAATATATATGAGGTTATTTTTAGTAAGGTGATGGTGTTGCAGTCGATTCTGCAACAGTGTCTGCTGGCTCAGCTTAGTATAGCTGTTCACAGGAAATGTTTTGAATTGCAACATTTGTGAAAAAATATGCAAGGTGTATAAAATTTTATTCAGAAAATTGTTTTTTCTAACACTGCTTTTTTATTTTTGTGTTTATCTGATGTGTGCTTCTGAGTTTGCAATATTCAACCCTAAATGTTTGTTTTTTGTTTGTTATTTGTAAAATTATTCAAGTTATTGGTTGCATACCTGGTGCAGAGCTCCGATTATTTTCCGAGTTTCTTGATATATAGTTTCTGGACTCCAGTGACTGTTTATGTGTTTCAGTGCCTCTGCAATCCGATTGTGTTCCCTTAGCCACAGAGTATGCACAATAGCCAGAGGGAGACCCTCATTGACACGACTGTCTCCAGCACTAAAACAGTCTACTCTCTGTCCATCTGGACCCTGGCGACAGATTGATGGCAGAGTTGGCACAAAAGGGAGGTAGGATCTCCCTTTAGGATCCTTGAATTGGCTGTTAATAGCAAGTTTTCCGTTACGACCTGAGAGGTCACGGAGGTAACTCTCCAGTTTTGGAGTGTTGCCGTACACAACGGAAGCATCAATGAATGATGTGATGGAATTCATCTGTTGTCTCTGCAGAGCTTGCTGGATATCAAAATTGACAAAACAGGCAGGAATGGAACGGAAGAATGGCATGCAGTGTTTTTCACCAGTCACACTTGGCTGTAGAGAAAAGAAAACAGGTTTGTTCGTTATTTGTCAATATTTTGATCATATCATTAGAATCATTAGGTTAAAAGAAGTTAAATCTTTTAGAAGGTATGCATGATACGGTTTGCATGAATCACTTCTCTGCTGTAACTGGTTGTCAATCTTATCCGGGCACTTTGTGGAAACAGTGGAAAAAAGCTAGTCTAAGTCTATTCAATAAGACCAGTGTCAATCTACATTGGCTGTCTGGGCAGTCAACAAAGACTTTCAGGTCAGTCTGTGTGTTTAACCGAGCTGAGCAAAGTTGTGACCCAAGCTGTTGGAGATCCTCTTTTCTAACTTTAAGAATAAATGAAATAAATCATCTTCTAAAATCGTTAGGATACCTTTATAATATCCATATCAAAAACTGAGAAAGACAAATTGTGCAAGCATGTATTGAGGGTGACGTCTTCATAGTTTACCTCTAGTATGGGAAAGCATGGATGCATGTTTTCACATGTATCCTGACAGTCCATGCCAAAGAAAGTGTTTCCAGTACTTTGAGGGGTAAATGAAATGTCATGGTCAATATACTGGCCCCACTCCACCAGCATATGAGAGTAGAGATCATCCTCCCGTTTTGAAGAGCTTCTCAGTATTCTCGTGCTGACCTCTCTTGGCTGTTGAGACAGAGGGATTTGTTATTTTGGATTACAATGACACAACATTAGTTGACAATGTGTGATTTATTCACAATATTCCATGTTTTAACACATAACTTAATTTCTGGACATTAAAGGTTTGATTTCTTTGCATATGTGTGTTGCACGGGTTGTTACAGACGTCTGATAAAAAATTCATGTCTGTAGCAACTTTAGAAACATCTTACTGAGAAAAGTGGTGATGTGTTCAATACTTATTTTACCCACTGCACTTATATTCCATGTTTTTAGTTGTACTTAAAATAAAACACATTGCTCAATGTAAATGTCTGCTGTGGAGAGCAGTGATGTTCTCTTCCTCAACAGACATCTACCACAACAGCATTTCAGGCACAAAACCGAACAACCGGCTTACAGAGAGAAGTAATTTGTTCACTGTTGTTGATCATATAAATGGCATCAGTAATCCAATTAATATTATTTTTCTTTTCTTTTTAAATTCTCTTTTACATATTATATAAATTCTTTCCCCCGCCCCTCCCTCACAAAAGTATTTTTGTAATTTTTTTATTTTCTATCTCTTTGTTGTTGTTGTTGTTTCTGTTGTTGTCGTCACTCTGTTTTGTTGTTAAATAAATAAATAAAAAATAATAATAAATGGTATCAGTATTTCAGTCTGTTTCACAGCCACCTAAATAAAAATAATTAAATATAGGCATTTAATTAAATAAATTATTAATGAAAGAAAACAGCTACACTTTTGGAATAATTTCCTCCACTAAAGCACCTGTACCAAAAATCACACCTCAGTGCAAATATCTTTTTAGAAATATAATCTCTGACACACTTTTTTCTGTTTAAACTGTGATGTTTATTTAATCTGTATCAAAGCAGTATACAAGTAGTACAGTTTACCAGGGGAAGCTGGAATCCATTGTAAAGCCTTCCTTTGTTCCAGCCCTTGGGTTCCCTCTCTCCATCTTCATACTCAGCTGGAAGCCATCTCACCAAAGGAGTATTGGCTGCTCCCCAGAGAGGATTTTGCCTGACAAAAACACTCATGAATTGTGCCCAACTTACAACAATGCAAAACAGGAAACACCTTCTGTGAGCAGATCAGCATTTGCTTTCCGCCCAACTGTCACTGAGTTTTAGATTTGAGAGGCATCTCTTCCTTTTTAACCCAGCAGTCATTAGCTCTTTAGCCTGCACACTCACGATTGCTCTAGCATCTTTCTTGTCAGACTTATTCTAATCCTCAACACACACATAACTGTTTTTTACCTGGTTAAATAAAGGGTATTTATTGATATAGATTAAACTCCTATGAACAGTAAATTCAAATATTTATTTTCATTTATTTTAAATAATTTTCATTCCACTGAAATTAAAACTGGTTTGAGATCAAATTTGCTTTAATCATTATCTTTACTCGGATGATTTACAGTCTAACTATGATAATGTGATTATTTCGCTTTGAAAGAGTGAATTGAGTGGACTTACCTGTTGTTGCAGAGACCAGATATGGAGCGGTACTTGTTGTGATGACTGTGCTGGCAGATGGTCGGGTGTGTTGCAGGAGGACACCGAGACAACTCTGCAATCAACTCCACATCCTCCCATGAGAGTAGTGCTGGCATGATGACATAGTAAAGTTGATCAGGGAAAAGTTCAATGGAAACATTTTTGCCTCCCTTAAAGAGGATATACATGTTAAAATTACAGAATTGTAATTTGGTCATTAAAAACAAATGAAGACATGCTCCCTGGACTGACTGCCTTGGGATTTTTCTCAGCTTTTTATATGAATTTTAGTTGTTGAGAGGTTTTACTTGCATGGTGTCCAGCTACTAAAGGTTAATTTTCAGATGGAGCAGTCTTAAGTTGATGGAAAAAGCAAAACTACCTGTTGTCATGGTATCCCTTGAGTGTCTTTTTCTTGCCCTGTCCTTGAAGACTTGCAGGGTTGTTTGAAAAATCTCTGCAGCTTGAGAAACCTCCAGGGTCTCCGGCTCGGTTTGCCGAAAGAACGGAAACGCATTTTTTGAAGATGTGGGTGTGCTTTGTCTAGGTGCAAATACATCCAGTTAATAAAAAAAAATTTGGCAACATTTGTCCTCTTTTGGACACAAACTGTTGTTGTAAGGAGAGTCAGGTGATTTTTAATCATTTCTTACAGTTGTCTTGAACGGGTCAACGCTGCATGGACAGTTTGAAGGCCTTCGTGATATGAGGAGAGCAGTAGTTGTCCAACAGTTGTGGCTGAAAGAAATACAATGAATCTTCATTACACAACAGTCTGAAATATCAACAAAGTCTCTAGGACGTTTTCTCAATCCTCCACTTGAACCATCTGTAAGATATACTGGTAAGAACACAACATATTCATACTTGTTAAAACCATTTTCTGATTCAACCTGTACAACTTCAAGGCTTTTCCTTTTTACTTCAGTTCTAAAATTCACTGCAGCAAAATGAACTCTAACATATGCAGTTAAAACAAACACAAGCAGTTATTTATTACATAAAATTCATACTTTGCACTGCATGAAGTATAACGCATTGTCATTTATTGAACCATTGGCTGTCAGTTTTTCCTGCTTTGGCACAAACTCAGTGGTACAAGTAATGGACAAGACAAACAAAAACAAAGCACAATAAAAACAAGATGTATGTAATTCAGGGCTACTTGTTTTTAACTCAAGTACTGCCAGATTTTGTTATTTTGTACTTCAACTGCACTATTTTTCAGGGGTAAATATCACGCTGTCTGATTATCTAATTAATAGAGGCACTTAAATCTGAGTGTTTGTCACAAATTAAGGAGCCATGGTGGCCTCATCCCCGTATTCAGCAGTTTTACATGATGTCCACCTGTAGCTGTAAAGAACATATCCTCACTGTAAAGTCAGTTTTATTTGGAGATCAGTAGACAAAAAGTTGATGAGAAAAAAATCATTGACTTTCTAGTTCACGAGTTTTTTTGTTTTCTCTTCGGCTTCATTTTTTAAGTTATTCAAAAGAGTACTATCTTTTGTTTTGGTTGTAAAATCACTGTTATTTCTCTGTTGCTTTACTCTTAGATCACTGCTGTGAAAATAAGAAAATCAGCTGATTTATTCTCATCTGTTTTGTCACATTAACAAGTGTTTCACGCAGAGAATCTTACTGAAAAAAAATGTATGAGAAAAAAATGGACTACTTACAGTTTAAATGTCTGGCTTCATTGTTTGGAAAACTTGGAGTTATAAGGCAGGAAAGCAAAACAAGAAAAAAATCAATGGAGTTACATGCCATTCCTGTGAGCAATTTAAGAGAGTCAAAGCTTAAGACTTCAATGTTGTATGTACAGCCAAGCCTGTCCTTATGTAGAGAGGTGAAGTGGGAAGCCCATTTCCAAGGTCAAGTAACCCAGCTCAAGTATCTCAGAGATTCTCAGAGTTTCTCTTGTCCTTGGTTGACTGGTTTACACTCTGTACTCCTTTTTTTGTCTTACTTTTCTGTCAACGTTTGTTTAGTTTAAGACCACTGGGTCTTTGGGTGGTCCTGGAAACATTAAGACTTTAATAGACATTAACACTTAATAGAGCCTGTTGGTAATAGTTGAATGATAAAGCTATTTTTTTTTTTGTATCCCTGTTGAGTCAAAGATGTGGTCTGACTATTTGGGCCATAAGCATGCAATGTAGGCAATGACAGTCTTAGTTGATAGCCTGTCAAGAGGTCATAGTGACCAGGGAGATTAAATAAAAGGACAAACAAACAGCTATCTAGGACTGATATGCTAACCAAGGACATTAATTCTCAGGAAAGATAAGATTTTGGGGGGAGGAATCAGTCAGACAAACTGTTGTTATGGAAAAGTTATTGCTTTAGTGGTGCCAAATCATGACTCTGCTCTGATACGTTCAAGATAAATGCTGAAACTACATCATTCCTCTTAGTATTTTGACATAAGTTATGCATGACATTGTCAAAAGTCAAATAAAGGGCCATGAGTTAGAGCTTACTGAAATAAAGTAAATCAGGGCCCTTCACCCCAAACGAAGACTGTATCAGCAGTATTCATTAAATTCTCGTTGCAGGATCTAATATCAAATATTCAGATGCAGACTCTGGAGCTCTGAGAAAGACCATGGCTGTTTGTTTGTTTTTTAGATACACAGGAAACTTCTCGACTTTGCCGTCAGGGCCTGATGCTACCAGTGAGGTCGACTCTGATGGTTACAGCCCACTGATAGTTGAATGAGGTGCTTGAAATTCATGCTTGACGTAGTGCTGATGTAACTTTAGGATGCTGTGTGCGTAACAGCAGTTGGTAGTAACTGTTACTGGAATTCAACAATCTTATTAGTTTAAGCTCTCAATGCACTCTTTTTTTTAAATAATAAAAAAGATAATAAATGAGTAATGATTATTGATAAACAGGGTGAGGATATATTGAGTTTGACTAATAGATAAGTGATAATGCAGAAAGAGAGAGATGAACAGAAACAAACATTAGCAATAGTAGCTGTTGGCAGCAACAGTGTTTATCACTACATTTACATTCACAATTATGTCGAGTGGATGTAGTTTGAATAGGTGACCTAAGTGTATCACTCTTCTTGACCCTGTCCACCAGCACCAGGCAAGAATGGAGTTATTTAGCAACACTTCTAAAATTAAAACTTTGTCCTTGAAAGAATATTTGATCACAGTTCAGCGCAAAACACCACACATCAACATCTGACTGTCTTAATTTTTATTAATTTAGGAAATCAGCACATTTACGAAACTTAAGTATAAACACTGACTCTGCACAATGGATTAAAAAGAAGGAAAAAAAATCTTAACACACAAGGCTAGTATGTTACAGACTTTGCGTTTCACATACCCATGTATAGAAATAGAGTTTAAAATTCTGATTTTAAATAAGGTCATCTTCCAGACTGAGTGGTGTACTCTAACATCCCAGAACTGATTTACTTACAAAATAAAATAAAATAAAATAAAATAAAATAAAATGAAAATCACTGTCACTGAACTGCCCTCACATCTTAGAACTACACTATAAAATACATAAATCATCTCTACCGTGTGTTCCATGGGAAACAAAGAAAGGCAATGGCTTAAAAAAAATTATTTCTCATGAAATATTAATGAGTCTTAAAATAAACTTAAAAGCAATTTCAGTGAAATCATTTACAACAGGTAGAAGAGGCAGGGTGTCACCGTTAAGAGTCAAATATTCTGACACTTGTTACTTTGTTCAAAATATACAGAAAATAACATTGGTGCAAAATGCTTCAGTCAGAGCCGCTAGTGGCTTGGACTTCTGTAAACAACCATGCTAGATCTCACAAGGTGTAGCAGGACAAATGCATAAGTGACAAAGAAGTTGTACAGTATCAGCTATTGCAATACAATTATCCAGAGTTCAAGACTATGGGGACTTCTGCACAGCTTTAATTCCAGTGTTTTGAGTGTTTCTCAGTGTTCCTCTTTGTCTCGACCTTTCTTTTCCTTCTCATCCTGTAGGGCTGTGCCCAGCTTCTTGATCAGCACTGACAAGACCTTATCTAGGGGATCCATCACGCCCCTCTGCAGCCACTTGGGAATTGTAGTCCTGGCGTGGTGGAAGCCCAGTTTCTGCAAGATGTAGTCAACACCCACTGGGTCAATCTTTCTTCCAGTCCAGGAGATAAGCCTGAAAACAGAGTGAATATGCAGTTTGATTACGCATGCATCTGTTGGGGCTCAATGACCTTTGGTAAGGCACCAAATTTCCCCTGCTGACATCATCAATGGTGAGAATGCTTGTAAATTTACATAGTTCACTACAATAGCACTCTGCCTCCAGTGAAAAAATAAAAACGAAATAATGGGTGAATGTGATCAGCAGCAGTGGTTGGAAAAACAGAAACAATTTTTTTTTTATTCTTAGTATTTTACTTTTTCTTCAAAAGTGATCCCAAGACAAATATCATGCAAATATTAAAAATAGTAAAAGCAAGCTACTTTGACTTGCAATAAAGGGAACCTAGTATCAGCAAAATTCAACTATTCACTTTATTGCATGTTGTTGTCCATGGCTGTAACATTACTCGATCTTTTGGTCGAATGTCCATACAGGAAAAGTGCTCTATAAATCAAGTTTTGATCTGGATTTTTGTGATTTGTCCATGAGAAAATTGACAAATCCACAGTTATCACTAGACTCATGTAAGCTTGGACAGTTTCAGAAACACTCTTCCCTGTTCTCTTGTCTCCCTGTTTATAATAAATATTCATAACTGGGAAATGTACCAAATTTTACTCTTTAACATGAGAGTTTGCACCGAGAAACTCTAGACATAGCTGACCTGAGAGTCGGCTCCAAGTGCCAGGTATTACACATGAACTCCCTCCAGTCTACTGTGGTGTAGTTGATGCCATCATCTTTATCTTTGTCCGTGGAGCTGTCATCGTGCAGGGCTGTAGGACTCTTTTGGCCCGGCCGAGCCAGGAACATCCGTGGAGCAAAAAGAGCTGGGGACATACAGGAAGCAAGACTGTAACGAAGTTGTTTCCCTCACTGCGTCTGATTTTTCTTGTTTATACGGCTGAAACATTCTGAAACAAATACTCAGCTACCATACTTGAATTGAACGATCTTTGAGAGCCTTGTCTTCAGTGTAAAAAATGTATATAACAGTTGAAATCTTATAAACATGCCTTCATTGTGCTCTCTGAGCCCGTGAGTGAAAATAAGACCTAGCTTGCTTCCCTTCATCATGTATTTGTTCTTTAAATGCCTAAAATATAGAATAAACAAATAAATAAATCAAGTATTGTTGAGACAAAAACCTTTTTCCTTCTCCTTTAGGTAAGCAGACACCAAGTCATGAAGAAACATGATGAGCTCTGCATCCATAGTGACACAGATGTGGTCTGTGAATTCTGTCACCACGCTGCACTCCACTTTGGGTTTGCTGTTGGAGTCTGAAACACAAAATCACTTTTAATCACTTACAAAAGTATGCCAATACAAACAAAACAAAAAAAAACATTTTTTTCCTTGTCCAAACCAATCAAGTCAGTCTAGCACACATTAAGAGACATCGACTTGGAAATATTGTTGGACAGAGAGATTACATTTTTCTTCTCTAAACTAGGCTTTAATTTGAGAAATAGATCCTGCTTCTCACTTAGAACAAGAAAACCTCCTGTTTCAGCAGCCTCTGCCTTTACTTGATTATAGTGATGTGCTGTCCACGAGGACTTCTACTAAATGTTTAGTCTTTGAATACTGTTTATCTCTGGGCCCTGAGGTTTGTCACCAGTTGTTTACGGCTCACTCATGACTGTGACCTTTAGACTCAGCCTGACTGGTCCTTCTCGAGCAGTTGCAAGTATACATACATATACATACTGGTTAAGTCTTATTTATAAAACTACTTTGGGCTTAGCTCTCTTCAAAGAACAAATAGCCACTATGCCTTGCGTTCAGTTGGTGTTTTCCACCTGTTTGTTCCTCGTGTACTTACTAAGATTGGAAAAAACTGCATTTAAGTTTAGCTGCCCCTTCAGCAGAGTTAAAACTTTTTCATCTGAAATCTTTTGCTCGATCTTAAATGACAAATGAAGCAAAACTATTAAACAGCGCTTTGTTCTTACTGTGAACCATCTCCACTGTTTCTGCACTTAATTTTCTAACTCGTTTGCTACCTTTAAACTGTTGTTTTCATCTTATTGTCTGTATTCTCTCTTAATTTTGTAATATTGATCAAGAGTGAGGTGCTGACCTCTTTGCCAGGTCACCCTTGAAAAGAGATCTCAGTGGGTTAATTCCTGGTTCAATGAAGGTTAAATATATAAAATAAAACTAAGGGCTCTCCATACCTTCCTTGCACCCTTCCTCGTCACTGTACCTGATGCTCATTTAACATCTATGAGGCCTTCAAATTGTCATTAACTATTTTTTAATCAATTATTTACACTCTCTAATGATTTGTAGTTGATGTGGCTCTGCTGAAGTAGTCAGGAGGAAAAACTGGCACAATACTTAATGGCAGTTTTGACTGACGGATACTAATCTGATCTTAAAGACAGAAACCCCATCTAATGATTTACGTGCCTTTAAGTTGCATTATTTCCCAGTTCAACTCCTACCTGATAAAGAGGGCTCATCCGGATCTTGTACATGGATGGACTTGAAATCCAGCTGCATTCTTGGAAGAGCAAATATGGTCTCGGTTTCATGGTTATAGCTAGAGGAGCCACGGAAGCTGCTCAGCAGACTGGAGCTTTTGGCTGCTGCTCCACTCTCCTGGTTGTTGGCTTCAACGTTCCTGAGCAGGTTCAACTCTGTGATGAGAGATAAAACGCTTGAGTTTAAAGCCACATACACACTTAACTATTATGAACAAGATGTGGTATATTATGTGAAGACAGAACCTGTTACTTAGAGGTAAATATAGAGGTGACAAAATTAAAGGTTTACAGGGGCAAAAATGGATTACCTTCATTCCTCATGGCAGTGACATAGTTGAACCACTCTTTGACGGTGGCTACTCCATGTGGGGGGTTTTCATGCCGCCGCCGGGTGATTTTAGTGATAGTGGCCATTGGGCTTTCAAGTGCACCGCAGGGTTTGGTCACCATTGTATTATGGCCCAGATGAAAATCCAGTGTTTGAACAATGTAGGTTGAATCATCTTTGGAACCTGAATGTGAGAGATTAAAACTCAGTTGTCAAAGACTGATTACAAAGCCTAGAGTACACACACAAATCTGGATATCAACAGATTGTCATGAAACATCTCACCATCCTCCCAGATTTTCTGTGCCTCTGTCCAGAAGGCGATGTTGGGCTCTTCCAGGTGAAACAGCGCCCATGACTTCGAGCGGAAGTTAGGTCCATGGAAGCAGGCCAGGGTCATGTGATTGCCATGGAGGCTCATTGAGCCGCCCAGCTGCACAGCATCCTCAGGCAAAGGCATCTGGAAGAGGGAGATGTGGCAACCGGCAATAACCTTCAGCACCCCGGGCCAGTGGCGGTGATGAGCTGCATCCATGTCTGTGTGACACGGACAGTTGAGGGACACAGAATAAAAGGAAGGAAAAGTAAGGGTAACACAGGAAAAAAAAAACTTCACTGCTAGTGCTAACAGGTTTTGGCGCATGATGTCTTTTAATTCCTTGGTCATAACTCTGTTTTTTTGTAAATGTACATAGACTGAGTATGTTATTTGTGTTCAGTTATCATGTTAATCTTTTTAACTACATCCAGTTGTTTGAAAATAGTGTCCAAATCGAGCTACAAGTCATTTCAGTTCCTGTAACCAGCATGACCGCCAAATAGATAATTTCTTCCAACACTATAGCAAAAAAAAAGGCATGCTTACAAAGCTCTGCAGCTCCTTTTTCAGCGTTGATAACAGGGGTTTTGGGGGGCAGGTAGGAACCTGGGCCCCAGGTGGAGAGGGCCCGCTTGCTGGTATCAAACTGCTGAGTGAAAAACTCCTGCAGCTTCATACCGATCTTGATAAGGTCTGGTGTGGTGGAGCGTGAAATTATCACCTGGAAAATGTCCCACTGCAAGTCTCCGTGTACAAAAATTTCACTGGGAGCAAAAACAGACCAGACACAGAGATGGAAAAGATAAAAAAAAAAGACTGAAGTTCAATATTTGGGTCAAATCAAAGAATAAATCAGTAAATAAAGGAAGAGTTTGTGCCATGATTAGCATCTCATGACATGAATTCATACCTTTTCTCTGATATGCTCGTGTCAACAGTGCAAAGGTTGACCTTCCATTCATCCTGCAGCTGTAGATCAGCATTGCTGAATACTCCCATCAGAATGCTGGAACCCATGTAGTCCACACGGGCCTCTGTGGAACCCATGGTAATCTGGATCTTATGGCTGGGTTGCTGGTTGGGATGTTCAGAGATGTGGGCTAAGAGACAAACAATAATCAGAGATGTAATTGGCATCCCCTCAGTACATACTTGGTGGTGTAATTGTTTTTCATGTTTTCCAATGAAATTTGGTCTTCAAGTAAAAGTGATGAGAAATGATAGCCCCTTTAAATCACTTTAATTAAACATATTGCTCCTCTAAAAGTAATTTTAAGGGTATTTTACAAAAATCAACAATCTTTCTTAAGCAATATTTTAACACCATAGAATTTCTATGGCTGCAGGCAGCATAGTTGGTCTTTATAAAGTTCATGTGTACTATGGCTGGAATTTCTTTTTGTATAATGGACTGGTAAGACCCTAAATCTAACCCTAACCCTGGAAATTTGAGACTATACTGCAGCTGATCACCCTATACTACTGTGTTTTCTGTTTCCACAATAAATCAGTGCAGCTCACATTATATTTTCCTGGATTTCCTGGATGTGGATTTACCCACCAGGTTCTGGACCTCCATGTCATCAAGGTGAAATACAGACATTAGAAAATCTATTGCTTTGTTTACTTACAGACCATCTCCAGGGTGTTCACATCTATATTGCCGCCCACCACTCCACCCTTGGAGTCTAGCTTGGAGCGGCCAAGGCCAACAGACATGCTGATCTCTCGGTCCCGGTTGCTCCCAACAGACAATCTGCCCTGACTCTTCAGACCGCTGGTTGTCCAGCTGTAGAGGAAAGCATTAGAGTGAGTGCACCTTGAAAACTGTTGAATAATGCACAGTTGTTTTCTACGTGGAAAAAGCGTATAAAGAAAAAAAAAAACACAATTAACTGCAAAGGAAAATACCAACCAATTTCTTGCATTGAATCTGACCCACAACACCAGTTTAGATTTATCTTTGGACAGTATGTTTGTTTCTAGGCAATTTAATATATATTTTAAAAACTATCTGCAAATAACATTATGTTTTTTTTCTTCTAACGTTGTCCTGTTTTTCACTATGGGAATCACCTGTGTGTGACCTTCTACAGAAGCTCCAACGACACAACATTTGTCTGTGACAGACAGGTCAGGCTGTACTGGGGCCCCAACCCATTTATCAATATAGCTGAGCCAACCCTCCTGAACCGTTCTGTCTTTCTTCCTGTGAGAAAATACTACACAGGCTGTTTCAGCTTATCCAGGCCAGCTTGGTTTCAGTTGTCACCGAACACAGTTCCGGGCTTGACTCTGGATTTGCAGCGTATGTCTTTTGTAAGAAGTATTTTGACTTTGTAATTTCGACTTCAATCTTGATATTTTGATTTAATTCACGAAATTTTGACTTTATTCAAGTCGACTTTAATCTCAAAATTTTGACTATAATGTCAAAAGTTTTATTTTTTCTTAATCTCGAAATTTCAATTTTTAATCTCAAAATTTTGACTTTATTCACATAATTTTGAGTTTTCAAAACTTGAAATTTTGACTTTAATCTCAAAATTTCAACTGTAATCTCCTTCCTGTAATTATTTTTTTTCTCTTCCTGTGGCCCTAGTCCTCTTTCGTACTTAATACATTAGCCTCCCATGAAACAGCATTTATAAATTATATACACACAATTTGGATGTAACATGTCTGAACGGGATGGACATGAAGGTTTCATCACTCTAAGCGGAAACACTTACGTATTATTTCCCATGACGTTGCTCATGTTCATCTGGACTGTGAGTTGTTTCAAGTTGATAGCGAACACCACCAGTGTCTCCCACGGAGAGCCCTGCTGACCTGCTGCCTTACCATTTTTATTGAGGGACGGAGTAGATGTTTTTGTCACTGAATCTAGACAAAAATGGTTTATAATTAAAAGCCAGGCAAAGACAGAGGGTAGGTAAGTTGTATTGTCATCATTTTACTTTTTTTTTTCATACAGTGTTTATTGTTCTTTTATATCTGAACTTTGAGTATTAAGACCATCTTATTTTAAACAGAATTCTTGATTTGATTTCTGTAACTAAGAACAATATCTAGTTGGACACCTTTCACAGTGTTTCTAAATACCTCTCCTTGGAGCTGAGGAATCCGACACACTCCTGGTGCGTCCAGGTGCTGGGGACTTGAGGTGCCCCAAGCTGCTTGGAGACATATTGCTTCCAGTAGAGTGCTCTGAAAAGACGTTGGGGGATTGAGGCATGTGCTGTGTCACTGTGCTCCCATCCCAGGTCCTCCAGTAAGCTTTGCGGCTGGACTCAGGGGACAGATGCTGAGTGACGTTTTCAGCAGAGTCAGGGGTGGCAGGGCCTGATGCTGAAGCCGTTGAAATGTATGAGTAAAGGACATAGAAACAAAAAGTCAGCACAGAGAAAATAAGACTTTAAGAAGAATACAAGCTAAGGGTAACTGATGAACAATCATTTTGTAAAACCTGTTCAGTAGCTAAAGTTCCATATAAAGACAACATAAAAGAAACAGACACAAGGATTGAACACAATCCTCCACCGTAACAGAGAAGCTGAGAATTGTTTGAGGTAAATGCAAAAGAACGTACGATGACCACCATCGTAGTCACCTGGAAGGTTGATTGTCTGGTCTCCCAAGAAGAGGCGTCGAGCGATACTTCGACGGTACCAAGCTCTTGGAAAAGCAAGGATCTCACTTAGTCGCCTCATGTCGTACTTGAAGGAGGCTGAGCCGATATCACACACAGCTAGGAGAGAACATATTTTATTATATGTGAGGACACAACTTTAGGAGGTTCATCAGTGCAAGTTTATCCATGGCAGATCTGCAGGGGAGTGGGGAGGTACATTTTCAGTCTATCAAGCTCCTCTGGATAATTTCTATGCTTGTAAAACTGGTATTATTATATGTATTTTGAACTCTGAATTGGTTTGACGTACTGCCGAATTAAAACTCCCTCAGTTAAGTTGATGAAAACTCTGTGACTGTGCTTAATATTTTATCCCCTGTAGATGCTATACTATTAGGAATAATTATAAAGTTCTGTTCTGTGTCCTAAATAAATACTCAAACACCCAAAAGCTTTGTGTTCGTACAACAGAATGGATCGAAATATCTCTTGACGTATCATGAACCTTTTTGATGTAGCAGACAGAAGCTTCTGCCAATTCAGGAAAAGGATCTATCAAAGACTAATATTCAAAATCACAGACAGTCACAATTATTTTTAGCATGTCATTTAACAGAAATATGTCCTTCTAGGTTGATGGTGTATACCTGAGATGTTGATGAGGGTGGTGTCCATTTTACCACCTTTAGGAGGAACGAAGCTTTCTATGAAGGTTGGGCCCCCACTTCGCCTCATCCTGGACAAGCTGACCTTCACAAACTCCAGGTTTATACTCAGAGAGTCTTTTCTTCCAGTTACTGATGATGGCTCTTCATCGACGGTACCTTCACAGACACGAGTGATAATATCACACCCTGCAATGAGTGGCTTTATACAGCTCCATTTCCATAAGATAGACACTGTAAAATGTGTATATATATATATATATATATATATATATATATGTATAGATATGCACACTTATTTTGAAATTGACACCAGCAACAGCAAATTATAATAAGCACAGCAAAATATGACAAGTTAAACTTTTCCATACCCAGAGGTCCTGGACCGGGAGGCAGGCCTGTGACAGCAGATTTCTGCTTTCCGGCGCCATAAGGGTGGAAAACATAGAGGGAAAAGTCAGACATGCAGGCAGTGAAGCTGAGGCCGGAGGAGTTAATGGCAGGTCCAGTTAGGTCTGACTGGCTGCTGCTGTGTCGGCTCCTGCCCAGAGGGCTCCCCAGCAACGGTGATGCTGATAGAAGGCAGAGACACAGAGACAGATGAGACCAGCAATCACATAGAATTTGATTCATTTTTTTAAAGTTTTAACTCACCGTTCACAAGGCGCTTATCTTATAGAATTTGTGGCATAAATGTGTAATTACTATTTTTAAAATAGGGCGAGTAAGCTGTTGAGATTAGGTTTTTACATGAATTGTTTTTTCATCTCATTATCAGGCAATGCTCTCCAGCTTTAGTGTTGGGAAGACTACTAAAAATGATACACTAATTCAGTCCATTTAATGCAATCCATCTGATGTTTTGTCAAGGCAAACTGAGATCTAAGTATGAATGGACTGAAGGGAAATAAAAAATATTATCTGAGATGCACTCTAAAAAGCAAAATATATAAAAAAATATATACATGCAAAGCGGCAACACTCTACTAAAGAGTGTCTGTAAGCATTCACATCTGCAAAATACTCTTTCAGTAATACTTAACAGACCTTTACTGGGTGGAACTTTGGGGACATGTTGTCCTGGGGGAGTGGAAGAGGGTGGATGAGATCCCTCAGAGGGGTGGGCTCCTGTTGGGGTTTCCAGTTCTCCACGATTAGAGGAGAAGACGAGGTCTAGAGAGGGGAGTTTCAGCATGCATTCCACCCTGGACATCGGCAGGCAGCTGAAGCGGATCTGAGAAGGCTTGAGACATGAATTAGAATTGATTACTGACTTTTCAGTATTCATCTCTCTCTTTCTGTACATCCCTCTATCCCCTTTCCAACCAACTCTTTTTATTGAACATCTCGAGGTAACACTGTTCAGCACTGACACTTTATTAATAAAGATTGATTGATTTTATGTTGATTTGTATTTGGGTAAATCATAAAGTAAACTGATACTGCACAGAACAGCATTTATATTTCTATCATTTGCACTGACACAATGCAATGTCTTTTCAAGTTGATGCATAGCAAAGAAAGGCTAAGGAACAGAGTAAATATGTTAACAAGATCGAGAAACAAAGTCTCAATTTTTTCAGAAAGCTATGAAAAATATTGCAAAAAGAAAAAAAAAAAACTCCAAGCACAGGCTCCTTGTGTATGCTTGAATGTATGAGGACAAACAGCACAGTATATTCAATCTATAAACCATTAGTAGGAAGTAAATTGGCTTTTGGGACAGGAACAATAATGATTAGTTTTGCTGAAAAAAATCTAAATGAAAACTAAAACAAATCTAAAACTTAAGGAAGAATTAAAAGAAACAATAAAATTATGGAAATGAGGTTTTAGAAAAATGACAGATGCAGTAAATATGTTTGGATCGAGTGTAACTGAAAAACTGTGATTGAGTAAGCAGAAGAGTAAATAACCATGCTTGATGGGATCTAATATATAAATGAGAAAGTTAGCTGAGAGAGCTACACTTACCTGGACTCTGACGTAGACAACTACATCTACAGGGAAAGAGGAGTAGGCTGATGTGGGTGGAAAAACCAAGGAGGTGGTGGACTCCTCTAGCTGCTCCACAGTGTCAAACTGACCCATGTCCTCCTCCTGGGAGGCCACAGCTGATGGGAAGTACATAAAAACAACACAAAGAGTTCACCTTACATGCAAAATAGCAAGAAGACGTCACTACACTGGGCTGTCTGATAAGGTGTATCCAATAAATTCATGATGTGCAACAAGCAAACCTGCATAATTCCTATCTACTGGAGTAATAGGAATGGTCTCCAGTGCTTTTTCCAGGAAGTCCAGCAGACAGGGGCTGATAACCATTTCCTCTGGTAGAGTCTGGAGGGCCACCCAGGCGTAAAGCTTGGCTGTCTTTACCCCTCCACTTCCTTTGCCTTTGGCTGCAAAGACACATGGGAGTTAAAGCCACGTATATGGACAACACTTGCAAATTATTCACTGGATGTGATCAGATTTTGATCTTTGGTTTAACTCTGTAAAAACATGATGATAAATGATTCAGAGCAGATGGTAGCAGGAAATGAACCCCCCACCCCCACCCCTTTTTTTCATTCTGAATCAGTATGCATGTGCCCTTTGATGACTGTTTCCCTCTGGATTCATGCCTCACACTTAAGGATGAAGTTACATGCATTTAATTAAGTAGTTGATGAAAATCATCAGACCTGGGAGGCGGAGCACACTAGAGACTGTGATTTAAAATAAGAAGAACTTTACTGATCCCCAAAGGGAAATTTAATTGAGATTCAGATGGTGCAAGGGAGGCATGCAATTAAAAATGAGGGAATACTCAATACCTGATGGAATAGGTGGGGGCAGGGGAGGTAGGAGTGAGTTAGTCTTGGTTTGGACAGCATTGGAAGGGTTGGGATAGCTGCTATCTTTCATACCATACAGCTTAGACTCTTTGGAGAGAGTACGAGGGAGAGAGGATCCACGAGAGGCATTTGGGGACTCTGTCTTCAGTGTCTTGGAGTTGTAGTGCAACTGAAGGACAGGATAGAATGGATTTAATCATTTGAAGCATAAAAAAAGTTTATCCTAAAAAAATGTTTACAGTCGAAGTCTGGATGATGAAGAAGCTGACCTTAACGTCTACTCCTGGGATATAAAAGACTGTAGTTTCCATGTCATTGGATTTGGTCTGCAAGGAAGAGGGACACTTCTTGCCGGCCAGGAGGTGGGTGGTGGAGGTGTAGGTGGGCTGCAACTTCTTCTTTTTGGGAGGAGACTCCTGGTCCAGACTCCTGAGACTGCGCTCACAGCTCCTACAAAACCAAGAGGACAAAGGGTTCAATGTATGAGAAAGTTGTGCAAATGCCTTTTTTCTTAAGCTGTCTGAATAAACAAAGTTTTAGGAATAGCCTCAACATTTTATCAGGAAAATTAACAACTGGATTTTATCACTGAGTCTGATTTAACTCTCTAAAAATTAAATTACAAATGAGTCAGAGTGCATGGCCCCAGGAAAGGTGTAACAAACCTGAGTCAGAAATTCTATTCTCCTACTGGTGGTGATAACAGAATAATGAATGAGCGTTTCCTCATACCTCCTGAGGGTAATTTCCTCTTGCTCTGGCTGCTGAGTTGTGGGGTGAAGGACACACTTTCCGCTGTCAATCTCAACACGGACATCGAGCTCAAAGTCAATATTCCTTTCAGTTGCTGGGCCACTAAAGCTGCGGCCGGCAGGTGTGCTGGGCCAGCGCTCACTGAAAAGCTGACTCACAGCAGAAAACCCTGAGGACTTCCTGTGGGACGTTTGGCTAAAGAGAGAGAATTAAAGGGATCTGAATGATGAAAGCTGCCAAGTTTTATTTAAAATACAAAACATTCAAAGAAAAAAAGCAAAATGTTTCACTTCTTTTTGTATAACATTCATCATAAACATGCTTGGCTGAAGATAAAAACAGAGGTATAACTCACAGTGGCCTCCGGTAACTTGGCGGCCTTTCCCGTTCAAACTCATCATCCTTTTCAGAGTCCTCGGATGAGGAAGAGGTCAGATCATCTCGCCTTATGTCGTCGTGCTGGAAGGGAATTGTGGGTGAAAAGACAGCTGGTGTGACGGGGGCACTGAAAGCTGAGTGTTGCCCCTCAAAGACAGATGGAGAATGAAGATGATGATGATGATGACTATGGGATGGCTCATCAATGGAGACTGACAACAGGTCGACGTCTGTCTCTTCAGGAAACTTTAGAGAAGGAGACAGAGTCAGACTTACAGGGGGAAAAGTCTTTACAAAGCTCTTTAGACACACAGAAAATCTGATCTTTCAAAGAGGCAGAGCAACCAAGGTAGATAGTTCTCTGTCTATTGGACTGAGGCGATATATCAATATTTTTAATTTATGTCATTTCTACTTTATTTGCTATATGGTGTATGGACTATGGATATAGATACAGTATCTATCTATCTATCTATCTATCTATCTATCTATCTATCTATCTATCTATCTATCTATCTATCTATCTATCTATCTATCTATCTATCTATCTAATTTGATATAATCTAATTTTTTATTTATTATTTTTAAATACCCATTCGGAAAAGTAAGGGGTAAAAAGTACAGAATTCTTCCAACTCCTTGTTGAATGTGTATAATGCTTTTTTTTTATTCTTCTTTGGATGTAAATGACTTCTTCTAATATTCTACTTCTTTGCATACATGTTTGAAATTAATAAATTCATTCAAATTCATTCCAAAGACAGAGCACTACTTGTTTGGAGCTGCTCTCTAAAGAAGCCAAAGGCCATGCATACTTTCAGCTAGAGCACTGAGAAAAGAAGGAAGATGAAGAGGATTCCACAACCCACACCCAAAAGAAGAAAGGCATGATACACACCCAAAAGAGTCCCATCACAGAATCAAAATATTGTAACAGTTCACCATAATCCCAGGCAGCTGGAAACGGGCCCAAGTGTCAACAAATCCCAAAGACAGGTATCAAGAGAGGGTAACTGCTGCTGGACATGGATCTTAAAATTTAAAAGTTTAACACCTGTTTTTGAAACAAATCCAGAGCTATGTTCTGCTTAAGGATTTCTAGTTTTCTGTTCCTTCTCCATCGGCTAAAAGGAGTACTTTTACGCAGCAGTCTTAGCTGACATACATATCAGCAGCCAAGTTGGGAGGCCAGATGAATACAAAAGGATTGACAATAATGTCCAACTTATCAGATTAAAAGAGTATACTATGCAACTGTTTAGTAAAACAACCAAATAAATCTAAAGACCCTCCCATTGGTGTTTTTTTCCATTAATGACTCACCATCACAGTTAAGGGGGTCATGTCCTCTTAACCTAGGCTAAGTTTGGCATGATTCGTCTTCAAGCTCCAAGATATCAGTTATCTTAGTCTACAGCTTGATCCAAAAAGTAAATATAAGCCTGTCAGAATTTGGTTCAATAGCAAGTCATGCATATTTGTTAGATAAGAGTCAACATAGCAGAAGAGAAATGTTGATTTGGATTTCTTTTGCAGTCTAAAGACAGGAGGAGAATTTGCAGCTTCGTCAAGCCATCAACAGTCTTGACAAAGACTAACAGTCTTGACGAATAACCCTGTTTTTTTTATTGACTGATCAAAAGCTAAAATAAAAACAAGGGTTATCCAACTATAATCAGGGACAAATCACTACTCTGCATATGTAAATGATGGAAGCTATTTGTATTATATGTAGAGTTATGATGTAGACTGTAAAACATAACATTTGCTTCCACTTTTACAACCAAGTACACAAAAGCAAATTGAATAACCACTTAAATAGCAGGAGCTTCATTTGTAAATCATCATCCTGCTTTGACTGCATTTCAAAATTTGATCAATTAGGTTATTGTGATCACAGAGATGAGGAAATTAGATTATTTGTCAGAGCTGGTTAGGAGTTTTAATGTGTTTTAATTAATATTTGGAATCATATATACCTTGAATACCTCTCCTGGACTTACAGGTGTGTGTGTTGAGTCCAAGGCCAGATTATTCATCTTCAATTAAGCAAAAGAGTCATTATGGAAACAAAAAAAAAAAACCAAAACAATCCAAACATAAATAAAATGAGCATATCTGTCCAACTTTGTAGGACATCTGCGAAACTGATGGAGCCATGTGGACAACACTGACGATGACACACTTGTACCAATGATAAGATGAGACTGTGATCTTTACACTGACAGCATAAAAATAAAAATGCCTACTCTCTGACAATCATTGCTGATTTGGTTAGAGCATCTAGGTAGAGCTAGAACTAGAGCTACCATAATTAATGAGCATGTGAGACATACGAGATGTTTTTAGAAATAAGGTTACCGTTTCCTGGATGTTGAAGGTAACCCGTGGTCCAGGAGAGGCTGCGTCCACACGCATATCTGGTAAATCATCCACATCTCCAATTCTAGAACTTGACACAAAAGGACTATGAATATACTTCATGAAATACATGCATGCAACTATCAAAGGGTAAAAAAAAACATACACTTCCTTATCTTAAGGTGATGGATATTAGAAAATACTGTTTGCAAAAAATCTAGACTGATTATTTAATCTTAACCCAAACTGTTACTCATCTGATTGATTTCTAGTTATTCTGCCCCTGAATTTACTTTTTTTTCATTGCTGAGGGTCCAACAGTATGTCAACTCCTGCAAAATCTTTTCTTTTTCATTTTCAGAGTGCCAACACGGTTACTACAAACATGAAAAAATGAGCACTTAAACTCATCTGTTCTAGGTTCTAATTTGCAGGTCACTGCATCTTTATTTTAGAAAAAAATATATATATATGGGAAAAATAAGGCTGCAGGAAAAGTCCCTGTAAAAATAGGACTAATTGCCCTTAACAGGATAATCTACATGAAGATACAAAAACCAGGGGCATAGGTCCTTCCAAATTGTACTGTACCTCTGTCTATCCATTCTTTTCAGGGAGGGTCTGCCTGCTGCTGCAGAAATGCTTTTAGAACGGTTGTAGCTTGGTTTGTACCCGAGACCCCACTTATCCTTCAGAGAGGCAGCCTGGAAAGAAACAATCAAGATGAGATCAAATGCAAGAGACACTCACAGCGATTTAAGCCAAAAACAAAAAAAAATCTTTTGACGGAAATTGTATTCATCTCTAAATCATATTACCCCACCATTAACCTCTGTGTGTGTGTGTGTGTGTGTGTGTGTGTGTATGGACCATCAACCTTGTCCCCAGCACCCCCTGCGACCCAGTAATGGACAAGCAGATGTCTGACTGACTGACTGACTGACCGTTTGACCAATATTTCTTCCACGGTGTTTACTTTCGCTACTTTCTAGAGATCTAGCGAAACTTTGATAAGTATCTGAGGACCCGTAACCACCATGCATTGGCACGGCCCGCCCCTCTGTGCCTCTGAGTGGCTAAAACTATGGCTCTGGCTGGCTTTATTTGTTGAAAGCAGTGTCAGTTAATCACTGTACAATTGTTAAATTGGATGCATGAACGGGACTACAACAACAACAACAAAAAAACATGTAGTTTTTTTCCCCCTCTTCCCCATAGCAACGGGAAACTAATTCACCTGACAGTTTCCAAGCTTCTTTGCCCAAGCACTCACCCTCATGCTGGAACGCCGTAGTTTCTTCCTGACATCTCTCCTGATATCGTTTACAGCCACAGATTCCAGCTGTTGATAGCGCTGGATCTCCTGGTTGATGGTGCCTTCGCTGGCCCCTAATTTCCTGAAGATAAGAACAGTCATCGTTGATACCTTTAACAATATAGCAATGAAATGTGAGGCCTTTTATTATTGGAGCTATTCAGAGTACATCAGAGTACAACGATGAGTGAGCAAATATCTTACTTGAGATCATCGATGACCTTGGCCTGTTCATTGAGTTCTCTGATGTCCACCACTCTCTTAGTGAACTTTCTCCCACGTGCATCAATGACTTGGTTACCTAACACCATCTGCCGTCTGAGGTCAATGGTCTCCTGTCGGGTCAGAACAATCGTGATTTATGATCATAAGTATCCTTAAACACCGATAACCCGGTAAAAAAACCCAAACAAACACAGATTAATTCCTGCAAAAAATTGTTCTGGGAAAAAAAAATTCCACCAAGCAGCTGCTTCAGTTAACACATCCTTTTCCAAGTCTCTGATTTCAGGTGTTACGTTAATAGTTATGATAGAATGTAAATTAGTTAGGTAGTTCCCTCTACACACCAGGTTTAAAAAAACACATACACAATATCAGATAATAGGAGACCCTACCACCACCACCACCACCACTTAACTCAATGCAAATAGAAAAAAGGAAAAAAAAAAAAAAAGCCACAAAGAGTTGTGTAACACTCACTGATTTAATTTCACCAATCATGAAAGCAGATGCTAAGCGACACTGTTCCCTGTTCAACATGCTTGAGTTAGAGCGTTAGTGTTGCTTAGCATTTTGAAATCCATAACCCTCATTGGGTAACTGCAGGTGACTGGGATGTAACGCCACCTTGGAAGTGATCTTGCCAGCCCAGAGAAGAGATTAACACTATAGGGGGGCTACATACACAGGCCCAGGAGACAGGTCTCTGAGCCCTGGGATTGCCTGCTCGGAGCCGGGGTGATGCACAGTTTGAGTTGTCAGCAGTGACAGACACACTCTGAGGCCTTGGAGTGAGGCCCAGGATGTGGTTTACCAGACGTTTCCTTAAGGTCAGTCGAGGGCTAAACTGGCTTTCTGGACTCTGTAAACAATGTTAGGGGAAAATGGATGGAAAGATCGAAGGAAGGGCAACTCAGGTCAAACTTTACCCCCTGGACATGGAGGTAAGTCAAGAAGGTTTATATGTATGTTTGTAGTTATGGTGGTTAACTTTTGTGTCAAGATATAAATATTTCACAAACATGAAAGCGGCATTCCTAACAACACAAAGAAGCAAGTCTTTTCATTACAGCAAAATCACTGGACAATAAAGGTCTTTCCAAAGATTTTAAAGATCCTCCTTTGCACGTCTACCGCTCACCAACACATACCGTGTATGTTTTATCCATGGCATGCTAAAAAGTCTAAGAGGATGCACAGTTAGGGGTGCGTATCTTTAAGTATTTGATTGGTAAGGCCATTATTCAATTCAAAATCAATTCTCCTCTCAAACCACTTTCTGATTCCTCCATTGTTAGATTCTTATTTCAAGACTTATTTTAGCCTTTCAGACAGTAAAGGAGTTTGTCTGTTTGAGCTTGTCTCGCTTCTATATTTAAAAAAAGATATATTTTTACAAATGCAATAAGATACACAGAGGCAAAACCGAGAAGAAAAGGTAACAACTATTTCATGCTTAACCTGCAAGATTTGAAGTTTTTATGTTTATTTTTCCAAAGCTTACAATTTTTAGCGTCTGAAGCCATAACACGGTAAAAACAGAAAGTTCAGGTTTGTGTGATTTTGTATGAGCACTGAGCAGTCACATTATCTTTAGCAGTGGAGATTACTCTCTTTGGTAGGCAGCATAGGGGTGCAGGTCTCTGGAAATTTAACAAGCAACGGAGCTCGGTATTATTTTGTTCATTCAGAGTTGGCCCAGAGTTTTGAAAAGTGGTGGAGAATGTATTTTCAGCTGTTGTTAGCTGTTGCTCTGCTCCTTCAATCTTTAGCTACAGATGTATGACAGGCATTGAAAGTGCTCAACTTCTCTTATGAAATATGTCATGTAAGGTTATGGTATCCAAAGAGCGTCCGGACGCTGGCCTTTTACGAGGACCTGACAGGCTGGATTTTTTGCCGCTTCACAGACATAAAGTGCTGACAATGAGAGCTAGTTTGCTGAGCTAGCAGTGGGATGGACTGGCCTGGACTGGACTGGGCTAATCCCTTGCTGCAACTGTGAATTAACCTGACTGCTGGTGACTTGGAAAAAAAAAAAAAGGTTGAAAAACAAATTCTAGACTTCTAAAATTCATTAAAAATTGTAGATATTAAGAATGATAATTCTGGTATGAGTGGAATTTTACCGCTACCTGTATATACAGTACTTAGAACAAGAGTAATAGTGATCTCCTTTTGTAACCTTCAGCATGAATGGAAATAAACATCAGATGGACTGGTGCTGCCACCTGTGTACACTATACTCCCTCAGTAACCTCAGAGTCTACAATATAGTTATCTATGTAATTATCTATGTCTGATTTTTGACCCTGTTTTTGTACATTTCAAAATTTCAGAACAACCTGTTGCAAAATGACAAAAAGACAATAAACAAGGAGAAAAGATCAAATAATGAGCAAGGATCATTATCCTGCATTCATGACTGACCATGTGGGTAGTAGGTGAAAAGTTGTCGGCTTCGTCCTCATCTGAAAGGTCTGCCATGTTTACAGAGTTCAGGTCGGCAATGTCATCTACTTCCTCTTCCCCTGTCAGTGATGTCAGGGTGTTACCTAGTGCATTAAGGCGCTTGCCAATGTTTGGATCCATGTGGACATCAATACCACACATTTTCCAGAGCACATTCAGAGTCCAGGTACCAGCACTATTGCTCTCTGCTTTTTGGAGAGGAAGGAGAGGAGATAGAAAAGTACAAAATATGTTTAAAAATATTGCAAAATTGAACTTTCTAAAGATTATCAGGGGAGGATCCACGTTTTCATGGTAAACAAGACTTGCCTGCAGAGGGCTGCCCTGTAGTCCTGGAACATACTTCATATGTACCATCAGGGACTACACCTTTACACAGAAAATAAAAGTGAGTTTTCTAATTATATCTATAATGTGACATGATTAGACATACATTAAACACATAAGTAAAAAAATCCATTACACGTCACTCACAGGCATTCATGACCAGCTCTCCTCGGATCTCAGGCTTCCAGTCATCCCAGGAGGTCTCAAAGCCCTCAGCAAAGCGGATGCAGAAATTCTTGAAGTGGCCTTTGCTTACCAGGGACTCAGAGGAGCAGGCGGTGATAAGTGTGCTCTCGATAGTCAGGACCAAAGCAGAGCCAGTGTCAAAGTCAATGCTGTGGTTGGCCTGGCAAGGGAGGGGCAAGGAGAGGGGTTATGCAGGCTTCAAGTCTGGGTGAGATAAATAGCAAGAGAGCCTCCACAGGATTTAGAAAGAGGTACAGTTAGCTGGTAACACTTCATTCAATAACACTGTTCATCCACCTAATTAGTTATGATTATGAAATCAATCATGACATTACTGTATGGTAAAGTTTGTATGATCATTTTCATGTAAATTTAAATGAATAATACATTAACATGTTACTGGTTCAGTAACAGCAGTCCATGAATATGCTGGTGAGTGAAATGTTACCGAGCTATTGTTTTGTTAGCTTTTACTTCACAGGATTTGAAAAAAGATTGCTCATAAACCCGAACAGGTGCCAAAATTAAGGTCTTATTATCACACCAGTCATAACTGGAGGCAGCTGAGGTATCATTTACCTTCTAACTCCTGCAGTTTTCTCCAATTATGACTGAACAAAATCAGACCTCTGTTTATGCAGAAGTTGTTGCGGAATTAATCAGGTAAATTTTCCCAGGTCTGTGGTTTTGTCCTTCAAAAGCACAGAGCCTATCATGCACACCACAGCACTATGTGATTAGATCTCATCTTGTGTACAGTATTTTTTTTATTTTCATGGCAGCCACTGAGAGATTAGTCTGACGAAACATTGTCATTTCCAAATTAGCAGCAGGTGAGCAATGCTTTGAACATCAACTGGCATAACCTCTTTCCAGAAATCACTACATACCCATACACCTCAGACACCAGTTCAAGCTTCATTAGTTGTTATGCCAGTTTAGTGAATACATGTGATTGCTACAAAGTCACAGAGCCATATTTTATTAGATCACTTTGGAAAACAAGTGCTCTTGTGTCGTCAAAATGGATGGATCACAGGAAGTCATTTTACCACAACAAGCCATCAACGCAGATGTAATAAATTATAGGTTACTTTTCGTGCATTTTTTTGTCGGCCTACTGATGTGCTGGCCCCAGCTTCAGAGTTGGTGCCCTCGGTAACTGGTCCTCTCTATGGAAATAAGGGTGAGATAAAAGCTGGTGTATCCTGTCACCATGGACAAATGTTAAGTATAACAAGACAGCTGATATGGACCATGTGTTTTCCCTTTAAGTTTATATCTATGTTGTGTAAATAATTTAAATCTATGAAATTATTTAAGTCTGCAGTGCTGAAGGATAATGCATTTGTTTTTATATATGTCAAAGAGGAGATGAGGATAATAAGCACCAAAGAAGGTGAGAAATGCTTCCAATTCTATTAAGTGGTACTTTTTTTTTTTTTTTTACAAAAAAGCAAAGAAAAAAATCAATTACTAATTCAGCAATTGCATCTTGTATTTAAAGGGATATTCCACCGTAAAATTAAGTTAGGGTCAAACACACCGCAACACTGAGTTAGACACCCCCTGGAGAGATAAATGTTGCTGACCACTTGCTTCTCTAGTTATACCAACTTCAGCAACGACCGCACGATAGCAATACACAGCGGTCTATGTCTCCACATGCAAACCTCAACCAAAAATCCACTCTATAACCACAAATAATGCTCAGAACAGCACCTAACTTCATCAACAGTATATATAGGGTCCCAGCCATAGTACTAGCCATCAAACAACTTTTTTGCCTTGTTTTATTTCTTTAGCAAAGAGACTCACCCACTCTCCTCCAGCAGCCACCTGTTTGTGGGGAAACCCTGATGAGATAATAATCATCAGAATAATCATTTTGTACTGCAGACACAGTAGTTCTTCTGCCTTAGCGTCTTGGTCTGATTGCATTTCCATTAAGTTATAATCATAAATGTTCTTCCTTGAGCTGCGAAACTCCACTGCACTTGGTGATCTGTTGATCACTAATGCTGTTGATGAAGTTAGGTGCTGTTCTGAGCATTATTTGTGGCTAAAGAGTGGATTTTTGGTTGAGGTTTACGCGTGGGGACGTAGACCACTGTGTATTGCTATCATGCGGTCATTACTAAAGTTGGTATAACTAGAGAAGCAAGCAGTCGGCAACATTCATCTTTCGAGGGGGTGTCTAACTCGGTGTTTGACCATAACTTGATTTTACGCCGAAATATCCCTTTAAAACAGAACATGTTTTTAATCCATGATCTCTATGTAGAGTTGTAAAAAACTGATAAAAAGGAATGCTGGTCATTCAGTGCCATCTCCAAAAAATAAAAACTGAGTGTCTGCAGCTCTCTGCCGACATCGTTTTAACCTTGTATGTTTGTACATTTTATGCAGTTATGTAAAATGAACAAACATAATGTCGTTTGATGTCCAGATCTATGTTGAACAGAAGCTGCAAACAGGTTACCTGGGATGTAGTGGTGATGGGTAGGCAGATGCCGAGGTCATTCACTGTTAGTTGCAGGAAGAGGGTGCTAAAGGCCTGAGCTGAGGTCTGTTGGATGCCTGGTAGCTTCTCTACCACCTCTTTGGTGGCCATGTGGATGTCCTTATTGAGGGCCAGACGCTGCTCATTCCAGTTGTCATAAGCTGCTTTATAATTCAGCCAGAAGAGCACAGCTGCAGGGGGCAGAAAAACAGGATAAAGAACTCAAGATTAGAGCCTAAAAATTGAATACAATGTTAAGCAGTTTAAAACACTTATGATTCATTTTGTTGTTTTGAAAATCCATCCTTTTGTAACAATCTGTGTTGAGCGAACAGATAGTTCCAGACAGTCCTAATACAAAATCCTGAGGTCCCCTCTGACTGACCGTTACAGGCTGTTTTGCTCTGAAGGATTCAGAGGTGAATGAAAAATAATGAGGAAATCACTTGGAAGTGAACATCAGCAGTGTAAGAATGTTTCTAAAAGTGAATCTGAGATTGATCATTTGATTTTAGGCGTGAAGCAGCAGGAGAGGAAACAGAACCTCTGTCAAACGCCACAGGCTGAGCAAAGACGATTGGCCTGTTGAGCGTAATAAGTACAGCCTCCTTGTCTGAAGCACCACTGATCTCTTCCTGCAGAGCATTCCTCAGGCCAATCCGAGTGCGGAAGTACGCCACCTGGTGGAAATCAGAGCCAGCTTCTTCATACACCTGTTCAAAGGGAGTCGGGGCCAGGATGATAGAAAAAAAAAATGACGTGTGAATGATTGATTGTATGATTAATCTGGCGCTTTGTTGTTTTGTTCCTGATTCAAAACTCTACCTGGTGCTTAACTATTTGCCCAAGAGCCAGGTTGAGATCAACTTGACATTTGCCAAACAATTTCAAGTAACTGCTGCTGCCCCCAGGTTGAGCTTTGCACTGGATCCTGTTGGATAGCTCCAGCTCAATCAGGCCCGTCTCAAAGCGCACAGCTCGCATTGAAGGAGTGGTGGCTGTCATCTGGATTCCCTAAATTTAGAAAGAAAAAGGCAATCGGAAGTTGTACCAAAGCTCAGAATACAACAAAGACAAAAGGAAGAACCCCTACGACCCATTTGAAACCTGAATAATAAAATACAAAATGATCCCAAAAGGGAAATTTACACCTTGATCACAGTTGCTTGAGTAACTGTACAACAAATGTGCTGCTTCAATTTCAATCCAAGAAACTGAACATAGGCTACCTTGAACATGAGACTGAGAGAATAAAGCAATATCTTTGGCTTGTCTGCATCTGTTGAGGTGTCATGCTCATTCCACAGTGGTATGGGTTGTTCTCCTCCTGCATGGAGAGAGTGTACAAGTCAGACTCACAAGTGAATACAGACTGTTGTGCCATTGATGTGTGGTGGACTTTAGGATTTATTAATTTTTTTTAATGGGACAATATGCATTAATGAACATTTACATGTAAATACATGGGATTATAACCAAGCGGCTAATTTCCATCCCCAGTCCCATTAGCAGGTTGGTGTCAATACATAAAACCAAAAACAACATCAATAATAAGAGTGAAGCACACAGAACATATCTGAATTGTGTTATACACTAATCTTCTTAACCTTTACTCTAAAATGGGTAAAGATTTTTACAGCTGGACAGTTATAAAGAATTACTTTAGTGAGTTAAACAAAGTTGTATCAATACTATTGTAGGAATGAATAATGGTAGGATTTGTCCCAATGTCTCGAGTACGGGTTTGTGTGGGAAACCATGTTATTTTTAAAGAGTGACTGAAACATCCTGTTAGCTAGAGAATTAAACAGGAAAGGCTGAGAAATCTAAAAACAGATTAACTGTACTGATCTGTGCTTAGCATCAAACTATGGTCTTGAGAAATTAAACTGTTGCAGAGGTACTAATTCCTGCAGTTCCCTGAGTGCCTGCATGAGGCTGGCTGCAGAAGCACTGGAAACCACATAAAGTACCGATAAGCACTTTTTCAACAAAAAGTCCATCTTTAGAGCAATATTAAACATATGTCAAGCCTGGTACAAAAACCCTTTTGGTCTAAACAAGTGTCTGCACACCGAACAGGGAGTGACGTTTTTTTTTTTACCTCATTGATTTCAAAGATATTAAGGTTACAAGTTTTTTTTTTGTTTGTTTTTTTTTCACACTAGGGCACAGCTGACTCGATTGACAGGCCAACACCCTAGAGCTGTTTGCAAAGAGGCGAAACACACTCAACTTCCAGCAAGCCTCAGCTTCATTTCTTGCCTCTCTGTCGGTCTACCAGCAGAGTCAGCATTTCTAATACAGTGGTTACTTCTGATGGGCTTCAAAACTCCAGTAACACATGGATAATTTTACAGAGTCTGTGTCCCTGTATTACACAGTCTATGATCTGTGCAGGAACTGTGCATTGAGCAGCATTGGAAAAGATATGGACAAACAGATAAGTTTGAATTAAAACGTGTAAATTCTGTAAATCTGCAAAAAGATTCATACTATATATACAGTACCTGAGACCTTCTGAATGACCTCGTTGACCTCCTTCATGAAAACCTTCTGCAGGAAGACCAGGTGGTTGAGCAGGTCAGTGGTCAGGTTGTGCTCAAATGAACCAATCTACATTTGAAGGAGGACAACGATAGGTATATGCAAATCAGCAAAATGTATCCGCTCTGGTGGCTACTTAATCCTCAATCCATCTTTCTGCAAAACAAATGGAAAGTCTAATTAGGGGCATCTTACCTCAGCTACACAGCGCAAGTAGTTTCCTTGAAGGTAGTTCCCTTGCTTTGCTGGGAAATCATCTGGTGCCCAGCCCTGGTCTGAGTGGCTCTCGTGGTCCTCCATGATGTACTCTCCTGACATGGTGACTGGAGGCAGGGTGAGGCTAGCTGTTGGTGGCATGGTAGACATGTCCACTGGGGACACTTTGGACTGGAAACAAAGCTTGTGGTTCGGCAACTCAAAGGTGAAACTGGTTTGTGCACCTTAAAAAGATGTGATATAAGGAGGAAATTTAAAACATCATTATTTTTACCTTTTCTTTTGAAGAGCATGCTCTCCAACTTTGATCTGAATATCAGGAGGACACGTTTTTAAGAGTTTGGATCATCTAGTCCCTTAAACAAACCTGTCATGCCATGGCTCTTCATGCGACCCATTTTGTACTCGGCTTTTAGAGAAGGCAGCAGGGCAGCCCCAATGGTGATGCCATCCATCATGGCACTGAACTTCAGGACAATGGGCTTCTTCTCCAAGCCTTCAGGAAGCTGAGGGAACTCATTAGCCTCCACTGGGGTCTGATTGATGCTGGATGTCTTCTCAGACGGTTGTGGGGTGGGAGTGTCCTCCCTATTGGAAGGCTGACTGAAAAGGGGGAAACAAACAAAAAAAAAACTGCATTGACTCCTGACCCACAATAGTGATTACCTAGATTATGTGGATGCAGTGCTTTTTGTAGTCACAAATATTATATTACTGCCGGGACCTTGCTCACTGAACTTAACTGCCTCAATTTCCATCCCAAAGTTCACAGGATAAACTGTATTATTTCTTATGTGTGTGTGCGTGACTAGGCAAAGCTAAACAAATAGTACTTGTAATCATCAAATTACAAAGAAGTTGTTAAATATCCTTAGCACGCTTGCAACTCTATAAAGAAATTAACATTATTCTAAGTATTATCATGGAAACAGACCAGATTCAAAGTCTTAAAGCCTCCAACTGAAAACAATGTGGATGATACAAGCACTCCTAAGAGAAAGTTAAAACATGATTTTTGAATATGGCGACAGTATTGTGGACACTCACTAGCTAAAATGCCATACACAAGACTTTGTTTAAAAGAAAGATGATTAGGGCCGCAAGAAGAGAAAAACATAATTACAGGAGAGAGACTTTTTTAATTTCCATTTCAAGATTAAAGTCGGAATTTTGAGATTAAAGTCGAATTTTAAGGTTAAGAAAATCTTAATTACATGAATAAAGTCGAAATTTCGACTTTAATCTCAAAATTCAATTTTTTTTAATCTCGAAATTTCGACATTTTACAATCTTAAAATTTTGACTTTAATCTCGAAATTTCAATTTTTAATCTTGAAATTTGTACTTTATTGACATAATTTCGATTTTTTTAATGTTGATATTTTGACTTTAATCTTCCCCTTGTAATTTTTTTTTTCCACTTCATGTGGCCCTAATCCTCGTTCGTAAAGATGATGATGTGCACCTACATGTTTGAGGGCTGGCGGATGAGGTCAGAGATCTGTTTTGACAGCTGGTGAGAGCTGCGGACCATCATACTGTGTAATGTAGCAGGGTGCTGGGGGATGTTGATCATGATGGCCCCCACTTTGAAAACAGCTGCATTGTTGGTCTTCAGTCCCCGCTGGGCGCTGTATAATGCCTGGGACTTGGCAATGTTGCATTTGACGACCGTTCTGAAACACGACAGGAAACTCCAGTAAGCAACAGCAAAATGTTATTTTCAAGGTGATGTTGGCGTATGGATGGAAATGGTATCAAGTGAAATACCAAGAGGACACCATTCAGTGAAATACCATGCAAATTCAGGACAGCATTCAGTTTTCACAATCATAACTGTGACACTTGTTTCATCATGAATAAATGAAAATGGATGTGCACATCAAGGCAGGTATTTCAAGATAGCTTACACAGTATAAGTGTTATTACTGGAATAGAGGACTGAGACATCAGACTGAAATGTTTGAGTATTTTTCAGACTGACACTAAACGTGATAACAGCCATGAAAGACTTAAGAATAACTTCCACATTGAACGGAATGGTAACACAGAGGAATGTAGAGCCAGAAGGTGGCTTACAAGCACGCACGCATATACCCCAAAAAAGGGAATCACTGGGAAATGAATCAGACACATGACGGATGACAATCAGGATAGCAGTGTTTCTGATTAACTGATGAGATGAGTCCTAAATAATAACAATAACATACAGAAACTCTTGTTTAGCTGTGCTGGTAGGAGATGTTGGGAAATCCTCCAGTCTATGCAAGTAGTTAGAGGAGAAAGACAAGGAATAAGAAAGAGAACAAAATGAGAAATGTTGGTAGCTACAGTAAGAATTTTGACAAGATTATACGAGTGAAAGTGTGCTCAGTTCAAGCTCCCTTGCTTTTGTTATTTTTTGTAGTAGAGTTCATGATAAAAACGGTAAGACTGACTGTGTTTCACTTGTAGTGTAAAAAAAAAAAAAAGGCTGTCAAGGATAACTGGATAAAAATCTGAAGTGGAACATCAACTGTAAAACTTCTACAATCTGTTTCTATGACGGACAGTATGCTCTAACTTTATCCCAGTTTTGCAAGAGAAACTGTCATACAGGCAGGTATTTAAGTGTCCAGAGTGGCAGTTACTGCTTAATCCCACTGGGGGGGGGGGGGGATTTCTATACATCCGTAAGAACTGCTGTCTCCAGCATATATACACAGACACTTGGGGGCAGTTCAGAGTGCACAGTATAAAAAGATGATTTAATTTCAGTTTTGTATTCTCAGTGGATGGACAACGTCATTAAAACAGAGTGAAAAAAGAAATCTTGATGAAGTGGCAGCCGGTTTGTACTGAATCAAAACATTGTGCAGATACATTAGCTTATCTGAACGTATGACTGCAAGACTTGGAAGCTGACTTCGATGATTATGTTGCAGTAAAAGCTTGCAGTAATAACAAAGCCTGCTGGGGAGGAGTTCATGTCCGGTTTCTTAGTTCTCATGCAAGAATTTTTTTTTTCTCTTAACACGTATTTTGTAATGTCAACGGGAATCCAGAAAACAATTAAATGCCTGATGAAGTTGTTCAATATGCAACTGAGAAGTTCTACATTTTGGACGTGTAAATAAATAAAAGTAAATACAACATGGACAACCATGTACACATCATGTCAGTTCTTTTAACATTAATTACTAATTTTACGCTAAATTCTGTCAGTTAGCCATCATCCAGAGAGGTTTAGCTTAACACAGGCATGGTTACACATTATTTTTTAAGAATCCCCTTCAAAACACGTTTTCAGGTGTTTTTCTCTTCTGAGGCTTTTTTAAATCATCCACTTACACCCTCATTTGTAGAGGCTGAAAGGATTTAATACATACTGGATATCAGGTGTGATTCCCTCCAGTAGAACGATGTTAACCCCTCCTATGTGAGCTGATGCACAGGTCTCAGTCATTTTCTGGTGCAGGATATCTGAGAACAAATCAAATTCAACAGGACACAATAAACAAACCATGACATGTTTTGCACCTTTTTTCTTTCTTTATATTTCTACAATATTTCGCATTAGCTGATTTTGTTTTTGCAGAGATTTGAGGAGGGTAGGTCAGTCATAAGTGACTGATAAAGTATATAAAAAGCAACAACAAAGAGTTACATAAACAAAAAAAGAAAGCATTGAGCTGATAAAACCAATTATGATCATCTGAGCTTCACCTTTCATCTTTTCCTTCAGGGTAAAACTACCATGGATCTTCTTCAGTTCAGCTTCCATGGTCAGCCCTCCAATGTCAGCCTCCAAGTGGGTGCGGTTAACCATGCCTATGCCGAACACGATGAGCGTGACATGCTGGGGTTCGGAGCTCACCAGGCTCCGCCGTCGCCCGCCTGATCCCAGGGGTTTGTTGGGTGTGGTGGGTTCTTGCTGTTCATTCTCAAAGATCACTTTACAGAAGGGCTCTGCAGGCCGAAGTCCACTTTCTACAGAAAAAAAGGGGTTTTGAAAAAAAGTTGAAAAATTAAAGGGGGCTTTAAAATAAATCGTACATGGAAGACAGGTGAATGCAGGAAAAGAGCAGAGACAGGAAAAGCAAGGAAAGCCAAGAGGAATAAAGAAGTTGGATACTGGCTGGAAAATTAGGAGCTGATTGTCTGCTGGGAGCTGTTTCCAACCTGAAAGACAGTTCTCTGGGGAGCTTTTCTCCAGGATTCCTGTGGGATCAGAGATGAGGGAGTAGAAGTTGAGCAGCTTGTACATGTTCTGCCAACATTCTGCAGATGGCTCGCTTTGTTCTGACACAGTGATGGAGTCAGAGTCATCCATCTGGATAGCCATGTGGTCTGCTACATCTCGGGAGCCTTTCCTCGACACCTGACATGGAGACGCACGTGACGAAACAAATAGAAATATTAAAATATGTATCAAAATACATTTCTTTTTTAATAACTCTGTTTACTGTCATTATACAGTTATAAGCCTCTATACTGTCAAGACAATAAATTACTACATTTACTGCAGAACAATGGGAAGTTGCTCACAAACTCTTCCTGCAATTTTTCAATCCCTTCCCAATGACACCCAGTTAGCCAGGAGTCGTTACAGGTAGGAGTGATCTCAGTATTTGTGCATGAATGTTTACTCTTACTGAAATATCGGCCACTATAAAAGAGAAATAGAATTCTGCTGGGCCTTGATGGTTAATATTTCAGGAATTTTGCTGCTACCATGTTAGAATGTGTTGTTACATTTTAAGAAATTTGTTAAATCTATTGGCACCCTCTGGGGTTCAAGTGAAAAATTTCAGTTGTGGACCAAATCTTGGTGATTGCATAAGTGCTTTTTGATTTTTACTCTTATCACAGCCAGATCTAGGTTAGATCTTTGGTCCCTTAGGCAAGTATTGACCCTTTCATGATATTATACTGTAAATCTGTCTGCTGTAAGTGTTAGACATGGGATAGCTGCTGGATCATGGACTATATATCCTATGGACAACTTGGCTCCGCCTTCCGTCATTATGCAAATTTGAAACCGAATTGCTCTTGGTATTCGCGCAGTAGCATTGTAAGCATTTGGCAGAAGAGCCGCTGAAAGTCGCTGTGATGATGCTCGGCTCAAACACCGGGTAAGCTACGCAATCTTCGTACGCCCATAGGCTGTATTAAGTGTCAATCATAGAAAATAAACCCTCCCATAGACTTTTAAAAACAGAGCTGTACAGAAGAAAAGAGGACTTGAGCACAAACCAGTCTTACAGTAACTACATGTCAGCATCGCAACCGAGGGGGAGAAAAATGTATATTCTGTGTGATAAATTTCTTAAGTTTGTCCAAAACTCCATAGGGATTGCTGGGGGAGGCGGGATTTAAGACCTGTACTGCAGCCTGTCTCCAGAGGGTGCTGTTCAAGGGGTGGTTTCACCCAGTGAGGAGGCAGACGGCATCCACTCTATATACAGTCTATGTGCAGGACCTTTGCATGTATTGCATTGTAGAAAGCAATTAACCCTAACCCTAACCCCAAGGCTAATTTTTTTGTGATCTATTGAGCTGTTGTACAAAAATACTCCTTATCTAAATTAAAAACAAATGCTTGACAGTTTGGTCATTTTTACCTTGGATGTACGTCGCTCCGAACGTCCAAGAGAGCTACGCCCTCGAGGTTCCCTTCGCCCTAACGTGTCCATTCCAGATGGAGGCCCATTAGGTGGTAAACCTCCAGGACCACCTGCACCAGCTGCCACTCCCCCTGCACCTAACCCTCTCTTGCTCTTCAAGGTTTGAGTTCCACTGCGTCCTGTTCCATTGAGGCTACCTCGGGAGCTGCGGCTAAAGTCAGAGGACCTGAAGTGGCGGTACGGTCGAGCCTTGAAGGTGGGTGTAGGAGAGGCGGAGCCAGCAGTGTAGCGGTTCAGCTTTATATCAGTCTGTGTGGCCTTGATGTCATCGATCATAGTGCTGAACTGGTGGATGAGGCGCACCAGGGCCATATCAACACGCTGACTGATAGCTTGACAAGCTGTGGTGAAATCACAGTGGAATGTGTTGTAGTGGCGGCGGTTGAGGTCATGGAAAGAGAGTGGAGCTGCGGAGGGGCCCTGTGGAGCGCTTGCTGACTTCTCCATCACCACTGCATTAAGGCTGAACGTCTCAATCAGAAGTGCTGGCTTGAAATCCAACGGTGGAAGATTCACCATGCCTTGTCTAAAGACAGAGTGATAAAATGTTTTAAAAGGCATTCTGAGTCTTCCACAATGAAACACAAACAACTTAAAAAGTCTTTCCCATTTGATTATGATGCATTTTACCTCCTGGATCTTTTATTTTTCCGTTCTTTGGATGCATCAGAGTCCACAATGTCTGCTCTGAGACACTCAAGGTTGCTAGAAAAAGACAGATGCTCTCCAAAATACATCTTGTAGCTCAGAGGAGTGGTGTCTTGGGCCTGAATGCCTGTGTAGCTGAGCAAAGGCTTGAAAACAACCTGAGGGAGGAATACAGACGTCACAGAAGTTACTTTCATTCAATTTTTTTTAATATTTTGAAATTATGTCCTATGGTAGCAGTATTTTCTTTATTATTTTTATTTTTTTTTAAGATATTCATGTTAAGACATTCATTTTCTGACAGTTTCCCATCCTGGGAAAAGAAACATTAATAGCATTTCAATTCTAAATATTTTTTTTGTACTCCACTATGAGCACAAGTGCAGTAAAACCATTTTAAAGTTTTTAAACAGAATTCAATAACTGATGGCATTACAAGTTCAAGTTTGAACAGAAGCAGACTGCAGACACATGTATTCACAGCACCTGAGCATCTGCTAGCTGAACAGCAGCTGGACACTGGTTGCCTTCCTCGATGTCAGCCATGTCGTCCTGGCTTGTGCTATGCTGGGAGTGCTGGGAGTGGGTTCCATCCAGGGTATTCTGGTCACTGGAGAGCACCGTGTTAAAGTCTGATGCTGAGGGGATTGTGGGTAGGTTACACGTCCCACCTAAAGTGTGCGACAGAGAGGTCTGAGATGGAACATGTGGTCCAACACCAGTGGTCACAGAAACTGGTCTTCAGTTGTCCGGATAAAATAGGTTCAGGCCTCAACACAGGAACACCTTCTAACTTGTGCTGATTGTTTAACAACATTTCTACCTCCTCATGATTAAGTTTTTGATTGGAATAAGATTAAGGGTAACAACCATATGATGGAGAATGTTGAGGATTCCACTGTGCTGTTCTTCATCACAGTTGTTATATCTGTTGCCTAGGAACTGTGTTAACCATTAATTGGATTTGGGGATTGATAATGTTTTTATCTTATCTTTTCTTAATTAGTAAAATTATCAACCTAGGCACACATGTAGCCCTTTATACAAAGACTCTATGAACATAATGTGTTTAGTTACATAGGATAAAATTCATATTTTCCACAATCTGAGTGTGTGAATCCAAACACTAAACTAAACTAGCAAGGAGGTCATAAATGCAAAGTAAATCTGTTTGTTACTTAATGTTGAGTGGGAAATATGAGGAACAGAAGGTAGGGAAGGCACTGGGCTATGAGGGATAGGTACATTTCAGGGAACTCAATTTTTCACTCGCACATGAGTTAGAAAGTTAACAGTGAGAAAAAAAAGGACTCTATTCAAACAAAAATCCTCCAGCCTGCAGCAAAGCTTTGGAGAGTCTGATAAGGTACCAACATACTCAATAGATGCTGATCATATTTTCATATTTCTTTGAACATGTTAGATGAGTTAGGCCACATCCACAAGGAAATAAGTTTAGGAGTATCTGCAAAAGATTTTTTTTTAAATCAGGACACTTCTTCAACACCGAACCAGCATTTTAGGAGCCCAAACATACAATTTTTAGACTGAGCATGAATGCAACTCTCCAGGGTGCCAGAGCCTTATCCATTATGCATATGATAGCAAGTGATGGGTTTTTGAGGACTGGTGCAGAAGGCTGAGGTGTTAGTTTTCCAGAATTCAATGTCTATTATTCTAACGCTCTTACAAGAGCTGCTGGATAAATGCTTAACTTTCTCCACTCTCCAAGTGGATTTGGCAGCTGTATCTGTCTGTCACATGGGCTTTGGAGGTAAAACAGTAGGCCAACATCCTCTTGTTTGTCAGTTTAGGAAGAGCGCCAGGTGCCTTTGACCAGTGTCAAGAAATTGGACAGCCCCTAGGGATTTATCAGTGGAGCTTGATGCTTTCTCTTTCACCCTTTGAACCCCTAATGCAGGTAGAGTTTAAGGTTCTCTCGCACGAAACAGTTTTGTTACTAGTGCTGACTTCCGCCAAACGTGAGTGAAATCCATGCTCTGTCGGTCAACCCACCTGCATGTCATTTTCAATGGGGGACTCTTGGGTTTTACTGAAACCTAACTGAGCAACTGTGCCAAAAAAAGTATTAAGCCCAGCACTGGCATATCACCCAGTTAAGTTTTTGTTTTTATATCCTCCCCCCTTTTCCACACAGGAACACAAGCGTCTAAAAGTGCTCTCTCTGGTGTGTGCTTTACACACATATGCAGACAAAACAGCTGGATTCAGGAAAACAGAGCAGCTGTTCGTGTCATGGGCCACCATGAATTTGGGCAAGCCTTATGATTCTAAATTAACAGATTTTTTTGTTTTTAAACGAAAAAGAAATAGGTTGGCTCTGTCTCCATGTTAACATATTCCTTCTACATTATTGGAAAATGCTATAATCAGTGACATTTTCTTTCTATGCTAACCTTAATAAATTCACGTTTTCTAACTACCAGGATAAATCCACTTTTTCCCAACATTAACCTTATCACACGAACAACAATCAGGTGTCTAGACTTTTCTGCAGGATAGACTGACAAAGATTAGGAAGTAACTGTTTAACTAACTAGAAGGGAAATAACCTCTATATAGCTAGCTAGTTCACCAACACCTTTAGCACAACACTGAGTCAGCCCCTGACCTCCTTCCGGACTGTTAACTGTTGGTAGTGGTTGATACTGGTAATGGTTGACAGGAGAATCCAGCGACTCTAGTGAAATAGCAACATTATATGGATGTTTATCGATAATTCTCAGCTTTTACATCCATTTTATTAAAGAATGTTTAAGGTGTTTAAGAGTTGCATAATGTTAAAGAGTATTATAACAAAATATTAAATAACAAAAACAGAAACAGCATAACATACCAGCAAGATTTCCAAGAATGTAAACAATACTAGACTGAACCTTCACAATATTCAGGGTCTCTGCAGGTTTTCATTATTTTCAAAACCCAGGTTTCAATTTAAGAATTTTGAAGACTTTTTAAAGAACGTAATGAATAAAACTTAAGACCCATTCAATGTCCATAATGGCAAAGAAGTACAAAAGACATTAAGGGAAATTGGAACATTTTACATTACTTAAAATCAATCTTTATTCCCATGGCACGTTATTTATTTGTAAGTAGAGTTTATACACTTTTTAGACCTTTCAAAATCTTATTTAGATTTAAGGCCTTAAATACAAATTATAGGATTCTGGACGTTTAAAAACTTTTTAAGACCCCACGGATACCCTGAATATTGTCATTGTTTTCTGAATAAAAATGGTTATTTTTGACATTTACACATTGACCATAAAAACAGTCCTGCCTGGCTGATCTTGAGCTCACAGATTTACCTGTCTGTAGGCTGTTGTGCTGGGAGCGGTTAACCGGAGAGTCTATGGCCCCAACCCCTGTCCTGTTGCCCACAGCGTTTGACATCCAGTTGTAAAAGCTGACAGAGGAGGGCTCCGAAAGCAGAGGGTGTTCAGTCAACACGTCTGTACCTAGGCTGTTTCCTGGGCCCAAGAGGAAAGAAATTAAAAGCACTTAGCATCATGGAAAAAAATAAAAACTGGACACAACTTTTATCTTGCATCATAAAAGGTACATACAGTTCATGTTAGCATTAAAGACGGAGGGTCTTATTTATGTAACGTGAGCAGAATGCATTTTTGAACAAACACTGAGCAGAAAGAAATTTATGGGCAAACCTGCATTCATCAGTGTTAGTAGTTCTGATTTGTTTGTAACTACTAACGAGATCTACACCTGCCTGTGACCACTTGTAGAGTTGTGTCAGTGAGGAACATTGAAGACATTGTATAAAACTGGAATTAAATCAGTCCCAAATTCATTGGAATTAGAAATATAATTCTTTTGCACACAATAACCACTCTCTCCTTTATTCATATCCTAAACGGTGCATTTCACACAGCCACACTAAATACTACATATCTAAGTATTTTGTTTGATTTGTGAAATTGTAAATCATGATGGTGTAAGATGGCATAGAAAGCTCTTTTATAGTTCACATAAACAAAATAACCATGAAAATACTGAAACTATTGATTATCAGAATCTCCCTAACCTAACCCTCTGTAATAAGCATCAGTACAGCAACAGCAGTAGTTCAAGCATGGTTACCTGTGCGTGTGAGGGAGCTACCTTTAGCAGCAGCTACAGCCGATGGTTCATTCCTCTGAGGCATGCTCTCCAGCAGGTTATGCAGACTACGAAAGCTGCCTGTCAGATTGCTCAGGAGGCTTTCCTTCCTGGGACTGTCCTTGGCTGGCAGACCTGCACGGCTAACATGAGCTGGTGAATCAGCTGCTGTGTCACCACTGGTGTAGCTAAGAGACTGGTATGGGTGGGAGCCCTGGGGTAAGACAAATGTGCAGATTAATAAGAGGAGTGTGACATATGATAACAGCTATAATGGATCATAAAGTACTGCACCCCCTCCACTTTCCAGAAAAAAAGATCATGAAAAGACAAATTTGGAACGTTTGGGTTTGTTACTGTTCAAGCACACAGGGAGAGGTACAATACTGTACTGTATGGTGTATCAGAGACACAGTTGACCCAAGTGTTTCTCCTAGCTTTGTAATTCTACATATTGCTGGTAAAGATCATAATGAATAGAGATAATGTTTGGACAGGTAATCATTTTACATGTTTTCATATTTCCTTACATTCAACAAGCACACAGGCTATCACAATAGAGCTGATTTAGTTGAGAAGATTGCACATGTGAGCTAAGATCTGTAAAATTCACACAGAAATAATGTACTTTTTCCTCTTTTTTTGTTTTTTAACCACAAAAATGTTTTGAGAGGTTTAGTTGTGCCCACATAACCCTGCCTTTAGCCCCTCACGTGAGCTATTCTTTCTGGTAACCCGGCAAGGGGTTGGTGCTACTCCAAAACTGTGCTTTCTGGTTCAGAGCCAGTTCTTTGGTGGTGTAAAAACAAAGATAATCAGGCACTAGCTGTGAACTAGTACTGGAACCAACTCGGTGGAAAAGGGGTAACAGTGTTTCAGACAGCGTTTTGATGATGGACAGCACTTGAATGTGTCAAATATTAGGGATGTCCTGATCCGATGTTGATATCGGATATCGGGCCAATAACGGCAAAAAAAACAAAAAAAAAAAACAAATATCAGATTATATCGGCCTGCATCTAAAATCTCCAACAGCAGCACTCTGATACAAGCAGTCCATTCCAGAGTCCATTCCAGCACCTCTATCTAACAGCGCCCACATAATTACAACATCAGTGTGTACTATGGTACTAACAAAGTAGCAAGGAGTATCAATATTGGTATTGGACAAGACTGAAGGATGCAATATCGGTATCATATTGGAAGTAAAAAAGTTGTGTCGGGACACCCATATCAAATACAGTATATTGTGCTAACTTAGACTAGCTGTAGTCTAGACTAGTTGACTAGTCTAAATTTAATTTACTCTAAATGGGGGGGAAATAGTCACTAGGAACATCTTTAATACAAACAACTCAAAGAATCTATCGGATTTATAAAAAAACTGACAACAAAAAGATGTTTTTGTGGCTGGTCTGGAAAAACATGGCATCCATAAGATAAACTAGTTAAATCATGTGAAACTTCACTACACTTTATATGGGGTAACAGGAAAAAATGGTGCACATATTCTCAAAGCTGTACCTTTATTCTGAGCGCAGACTCATTGTGGGTGTGGGATTTTGACAGTTTCCTCATGATCTCAACACCACTAACAGGACCAGTGTTTGCTTCTTTTGGTGGGGGACGGCTGCAGGCTCCCTCCAGCAACATGGTGTGTTCACTCACTGTGGCTTCACACAAATAGGATAAAATAACACTTCAAGAAGAACCACATGACTTCTACAAAAGGTAAAAACATATAATGCACATGTTTATACGATACCAAGAGGCTTAGCATCTTGAAAACTAAAAGTTCCCACCTGCGTCAAACTCAAATTCAGCTCCATCGGCACTGGTGTCACTCTGCAGCGCAGCACCATTCTCCAGGCCCAGGATGGTCTCTCCCAGGCTCTGCTGAGGCTCCTTGGGTCTAGTCAGCTGATTTGGCCTCATAATACCAATAGCTTTGAAGCCCTGGGTAACAACAATAAATTTCATCCACTGTCTGGCCAAAGCAACCAGACCCTTTTTTAAAGTCACAAGTGCAGGAACCCCGTCGTTCTGGAAAGAAAAGGAGGAAAGATCAGAGGTAAATTGGTACCACAGGTAAATTTAAAAAAGCATAAGAGAGCTAAGGGCACTTGATGATTTAAGTTAAAATGAATTTATTAGGAACTTAAGCAGCAAGTAAGCTATAAAAGGTCAAATTGACATGATGTAGATGAAAGGATTTGGCTTCACACTGACCATGGTAGCTTCCTCGATGATAGAGTAGTCTGCCTGTTGCAGATAACGGTGAAGGATGTTACATAGCATGCAGGATGGATTCTCATACAAGTAACGAGCTCGTTTAGTCACACGGTTGTACTTGCTCCGGATCGGGATGTGAATGGTTTTTTTCTGTGGGAGAAGACAAAAACAGCTCACAGGAAAATGCAAAAAAATGCTCAGAAGATGAAGACAAGCAAAACGACAGGTTGAGGAATCATATATTTGAGCAGATGTTCAACTCACCTGCTTTGAGAAAATGCTGATTCATTAATGCAGTCAGAGTGTACTACACAAAATGTGATTCATCACAAGGGGTATATGTTTGAGTGTACAGATGTATTATTTACCTCGAGAGCTTCTGTCATGATGCAGCCCATGACAGCACACACCCGCAGAGTGCCTTCCATGTCCAGTTTGCGCAGAGAAGACTTCAGCTGGTCAATGGGAACCAACCAGGCTCCGATAGCAGGTGTGGCTGTGCTCAACAGATTCAGCTGCCTGTAAGTCAGAAGAGCCTTTATTATCTACATCAGTGTTATATACTGGTGTTTTTTGTTTTTGTTTTACCATGTAAGAAAACTGTAGTTTTGCATTGGAGGGCACTTTCTGATGTCTGTTCTTGAAAGGTGCTTTATCTTGAAGTGTCAACAATTTTAGCCTTGTTTACTCTCAGGCAGAGGTTTCAGCTATTTTTTTTCTTCACAGCACACGAAGAACATGATGCACTGAATAAGCAGAATAAAACTTAACTCAGCTCATAGCCTGCTGTTTGATCAGTCTGATGACCTGTGAGGCTGACATCTCTGCGATAGCAGCAAAGGTGAAGGGGTTGTAATGATATTAGACCTATCATTATATATTACAACTGACTAGTAAGCATTGAGTGCTTTAGATATCGATAAAATTTGTCTGCTTCGCATCAAAAAACTGTGCTTGATTGGATTTGACCTAAAGAATAAAATATGACAGAGAAGTTAATCTCCTAGCAAAAAGGTAGACTCTCAACTCAAAGGATGCTGCACTGTTTCTTCTTGGTCCAACTCAAAGAGTGTGTGAAATATATGACCTTAAAATGTTTTTTTGTTGGAAATACAAAAGGCACAGCTTGTCCCAATGTAGGTAAGTACTAAGTGAGCATGATCTTGAGTACCACAGTGGTCTCACTTAGTGAAGAGAAAACTCAACATCCTATGGAGTACAACATTACAAAATTAAAGTGGTGCATGTTGGGAGGGTCGTACCTTGAGAAGGCCTGTGAAGGGGAACGCACATTTGTGGGAGCAGCGAAACTGAACCAGATCTCTCTTATGGTCAGTTTCATGCTGCTGGAATCAGGAGGTGGGGGCATAAGGGGAAGGTCTTTCTTGAGGTCATCTGACTCCACTCCTTCATCCTACAAAACAGAGTTTCACAGGTGGATGAAATTGACAGGTGAGAGTTGTAGTTATAGTATTGTAACTAAGATGTAGTCTTGAGACAAAAGACAGCTTTACACAGAGGTTTATTTAACCTTAGATTATATTCATTTCACCTTGAAATAACCCATTATTTTTAAATTAACCTGTATTAAATTCAAAACTGTCTCAAGGGACAGTTTTGTGAGCAAATTGGAGTAGTTGGAAATGGTCTCTCAAACACTTTTACCAGGCACAGTTGTGTGCTTGCAAAGTTAAGTTAAAAAAACAGAGACAGTATATATACGTAGGACCTGATGAATAAGCAACACTTTTGGATAAGATTGTAAGCAATATGTAGTAAATTCTGAGAGACAGAGAGTGTTGCGCTCAGTAATGTTTAAGACAGCTAATCAAGCTTAGCTGCAGCTAAATGGAGACATTCACATAAGTGAGGCCACCAGAGCTGCAAAGGCTTTGTGTGTTCTAATCCTAGATAACAAACATTGAGCTCATTTCTGCGACCACTGAAAGGATTGGAATGTAAAGAGAGCTGAAATATTTAACGTGCAAGCTAGTTTCAAATGAGCTGAAATAATAATGTGAAAGCCATCTTAAAGACAAACACCTGGTCGTCTGAATCGGAGTGTTCATTGACATCAGAAGTAGGGCTGATGGTATCATTCGGCAGGTTGTCATCAGAGACATCTGTGCTGTATCCACTTCCTGTCTGTGAGCCCGTCGAACCATTGGACTTCGACATCCCTGTCTTACCGCCGGTGTCTGAGCGCCCCATCACACCAAATGCATTGTAAAGAATGGCTCCAGACTGACGGCCCCCTGCAACACAAATGCATTTTAACTACATATATCTCTCTGATATCTTTTTTAACACCCTTAGGTCTCAATGTTAGTCATGACCTTTGTTCTGTTTTTGGAATACTTTACCTTTGACTGTGAGGTTTTCTATGCCACATTCAAACATAATCCAGCCCCATTTCTCAAGAGAGGCAGTCGAACGGCTAAGATCCCCTTGTGGGGCCTGAGCATCAGTTTCATCCACCAGTGAAAACTCCTCCATTTCCTCCAGGCCAAATAGCACTTTGGACTTCTCAAAAGGTATCGCTGTGATAGAACAAGTGCCAATGTCTGCGGATGAAGAAAAAAAATGCAGTTTCTTAAATTTCTATTTTACAGGAAACCATGCAGTTGTTCAGTTCCAAACATTTGGTATGTTGTGTTTGCACTTTGTCTATATTTGATTTAAATCATTTGCAAACCATCAAAATCAGCATTTTACACAGCATCCAGTTTCGTTGGAGTTGAGATTGTACGAAGTATTTATAAAAGGAAAGGTCTATTAATGGCAAAAAGTAATTACTTTGTATTGTAGGTCAAACGAATGCTTCTTATGTCTCCTATTCTCTTCAGCAAACTAACCAGTGTCATGTAAAGGGTCAAGGAGCAACTTTTCAAGAGGGATGAACAGAACTTCTTTAAATCCTACCTGTAGAGTCCAAGCCTCGCAACTGGCTGTGGATACGGTGGATGTTGAGCCTGGCAGCGATTTCTTTGCCTTTCTCGATGCCTGCGTTGGAGCGTAATGAGCCAGAAGACTGAGGCTGCATCTTTGTGGCTGAGGCGTACTTGTCCAACAAGACTGAAGGACGCCCATGTTCATTGGTGTTGGGTGTCTCTTCTACAATACCCCTAAAACAAACAAAAAGAAAATGTTTTATATGGTATCTGTTTTGGAGACAAAGATATACACTTTGTTGATTGTGTGGCTGGTATGCACAGTCGGGAAACTAGAACCAGCTTTTAGGAAATAAAAGGGAATGAATGGATTATCAAAATCATGCTGGATTGTGCCTGGGTTTTAAAGGTTACCTCACTACTGAATTTGAGAATAGAGCCCATTAATAATACATCTAAAAGACCAAAACTGAGAGAGTCAGTAAACATCATAAAGAATGCAAAGAAGAAAATTTACCAGGAGTCAAGATATACTTAGAAAGTCTGAGTAATGACAAAGAAGCACATTCACACAGAGATAAACAAGTATTTTAGGTTCATACCTGTTCATTCTGAACTGGGTTGCGATCCTGTCGAAGCACAGTGCCACAAGAGACACATGTGTGATGCACTTGCTGGAGCAAGATGGTGACCCCTCTTCTACAGAAGCTTGTAGGAGGCAAAGGTTTACCTAAGATAAGATTAGATAAGATAAGAAAAATTACTTATCCACAAAGGGAAAATTCAGGAAATAAACAAACAAAACAAAATGTAAAGATAAACTGAACCAACTGAACTGCACCTTACTATGTCATTATAAACTGTTATCTGAAAAATGACTGCATAAAAACCTCATGCTGTAGACATAAAAGTCATCTCGACTCTTTATAAGACAGTTAATTTCTTCAAACAGAAGAAAATCCTACGAACAGATTAGCCAAACGGAGTGTGAAGCAATCTTTCTCAAATGTGAGAGTTTTATGGGTTCTTTTCTAAATTTTGATTTGCAGAGGGCAATAGAAAGACTTTTAATCCACTATCCATAAGAGATAAGATATTCCTTTGTTCATCCCACAAGGAGAAATTTACAGCAGCAACAAATACAAAAGAGAAATTAAGAAGGAAGAAGTCTGAAATTTTTAGCATACAAACTCTAATAAGTCCAAAAGGTACACTGGTTTTGATAGCATAGGCAAGATGCATGGGTAGAAAAGCCATATATCATTAATCTACACAATGCTTAACTGGATCAGTTTGAATGTTCTGAAATCTGCAGCAACGTTCATGATGTTGAAACTTTCCTTGAACCTCTCTGCATCCTAAGTCCATTGGTCACATAACATGACTGGCTTCTCATTAATCAGGGTCATGGGTCTTACCTTGGGAATGGAGACGTTGGCTTGTAGACCCTTTATTTTCACATTGTCAGGTTTGATTGACAGGTCTGTCTGGCCATGAGAGATGTTGAGGGAGCCAGGAGTTGTGCCCTCTGTCTTGGACAGCTTGTGCTCCTGCTTGCCTGTTTGGCTCTGTAAAGATCCAAAAAAGTGAGATGTTACTAATTTCTCCACAAAAGTTGTTTTTATTTGTAAGGTCGATCTACAAAAACTCTGGCATTTGGAAAACAGCGTCTGGTTTAACTCTACTAAATCCAGGTTTTTTCAGTTAAACCTAATTACTAAGTAATGGTAATTGGTAAATAGACTATGTTTTATATAGTGCTTTCTTTAATCTTCTGACCTCTCAAGTGCTTCTACATCACATGTTACATTCACCAATTTACAGCACATTTACACACTGATGGCAGAGGCTGCTATGTACAGAGCTCATCACTTTTGACAGACTCTATTCACAGCACCACTGGGTGCAGCCATAGACTGCATATAGAAGGGATGCCATCTACTAAAAGTAAACATTTAAAATGTCTTTCATAGTAATCAAAACTGTAACCTTGAAGAGATTAATTTTTGTGTTCGAAGCTTTGTTGTGCTTACAGACTCAGTGACGGTGGACTTGCTGATTTGATAGGCTTCATTGAGGACTTTCCCATGCAGGTCATCCAGAATGGCTGCGGGATGGCGAATACTGGCAAAGTGGACCATGGATTCAATATACCTAAAAAGATAAAAAAGAAACACTACTGTCATGAAACAATGACAAAACAACACAGTGACGAGTGCTATGCATGGAATATTTCCTGCATTTGTAAAACACAGAGATTTAACAAAACCACAAAAATCACCATTTGCATGCTGTATACTTAATATGTCAGTACACGAGAGCCTGCAACTCTTCAGAGAACCTACTGCAGTTTAATAATTTAAGAATTATTAAAGTAATGCTTGTAAGACAGTTGAAACTCAGTACTTTCAATCTCTAACAATTTTAGATTCACATGAGTAGACCAACCCATGATTTTGATCTGAGGAGTACTGTGCATTAAGAGCAATTATGGCCAAAGTAATAGGCCACTGGATAAGTCGGTCTATCCCCAATCCTGACTGTTTGAACATTTAGCTGAAAGGAGATTTGGTCAATAACACCAAATAACATACGTATAAGTGGACTAACTGGGGAGTCACATGACCATCCTAAGGGGTGTAAACGCTTTGTTTCGTCACCCTGGTTAATTTTACTGTTTTGTGCTTTGTGCACACCGAGATGGCAACAAGCTCGGGGAAAAAAAAAAAAAGAGATGAAACAGCCGGCAACAGCCCATGTAACTAACAATGTGGAGCTTGTGGGGGGAAGTTAGGCTTACAGGAGGAATCATGTTTTGGTTTTTCTATATTTTTACATCCATGTGAGTTTTTGTTTGTTTTCATGCCCTACATATATATTTGTATTATTATTTTTTCAATAAAAAATTAAACACAAAAAAGAATAAGTAGGCTAACTCAACAAAACATTTTGACACAGTTATAGCAAAGGGAGGTAGAAACAAAACCCTTTGGAATAATTACTACCTGTCAAGTGATTCAGCTACAAGGGGTGTGAGCACCACATTAATGGCACCCTTCACCTCCACTATGGCAGTGGTCCTGGTCTGAGCCAGGGGCTGCTCCAGAGTCCAGTCATCTGTTGTGGTGTCGTCATCTGTGTTCTCCATGGCTCTTTTATCTAGCGGAGTATATGGTGTACTGTAGAGGGAAAGTGAAACAATGTTTGATCATACATTAATGTGATTAGAACAGATAGATAAGACAGATGAGACAGAAAGATGAGATAGATAGTTGAGATAGATGAGATAGATTAGATAGATTAGATAGATGAGATAGATAGATAAGATAGATCAGACAGACAAATAGACACAAACCTATTGTTTTCTCCCATCAGCTGGACTCCTCTATCCAACAGAGAGCTAGCAGAGAGGCCAGGCTTTATCACCTGTATGTGAAGAAACATATGACACCACAAAACTGGTGAGCTCTATTGTGGAAGGAAAATTACATGTAAACCTTAAAACAGAGAATAATTTTTGTTCACGCCCACAAAGACAGTTTGTTATTAGTCAAACACCTTAAAGCTAGGGACAGAGAGTTGGTCAAAAGAAGCTGAGCTCTCTTCGCTGGTGGGTGTGTCCAAATCTAAGGGGCGATGCAGAGAAGACTTGGAGGTCCTCTTATTGGTGGGCTGCTTGACAGACCAGTTTGAGACCTGAAAACAACAAGGTTAATATTCTTTAATTGGATGCAAAATAAATAATCTGATGAAAAGGCAAAGTTCGATCCCTATCCCATCTAGGTCATTCATAGCCACAATATAAACCAAATGAACATGCCTGGTAGTGGGCTAGGTAGTTTTGGTAGCATGCCATGACATGGGGCTGGCGAGTTACAGGACCCGGCTCTGCAGTCTTCTCTGCTTCCACTGAGCTCTCCTCCTCAGCAAGGGCAGAGACAAAGGAGGCTTGGGATGTGTGACTAGGCAGGGGATGCGGCGGCAGAGGAGGCAGCGGGGGCAGAGGCAGAGGACGTGGTTCGGTAATGAGCTCCCCGTTGAGCACGTAGGTAAGAGGGCCCTCAACACTGTGGTAGATGGAGCTCCGACTGCGAAGGTCAAAATATTAGAAAAACATAGAAGATTAATGTCTTTAGTGTTTTACATTAATTACAAATAAAGAGATGCTCTATGAAAGACCTCCTGGTCTGAGTTCTGTGCTTTTGAAGATCATGTTTTCATACACATTATTTTGAAACCTCGTGTGAAAAAATGATTAAATTCATCACTTGTGTTTATGTGAAGGTCCTTTCAATCACAAGCATACTAAAATCAATGGCAGAAAATGTTGAGTGCTTGAGTGTTTAATTACCTCGTGGTTACAAAACAAGAAAAAAAAAATTTTTCAAAACACCAGCTGGCTGTCTATGAATCAAACCTCTCATTTGCTACAGTCCTTCTTCCAATAACATTAATGTTTGCATTATAAAATCAGTAGCAAATGAAAGCAGCAATGTGCGTAGCTTTAGGGAGAGATCCTTAACACATTGGAAGGCAAAACTTGTCAGATATCAAACATAAAAATATCACAACACTGTTTTAGTATTCCTGTGTCATAAAACTATTTTACAGCCACTAACAGGATATCATTGTGACACTTTATAAGGAGTACAAAGCAGTACTTGTGAATGGCTGTTTTTTTTCATCTACTCCAGAATGGTCTGAAGTAGGTATGGGCAATAAATTATCGCTCACGATATATCATCAGAAAAATCCTCTATGATAAGTATTTGCCATCTCATGATAAATATGATAAATGTAGCCGTAGCCCACACTGATCAGAATAACAAACAAAGACGAAGACGTTTCTGAGCAGCTCGTTACTGAACGAGGCTCCACATGAGGGATTTCCTTCAAGATTGGGGCTTAGATGAGTGCAATCAGGTATGCCTGATATCGGACAGTGGATCTGCTGCTGCTATTCACTCTGTGCAATAAGAGTTTTCAACAAATATTGACAATTTTTTCACATTTCAGACTTGTTTGATGTCATTAGTTTTCTCCATAACCTACCACTCAAACTTGTGGTTAAGTATCTTATTTGAATTGAGATTTTTTTCACAGGATTATCACCAGAATGGCAAATCTTATCATAAGTTTCTTAGAATATATTGCCCATCCCTCGTCTGAAGACCCTGCTCGAAGAAACTCCAGAACGCTGCTTTTGCCTCTAACCCCAGCTACCTTGAAACTTGAAAAAAGCTAAATATTCATTTGATTACTACAGTTTCAATACAGGATTTATTGTAGTTAACACTATCAAGTATTTAAATGAGATGTCAGAAGTACTGCAGAGTGGCCCTTTAAAAATCATTAAAACGATAACACTTCGGGCAATCTGGCATGGTCAAAACCTGCTGGACAAGTTATTAATTCATCTGCTCAATACACAAATGACAGATGAGAGTCTTTGATGTTACTGTGCGCTCTCTCTCTCTCTCTCTCTCTCTCTCTCTCTCTCAACCTTCATCTGACCAACCACCTAGTCTACCCTCAAAGTCTGGAACCCTTTTACTTTGACAGCTTTCTTGAGACCTACTCAAAAGGTGCTCCACTCACTGAAGTTTTCATTCTTTGAAGTAATTGAATACGTGAGCTGACCTATAGTTCTCCATGTGATACGGGGGCTGCTGTGGCTGCTGCATCTGCTGCCTCCTCTTCTTCTTGCGCCCGGGGTATGTCCCTGGACCCTCATCAGCACTGCTTATTGGCTCAAAGTCCTCAGCAGCAGAGAAGTAGGCCTCACTGTCAGCCACAGACATGCTGGAGTCAGCAGAACGGTACTGGTGGAAGGTGTTGGAGTCGGCTGAGGGTGTGAAGGGAAAAGAGCCGTAGCTCCTACGCTGATGTGGTGAATCCAGGACATTCTCATCGCTACGGGACACCTCACTGCTGAACTGGACGCCGCTGGACAGCACTGGTGGTGGCTTATCAGTGAAGACAGCAGCTGATAGGCTCTTGGTGCTGCCAAGCCGACCGGAGTGTACAGAGGATTGTCGCTTGAGGGGGGAACAGAGGGGGGAGCGCACTGATGAGTGATCCTGGGAGCTGTTTGGAGAGACTGGGGAGACCTCTGGCACTTCCCCTAGAGTGCTTCATAGAAAAGAAGGAAAATTACAGCCATTATTTATAATCAGAGGACATAGAAATGACATGATTCTCCGATATTTCAAGCATAACTTTGGATGTAACTTACTCAGCAGGGCTTTTGCCATTGATTGGGCACAAGTGTTCCTCTGTGCTTGGTGAGGGAGAGTCCCTTTCTCCAGCCAACAGGGGCAATGCAGCGCTAGAGGAACTATTTTCTTCAGAGGAGGAAGCTGAGCTGTGAGAGCGCTGGGGCACCTGAAGACTTAGGTGTTGCTGACTACGTCTCTCAGGCAGCTCAGGAGGAAGGCATGGTGAGTGTGTGTCTGTTTTAAGTCCCACAACTCTCCCTAAGAAAGAAATATTGAATACTGAGTAGACAGACAATAAAAAAAGCTTATTTAATTACCATAACGCAGAATAAACTGTCATAAAATTAACAACTAGAGAAACAAAAAAACTCAGAATGTAACACTGTTTTAGAAGAGCAGATACTTTTTTCATGATAAACAAAGCATTTGGGGTTTTTAAATTCTTAATTTTGTTTTGAATTCACAAAAATGACCCATGAGCAAGTCTAGGGAAAATCAGGACATTATTGTTTAATCTTTTATAATCCATACCATCAACTTTGGGTGTTTCCTTGGTAATAATCCACTCCCCGGGTTGAAGCAAAGACTGGCCATAAGACATGTCTGACTCTGTGCTTGAAGAGGAAAATGCAGACGAAGAGGAGGGTGTGAGCTCCTCAAGTTTGAAGAAGTCCAGGCTCATGTTGGTACCTCCAAAGAATCTGCAGCCTCCGAGACAGCCACAGCGGTTCCTGCCACGCTTGTTGCGAATGCCTGCATCTTCCGGCCACAGAAACCAAAGCCTGAGAGAAAGAAGATGAAGAGCAAGATGGCCGAATAAAATGAATACATAATAGTTGTCAGGATTAAGCAAACAATATCAGACAAATTGGCTTTTTGGCTGCTGTCACTAAATATTGCATTGGTCCATTTCTTAACGACATTACAGCATGAGGGCTGTCAAAATGCTATGTTAACTTTGATAAATGAACCCAAATAAAAATAATCAAATAAAAAAAAAAAAAAAATCATCTCATATTGATTTATATGCTCTATAACATCTTTAGACCTCAAATGACTCTGAACAGACAGCCTTGAAAACGGTCCTCTGATTACAATGAAAAAAGGTGACACAAAGTTACTTGGCTATAATTTTTATAGTTTTAACTGTCTAACAGAACAACGCTATTAAATTTATTGTGCAATTGTAAATACACATCTTCTAGGAGAACAGACAAAGAAGTGCTCAGAGCTCTAATTTTTACCACTTTATGAAACATACTACCAATCAAAGACGGTCAACAGAGCACACAAACAAGGCAGGGGACGTAGGATCTTTCTTCTCTTTTGTTTCATAAGCTTCCAGAATTTGTTACTGATATATTTCTTACATTTACTTACACTCACACTTACAAGAGTTGTCTTGAGTAATGACAATTTAAGGCTACAAAATAAAAGCTGTTGTGGAAATTGTTTCCTGCTGTTATAAGCTGTTGGATATTTTATCAGCTGATGATCATTTTAAACAAGAAGAAAATCGACACTATTGCAGCAAGCTGGACATTTCACATTTCCATTAGTGATCCATTACACATAGAGAACTGAGAACTGTGGTTTTTAACTTCACGCGAACTTCATAACTAATGGGTGCTGCTGTTCCCTGTGAGCATATTCATGCATTAAAGGGATATTCCAGCATCTCCACATGCACACCTCAACCAAAAAGCCACAAATAATGCTCAAAACAGCACCTAACTTCATCAACGGTACATGTAGGGTCCCAGCTACCAAACATCTTTTTAGCTTTGCCTAATCTCATTAGCAAAGAGACTAAACACAACTCACCTTCTCTCTTCTAGCAGCTGCTTATTTGTGGGGGGTCCTGACGAGTCGATCACCGAGTGCAATGGAAAAATTTATGATCATTACTTCGTGGAAATGCAATCAGAGTTCTTGTGTATATTGTATGTGCACTGCAGAGGCTGTTGTTCTTCTGCTTAGTGTCTCGGTCTGAGTGCATTTCCATGAATAAAGTAATAATCATAAATTTTCAGCTGCACTGGGTGATCGACTTGTCAGGACTCTCCCACAAACAAGCGGCTGCTGGAGGAGAGTGGGTGAGTTGTGTTTGGTCTCTGCTACAGAAACCAGGCAAAGCTAAAAAGATGTCAGCAGTTGGCAACATTAATCTCTTGAGGGGGTGTCTAACTCGGTGTGTTTGACCATGACTTAAATTTACCACAGATTATCCCTTTAAGTCAATAAAAAATGTGGTTGATGATACAGGCAGAGCATCTGAGGGACAAACTATAACAAAAATACACACACATGATTTTCACAAATACATACATATATAGACACAAACACGTACACTGACCCACACAGTAAGAGAAGTCATTAAAGCAGCAAAGAACTCATACAATGTGTTTTTTCTACCTTTTGGTTTGAGCATCATGTAGCTCCAAGAAGTGTCTCTGGACTTCACATTTGGCTGGGTGGTCAGCAGCCAGGGCAATGTCTGCTGTAATGAGGTTCAGGTTGACTGTACCCGCCTCAAGCCAGACTGAGCGGCGTAGCAAGGGGGGCTGACCAACACCTAATGGCTGACCCAGACCTTGACCCTGACCAGCTGGCTGCAGCCTGGTTGCCTCACTATGCTGCTGCTGCTCAATGAACTGCCGGATGTTTATATCCTGCACCATAGCGCTGATGCCCTCCCCTACAGCCTGGTTGTGCAGGTTACAGTTGGCAATGCGAATATTTGTTGTCTGTGATGGAAGAAAGAAAATCAATGTGAAATTTTTACACTAGGGGTGGAACGATTCATCTACAACATTGATTTATATTCCTAGGATCCAATTACATCGATCTGTGCTCGGCAAGTTGTCCTATGGGTGACATAACTTCATCTAACATTGTTTTAAATTGTAATAAATCAATTTTATTAATACTAGGGAATAATGCAATAGATTCAAGCACGGTAGATTGTATATGGATGTTTTTCTTTTTTCTTTTTTTTTACTTTTAATGATAAAGACATTAAACATTACTTGACTCAGTCACAGTCCAGTATCCAGGTATTTATTTCACAGTCATTCTGGTTGAATATTTGGCTAAGAAGTTACTGAATTGTATTGTTCTCAATGAACCAATATCGTCCTTGAATCATATCGGCAACCATTGTTAAAATGAATCGTTTCACCCCTAGTTTACACCACTAATAATCTTACAGAATATTCATAAAGTGGGTTTTATAAATCTACTTTACTTGAAATACACTGAATACAACACATTTTTGGGCTGTAGCTTATTACCTTGATGCTGGTAGCACAGCCATGCTCCACGATGAAGAGGTCAACTCCATCTACGGCCAGTCTGGTCATGGTGTACTTCAGCTCCTCTGATGTTCGACAGTGACCTGGTAGGCAGCTCATCTGAAAGACAACCATCACCAAAGCTTACTGATGATATTAAGGAAGTGTTGGTGAATAAGGCTGGCTTTGTTAACATCACCCAATAGCCTGTAGCTGCTTCTACAAACAGAACATGCATTTTGTCAAACAGATTTTTTTTTTTAAAGGAACTTCAGCCATAATGAGTGACTTTCTCGGTTTCCTGTTTTCGAATAAGACACACAGAAACAGCAGTTAGACCAAACCAATGCCAGATATCATAAAATTTCCAAAGAAGTAAGATTCAGACTTTTTTTTTTTGTTCATTTCATAGTGCACAGCCTGTTTGTACCTTGGCATCACATATGCGGCGGTCAATGCCATGCTGGCAGATGACAGAGGGCTTGGGTTGTTCAAGCTGGAACTCTCTGGATACCCCATGGAAAAGGAAAGTCTCACCCCACTCGATAATGCTGGCCACCTAGTTATTAAATCACATGTAGACACATAAATACTTCATAATTTAAAGCTGCATCTCAATTATTATCGTTAGAATATCATCGAAAAGTTGATTTCAGTAATTTAGTTCAAAAAGTAAAACCTATTTATTATATTGATTTATTACACACCGACTGAGATATTTCAAGTGTTTATTACCTTTCATTTTAATATTTTAACTTACAGCTGATGATAGATTTGTATATGTGTGTGTGTGTGTGTTTTAAATGTATATATGTATTAATGATCATGGATTTTTATCTTTCAGGTGCACTCATAATTTTTTATCTTTAAATTTTAAAGATTAAATCATTGTATGTCAAACTACCTTTCATATGGGTGGAAGGTATAACAAACGTTTGCTGATTTGAACCCATTTATCCTCTCCTACCTTTTACAGTTTTAACAACTTTCACACACCTGTGGCACAGTTACTCTGCCAGTGAGCCCCCCAGCCTGCACGTCAATGAGCCAAGCATACTCCAGGGTGTCACTGCCCAGGGGGAGGCCCTGAGCGGAGAACATGGCATGGGCTCTCATCTGCAAGCCAGACAGGCTTAGGTGGCCATCTCTCAACACCCCATCTACAGTGGGACGCTGTGGGTGAAAAGAAGAACAGAATATCAAATAGGCTTTCTTTTAGGCTTATATCATTACTATCCAAATTTTTTAAAAAGTTATAAAATTAAATTCATTATATTCTGTAATTCCTATCCTGTTATCTCTGCACAACTCATAGCTAAAGCTTAGAAACTGGGTTAATGCAATATGCAAGTATTTATGCTAACATGCAGCTGGTGAAATGCATGTTTTACGTAACACAAACAACAGAGACATGCTCACTTTTTTCAAAATTTTCAAAGACTGAGTCAGTCTTTTAGTTATCACATAAAAGAGGCTTTTTTGTATTGACAGCTAAATTTTGTGAGATGTGTCTCACAGTGGAAGGCTGCTTTAACCGAGGTTATTTGAATGCTTGCTTGAATTCTAAATCAAAACTTAAAGTCCATTTGTTAAGATCCAAGATTTTTAACTATTTTTCTGAAGCAGTTTCCGACAGATGAGGTTATGTACGTAGTTAAGATAAGGAAGACACATCGAACATTCAGTAGTTATGTTTCTGACCTGATAGTTGTCACTGACAAAGATATGAATGGGAGACAGAAGCAGCTGAAGCATTGTCTCCTTGTAGCCCTTTTTCATCTCAAAACAAAGTCGCTCCAGGTAGCCGGATGGACCTTCAGGACCCTCACTGCTGCAGTGCTTGAGGCAGAAACAAAAGTAAAAAGAAGCAGTTTTCAATAACATAAATACAGATCAACTCAAAAATCATGGCTGGCATGTTTAAAGAGAAAACATCAATCATTGTAGGCCAGTAAAGGCTTAAGAGTAATAACAGGGGAAAAAAGCTTAATCTTTGAACATTCTATGTTCACAATAAAATATATTTCATTTAAACCTTTCAACAAAACTCGCAGGCTTACCATTGGTAGTCTGCCGTGGACTTTGTAAAGATTGATGTACACAGTAATGTCCCATGGGCGCAGGTCCAAAGGATGGATGTCTGAACTAACTCTTTGTTCACTGTCCTCCATTCCCAGAGGAGACCAACCCAGACCTGAGGAGGTGGAGGTGGACAACACGGGGCTGGAGACTGCCTCCTCAAAGTCTGTGTACATGTCATCCTCACCAAAGTAGTTTTCCTGTGCAAACAGGGGAGGTGATGATAAGAAGGCTGTTACCAATTAAAAATGTCTTTTGATTCTTTACATCATTTCATTCTAGGCAAGGACATTGCTGATCTACACATAGTACTTGTTTTTTTATTTACCTTGAAGTCAGAGACATAAACCACACCAGTTTGTAAGACACTGTTAGTTTTTGGGGGTGTCCAGGGGGATAAAAGTCAAAGCTGTGGTCTCATAAAGAATTCCATTGCTTTCATCCAAGTCCACAACATGCAGTCTTTATGTAACTGTGAAGCTCTTTCTAGTACTATCTGGCAGCTACTGGTACAACAGTTTACTTCAGTGGAAAAGTTGATATTTATTATTCTTAACTATCCAACTTAAGAGTTTTCATACCTTGATGGAAATGAGCGCTCGGAGCAGAGCTCCATAGAGAATGATCTGAGAATCAGGGGCCATTTCCATCTCTACGTGAAGTTTATCTGGGGGGAGCTCTGAGGGATCAGTGGGCGCTCGGCTGTGGGCTGCTGACCCTGATGTGCAGGTATAGCGAGGCTGTGCTTTTTGAGGTCCAGAGGTGTGTTCTGGGGGACGCAGAGCTGAGAGCATGGATTCCTCCATCTCAGACACTAGAGATACAAAACAAGGGTCATCCATGACATCCATGAGTTACAGCAACAAACGCAAGAACATGAACATGATTACATCTTCTACACCGTAATGCCTACTGTCCCACGGTTGTCTTCTAGGGGTGTAACGATTCATCTACTACAAAATCTATTGAATATTGAAAATGAGAACAGAAAAGGTTAATCTCCTGTTAATTCAACCTGGAGTAAGTTGCACTTTATTCAAATAAAACATGAATGCATTTGCTGTTAATTGTCGTTTACTTCTTTGTTCATAACTAATTAACTTAACCTGATTCCCTTCCAAGAACCAACAGGAATATGGGAAGTTTCACCTGCACTGTCCAGTATCCAGGTATTTATTTCACAGTCACACTGGCTAAATTTTTGGCAAAAAAAGTTACTGAATAGTTTCAGATCGTACTGTTCTAAATTAACCAATATCATCCTTGAATCATATTGGAAACCATGAATCATTGTTAAAACAAATTGTTACACCCCCAATTTATACCACCAATAATCCTACAACATTTTCATGAAGTGGGTTTGATGAATGAATGAAAATGAATCGTTACACCCCTATTGTCTTCAGTGTAATACATAATAAAATGATGCTAAAGCAGGTAACTTACATGACTGTTTGAGCTGCTCATCAGCTTTCTGGGGATATATAGGATGCCAGGTATAGTCAATGATCAGCAAGAAGTTGGGTACACTCCAGCAATCCACCCAGCCAGCTCTGATAGAGGGCAGAAAAAACATGTCAACTCAACACTGAGTCATATCGCAGAGTTTATCATCGTTTCAAGTGAATTTTCCAGTTCATTGTTTGCTTTATGACCCGTTCTATTCAAGGACACTCAGCAGAGGTTCAAATCAGCAGACTGGTCAACACCTGGTTACGCTTAACACAGAGTGTATCAGCCCTGTTAGAATTCAATTATAAACACCCCGGGGAGTCAGTGTGTTTCTCACGGAGCTACATCACTCTGGTCTGACTTGGGGCTGCATATAATAAATGACATAGACGTCTGGTTAAACTACACACTGCATATGCTACCCTACTTGCAAAGGTTCACTGACAGTTTTGTTTTTACTTTCACCAACCTCAAAAGAGTGTGTAAGACGGGAATAGACTACATAGACTGTAGGAAAGATGGAGAATATGAAAGCATTGAAAAATAGAGCAGAAAAGTTTGAGACTGCCCCTGTTGTCCAGCTGCAGTGTGGGTAATCTGTCACGTCTCCATCGTGTAAACAGATCATCAACCTGGGTCAATCTAATCAAAACACACAGTAAAGAATTTTCTTAAATATGGTTTCTAGCATTACCGCTGATTTCCCCATGCTAACTTATGTCTAAGGATTTATGATTTAAGGACATTAGCAGCCTGTTTGTCTCGCAAGCTGAAATTCTCGAGAGGCTTGCTTATTATTTCCATCAGTCACGTATGCGCTCAGCCAAAGTAAGCAGAAGATGGATTAGTTAAAGGCTGCACTGGCCATCATATCTGTGTCGCAAGCATAATAAATGATTAAAATAATTTTGTAATTGTGTCCAGGGTAGTCATTTGGGAAAAGGAGTAACTAGTTCGGCTCTTCATTCACACCGACAGTGACCTTTGTTGGGGAAAAAAAGTTTGCTGCGGTTTAACTATGTTAAGTATTGATCATCTAATCTGTCTCGTAAAACTGACAGAAATATCAATTATTGACACAATCAAAGCATAAAAATTTGAATTTAGTGGTGCAATAACTGAATCACCACCTCCATGACATTTCCTATTTAAATAAGCATTGAATAGAGTCAGTGTCACAATAAGGAATAATCCTGCTCTTCACTAAGGCCCGGACTACACGTATACAGATATTTATTTATCAGGATATTTTTGTTCTCCCGTCTAAATAAATGTATCTGTCCACACGTGTTAGTTCTCAAAAATATCTGCGTCCACACAAAGCCGTCAAACTCACTCCTATCTGGTGCCGCTTAAAAATAATTCAGGAACAAAGCTACCTGATTGGCCGATGAATCGTAACAGCGTGATGCGTCATGCATTGTTTGGTCCATGTGACGGTGTGGCGGCTATAACAAAGCAGACGCCTCTGTGAGCTGGCTGACTGGTGGATGTAATTGTATAAAACAAGGTTCACTGTCAAGGCTGAAATTAGCCACAAAAGGGCAAAACAAACGTAAAGAATACCCTGTCTGTCCGCCATCGTTGTTGTTGTTGTTTTTAATTCGCATGCACGAGCTGCAGTTTGACGTCATCGATCCGTAAAAGTTCAACCACACGAATCCACTTATACGGATATCTTTTTATTCTCCGCTTGTTTTTCCGGGTTCAGATTTATCCGGTCTGAGTGCTCCCAACTCCCGTTTTGGTGTGGTAGGGAGGCCTAATCGGACATAAATATGTGCGGTTTGAAATATATCCGCATTTGTGTAGTTCGGGCCTGAGACATACTTCTTTCACCCTCAACTACAAAGAGATAACTTCCAATTTCCACTCACTCTGCACTGGTTATGTTCCTCCAACGAGACTTTGTGGGCTTTGGAGGGGGAGCCCCTTGGTTTTCCCCTGGCATGAACATGTCTGGGGGCAGCTTTACATTCTGGTAGTTTTTGGCTTGGGTGAGAAGGGGGTAGCGGCTGGGATGACACTCTGGCAGGGACAAACGCATGTCTGTATCTTCGGCCTGAGAACAAAGACAAATCAGGGCAATGAAGTGATCCAGGCTTTTTCATGGCTTGTGTCAAAGATACAAATTAAATCTTCTGATGTGATATGTAGTAGTACATCTTTTAAAATATGTATAAAATGAAAATATACTCACACTCATATCACTGAAAATAAAAATAGGCATTTTTTTTTTTAAATATGACAGCACTCACCTTCAAAATGAAGCGTGTATGGCAGGTAGTTGGGACAAACTCGTTGAAAGGCAAAGTGAAGTCTATATTGAGTGTCTCCCCGCATGCTGCCAAGTACACTATAGAAGATCAATAAAGCAACTGATTAGTCTCCCCAGCTCTGCCACTGTGTAGAGTTCATATATCAAGATTAATTAGTTATGATGTAGTATCCTATGATGGAATTGACTTTCAGTGCAAATGTTAATGCAGCATTAAGCTATCATCTGTCATGATGGGATCTGAAGATATCTGTTGTAGATATTTGGAGCCTTGATTACAACTAATAAAGAACTTGACATGCTTTACATAGAATCTGTCACATGAGTTACACAAAAACTTATTACGACCCTAAAACTTAAATTGGATTATTTTCCATCTTATTTTTCAGCTTACTTACCATTTTCCTGCTGCTTCGTGGAACAGTCAATCCAGTTGTGCTGGTTAGCTGCCCAGATCATCTCAAACTGGTGGAAAAGAATTTTGAACTTCCAGCAGTACGGGACAAAGGAGTAGATGTCTGGGGCATTGTCACTCGCCCAGTCCTGGATCAAATCTAAGAAGGACAAAAGAAACAGTGATGAAGCAAAAATGTTGGTGGTTTTTATACAAATTCCACATGTTGCAGTAATAAAATGCAAATGCTGTCATTGACAAATGCATAGAAAAGACAGAAAAAACAGCACACATATCTTAGATATATAAAATAACTTTTATATTCAAAATTATACGTCAACTCAGAAACAGGCAAAGAAAAATTAACATCAATAGATTTACATCTATGGGTACAAAAGTCAAAGCAGGGATAAAAAAAAAAAAAAATCTTTTTAAAGCGTATCGCTTCATCCTAAACTTGTGTTATTGCTAATTTTTGCCAACCAGCTGGGTCTGTTTCTTTTTATTTATTTATTTTTTTGGCTTTTTGTCATAATCTTCGTCAATAAGTAGTGACGTTTTAAGAATAACGTGAACGATTCAAATTCAATATCCTTTTGCTTTTTGAAAATAAAAAAATTCCCAAGAAGCACAATGGTGTAAGATTTCTTCATCTTCTTCTTATCATCAGTTATTTTCCATATTTCTAACATGTTGTCAGTGTTTTGTCTGTCTGTTTGTTTTGGGACTCACCGGTGAAGAAGTTTTTCTGGGCATAGATGAAGTGGTAAGTTGCCTTGTACACTTCAATCTCACACTGCCATGACTGAGGCATGTTCCACACCCGAGGATAACTTGCGATGACGTGAAACTGAAAAGGCAAAAAACATTTCAGAAAACCCAAAGTACATGCACATTTGCTAAACTTTACCCTGCATACTATACTGGGGAGAAAGTGATTATACTTTTAAAGTTCTGCTCAAGGCTTATCAAATAACTGCCTCCTACTTACAGCAAGCATCTCAGCCTCCAGAAGAGTCCTGTACAGCATGCTACTGGTGGTGTCCACATGAAGCAGTTGGCCTTTGATGGTTGGAGAGTAGCCTGAGGTCAAAAGGGAAAGAAAGAAAAGCAGGGCCATCAATTATCACAATAGGGCTAAGTTAAGTTATAGCTAAGTTCATGCCAGTAATTTCATCTACCAGAAAAAAAACCTTAAAAGCTGCTTATGTTATGTTAACTACAATCCCAGAACAGAGGAGAGCACTGATTGACAAGACATTATCAGTTTAGTGTGATCAATTATTTTGTAATTTTCAAAATCTTGTTTCTAGATTTCTGGTATTAAGGAAACACTGGGGAACTCCTAAACAGTTATTCAAAATGGTATATGATGAGTTCCAGGTACAGGAAACCATCCTTATAGTTTCCACATTTTCCTTTATCAAGTTGTAAATATGATAAATTCTGCTCAAATTGTTGACACTTCCTTACAGCCTGGTAGTTACAAGAAGGGAAGGGGCTGCGATAATCTCAAGAGATAAAAATTACGAGATAAAGTTTATGTTGAAAATAAATCTTAACATAAACTTTGTAAATTAATTATTTATAAAGACAAGAATACAAATAAAAAAAAAACTATTTTTTTTGTTTGATATGACATTTTCATGAAAATCTTATGTGTACATAATGAATTTCAATGAAGCTGCTTATCATGAGTGTGGAATAACAATGAGTTCAAAAGACCTAAAGAATGAACGAATTCTGAGTATGATGTGAACTTCTATGTGCATAGAATGTGTAAAAATTGATCCACTTACCATTCTCACCTACAGTCATGGGGATGTTGACTTCTAAGTAAGAGCCTGCTCCTACATTCATATGGATAGCATTGGTCTCCTAGAAACAGGGATGACAACAGGCCATTGGGTTAAAATAAGCAAACCTACTTGCTGTAAGACTATTAAAGGACACCTCAGCAATAAATTAGAAATAATAATGATAAAATGACAATTTTCCCTGACTCAAGCCATCTAACATTTTCATTCAAACACATTTATGTTATGATATTTAGTAAGCACTCCACATACTGAGCTTTTTAAAAGTCCTTACACAGCTCAAGGGTAAAATTTGAAGAGGCATTAAACTTAAATCAATATCTGTGGCTCAAACTGATAATAAATGACAAGAAACACAAAGAGAGAAGTAGAGGGAGGACAAAGGAGTATGGGTAGACAAGAACAAACTAAAAAGTATAAAGAGTGTGTTGATGAGTCACCCTGTTTTTGGTAAAAAGTAGATCAATGGTTGCATCAGCGATAATGTTCATGCGGAGCTCAAAGGCCTGGATCTGCCTGGGTTTTCCTGGCTGGGCAACCTCAGTCACTTTCATGGCTTGATAGTCAGCCGGGAGGAAGAACTTCCACAGACAGTCCCTGAGAGAGAGAGAAGTTCATGTAAGTGTTAAGACTGCAGCAGTTAGGCCAATCTCCCACCCTGTAGAAGTCAGGATTAAAAACTTCCTGAAAGCTTTAGCTTTATTGCAACAGTTTTCTGCAATTGTGTGAGTCATATATTGTAAATGTATGCAAAGGAGAATATTTCAGTGTATGATTTATGTTTGAATATTTGCAGTGGAAGCAGCTTTACAATTAACTTAAACTGAATTGTGGCAAGATTTATGAGTTACTTAAAGTTAAAATTCTTAAACAGGACAAAGTTTGCAAGATTTTTTCACAATCAGTTCTTACCTCTGACGATCCGCCCAAGGACCGTAGTTAAAGTCAGTCCCTTTCCCACAGACAATGTCCAAACCCCAACAAGGAGGCAGGTCCTGAAGCTTATCATCCTCACTGCATGTCTCTGCTTCCTCCACACCCTCTTGCTCCATGGGCACCAGACCTAGATATACACACAGAGTTTAAGCCCTTAGCCCTGACAACACATATTTAACAACATCACATAAATATATGATTTAAACTCCCTAAAATCATCAAAGCAAAGTGAAAGTTTCTACCAGCAGTCGCGCATAAAAGGGTCACAATTCAGACAGGCTGAAATGTATGGCAGAGTATACAACAACCTCTTTGATTTGGTCGGAACTTATTGTCTTTTTTGAAATAAATGAATAAATAGAAATCCAATGAATTTTATAACAAAAGTTAAAAAACATACACAACAGGAAACCAAAACCGCCATGGGTGTGTGAGGAAAATAACATAAGACAAGATAAATCAGGGTCCAAAAGAGACATGTATAAAGAACTAAATGGTGAGCATTTGTTTTTGTTAGACCAAGGGGCAATGGTGGTGGCTTCTCTCAGAAAGATTCAGATATTTTGTACCCACAGCAATCAGACTTTATAATTCTTCTTTAAATAGTAGATAACATGAGACTCCAGACAAACGAAATTCCTTTTGGGGATCAATTACGTTCTTGTACTGTATTGTAAAACACTACTGTCATTGGCTGCTATGTACGTCTGCTTTGAAACATTGATTGTAACAATACATTCAATACAAACTATCAGCAGTAGAAACTAATCTTAAATCTTAAAACCAAAAGACATTGACCAATCAAAATAATATATAAGGGTGTGTGTTTTTGTTTACTGTTTTTCCTGTGGGCATAAGCATACCTGGTTCATCCTGGTAGTAGTAGATGTCCACATCGTTGGACTGCATTACCACAAAGCCTTCACCCATCAGTCTGGGAGGTCTAAGTAAAACCACAAAGTCACAGTTATGAGGCCAGAAATTACCTACATGCAAAGGATATCTGCAGACTGTTCTTACTGTCTTTTGTAGGTCATATCAGCTAAATATTCACCTCAAAAGTATTAAGCAGTTGAGCGAATGCATTTAACTGCAGTCAACAGTAAAGCTTTGTCCTGAAGAGAAAACACTCTCTGAATTATTCAGTCATCCAAGTGAATCTTCCCATGCTTAGAGAAAAGTTAAGAACTTGAAAGTCAGAGGTCAAACATCATCAATGACTTTCTAGAGGCTAAACTTGCAGAGTTTCTGACTTCTTAGTCCCTCGGGGTTGATCTAATTAAACTCTGAAAGTCAAACTGAAACAACTGAAGTGCAGGAAAAGGTTGATGATTTTTTTATGACTGCAGTCAGAGCATAGCTACAGAGGGTCAAATTTCAATGGAGAAAAAGATTGTCTTATTTAACCTTTTGGCCATTTGCAAGTGACAGTTGACCAATACCAATACTGTACATTTAATACATCCACATAATGCAGGAAAATGTACTGGATTTACTGGAAATTTACTGTACCTTTTTTTTTTTTTTTAAAGGTAAAATAATTTAATTCAACATTTGAATCAACCCCTTAAAATGTTGCACAGACCATTATTTTGGAGAATTTATATAGAAAAGCTCAAACTACCTTTAAAAGAAACTGTGGATAAACTGTCTGTAAGAAAACTTACTCATCATTCTGCATGCCAAGGTAGCGTGGACTGGGAACCAGCATGACACGTACATTCTCCAGTGAGCCCTTAACAATGTGCATGTACTGGTCCAGGTGGCTGGATGGAGGCTTGGTAGCATATGTCAGGAAGGCATCCTCGAAGTTCAAACACAAAGTTTGTGGGAGGTGGTGATTTCCAAAAGCCAAACGACCCTTCAGGGCACAGGCAGACACAATGAAGGAACATGGCTTACACACATTAAAATCTTCTCTCTTTAAAGCTTTAAAGATTCGCTTTTTTAACTGGCCTCACGCTCACCGTGCTGATGTTGACTTTGATGACAGGAATGAGGGAGCGCCATGATGATGAGGGGTCTTGGCTCTCTGACTTGATGTTCACACTTAAAAAGAAGAAGAAAGAAGCTATTCAGTCTCAAGAGAAATATCAATATTCATTGCCTTTTAATTTTGCCCCTTCTTGAAAAACTTTGAATCATTCAGAAATTCTTTAAGCCGTTTCCCTCCTGACATGAGATACAAGGAAAATTGTTTGATGTTGCCTTCAAAGCACCTTTCCAGGGTTTTTTCTCTATCCTCCGGCCCACTCTCTTCATCTTTTTTGGGTGTAATGAGAGTGGGTTCAAGTCCAAAGGTTTTCTGCAGGCGAGCGTAGAGGTCAGTCCTGTTGTACACGTGAAATTCAAAGCCATTCACCGTCACGTAAAGCCTGGTCTCTGCCTTGGGGTCTAACAAAAAGACAAAGAAAGGACATTCAGAGTTTATAATGTTATTGATTTATCCTGAAGTTTTTAGAACATGGTCATAAAAAACTGGAAAGCTTTGTAGTTGTTATCAATATCAGAACTTGTTAATTAATGAAGTGTGGATGGTTATAGGATGAGCAAAACACATCTGAAACAATTTCAGGATGGTTGGTGAAACAAGTTCCAAGTTCCACATTTCTTATCCCCTCACCATGCTGTTTCTGTTTTGGGTTGTACATCTTCCACCAGCGAAATATGAGGAAGCCATCCTGAATTCTGCAAGAAAAATTATTACTTCATCAGTAACCAAGCTAAGCGCTAACAGAAGTACAAAGAAGTAACAAACAACACAGCCATGACATGATAGGTTACCTGATTGACATGTCTTGGTTGATGAAGAAGACATCTCTGAACATAATCTTCCCTGACAGCACAGAAAAGGAAAAGGAGCCTGTGGAGAGACAGTAAGATTTAATGTAAGGTACAAAAGAGTTTAAGCATTATATTATTTCTCTCTGATCAAAGAGGAAAAATCAATCAAATTCAGGAACGTATTGTAAAACAATCGCAAAAATAAACTTAAACTAGATTTCTAAGCAAGAATTCTTATGACACTCGTGTTTTTTGTTTTGTTTTTCTTTTTTCACTTGTCCTCTGGCTGACTAAAGAGAGGATGTGCAACTCTGCTCATTTAGAAACTTGACCCCCCATGTGAAGCCATGCAACAGTTTTCTAGTTCCTGGCCTTGAAATAAAAAAACGCACCTCCAAGAATGTTCAAACCCACTCTAAACTTTTCAAGTTGTGTTATGGAAGTTGAGTCAAAACCATTCTAGTATGTTTTACAAAAGATTCTGTTACAGTGTGTCTGCTTATTTCTAAAACTGTATGCACTAACAATCTTTGTTGAAAATACCATGCCTGGAAACATAAGACTTGTTGAAAAATATGTATGTATGTATTTCATTTTCTTTTTTTTTCATCTCTATTGCTCCTATCTTGTTGTTTTATGCTGCTGTTCTTACTTTGTAAAGTGACCTTGAGTGTTTAAAAAGGCGCTTATAAATAAAATGTACTATTTCTATTACTATTTAATGTTTGAAAGAAAAGGAAAACAAAACTACTTCTGGGACTCATTAGAATTCACACTTGTGGCAGTACAAGAAGCATTTAAGCATAAATAAGCCATGCTTTGATGCTGCTTTGTAATCACTGACTTTCATTTAAATTGAGAGCATTAAGTATTTGTGAACAAACTGCTATGACTTAATCCAACAATGATACAATGATTTTGCAATTTTGTGGTACACAGTTGCCATCATTATGACCATGCTAGACTTCCTTTTTTGTTGATTTGTGGTGTGGACATTATAACAGAGAGGATGCATAACATCTCTTTGTTTAAGAAACTTAACAACCTACCCACCACAATAAAGGCAGACATTCAAATACATGTCATAATAGTGCTTGAGTTGTGTGTCATTTCTGTAAAAAATGACACAAAATTGAATCTGCTAAAGACTGTGAAGAAGAATAGTCACTGGCTGTAAAGTCTCCAGCAGACCGTGTCAACAACTTTAACTGACTTCTTTAGTAATTCTCTTTTTCTCTATTCATCACTGTGTAACAGAGCTCCTGTTCCACACACCAATATGAATGTAGCCCTCCTTGTAAAGCCTGTTGATGATGAGGGTGAGAATGAGGCCAATGTTGCGGGAGTTGTAATAGGTTAAGTAGATTATCCATCCACATGAGAGAATGGTGGCTGAAAAGCAAAAGCAAAACAAGGTCAGGTTTGTTAACGCAAGAAAATGTAAACAATGTTTCAGTACAAAAAGGCTTAAGGCTTTTTGGTTGTTTTAAATGATTTGTCCACATCAGTTATGTAGGTTTAGAGAAACATGGACCTTGACATCATATTTTACCATTGATATACTGTAAATATCACAGATTTTTGATCATTTCAAGTAAGGGTGCACAACATTGTATTTTTGTTGTTATCTAATATGTCAATACTTTTAAATAAATCTTTATCTATTCTGATATCAAATAACACACTTTTTCATTGTAAAGAATACGTTTTTTTCATGTCATGAAATCTGACACAATGAAAACACAAAGAATAAATAGCAAACAGCAAAAATTACTTGTAAAAACGCATACAATATGCCACATAAACATTACAATCTACTGTGTCTGAAACTGAAATCCGAAGTAAAATCCACTGGTCTGGGTATTTCACCACAGTATAGACATAGACCACTTACCAACAAGGAGCCAGATGAAGTTGGAGTTGTGCTTGTTGAGAAAGTCATCCAGATCAACAAAGCTGGGGAAAGTGCTTTCATTGTTTTTGACAACATGCCCATCCATGGCTTCAAACTCTCCGGCTGATGTCAACAGCTGCAAAATTAGAATATCACATTATTTCAAAGTTAAGCTCTACTGTATGCATTTCAAACTCTACTGCATGCCTTCCCATTTCCTCTGAAGCTGAAAGGCACACAAAATAGAACAGATGAAATACTTTGACTACAGTTAATTCAGTTGAAAGTGAACAAAAACTGTGCCTGTTATTTGAATTTAATTTGCACCACCAGTATGCAACTAATCTACAAATCAATATTTCACTGATGAAAAACAAATTATATTTACAATATATTAACATAGCACGCTCCAATCTCTAGACAACCAACTCAAGTCTATGACTATTTTTCATGAAAAAAAAAAAAAAAATTCACTTTGATAATGTTCTCAAGGTCACAACTGATTATGCACAGAACATCACTTTGTTTTACAGTTAAACAGCCTTGTTTTGCGGAGATCATTAAACAAGGGAGGAGAATTAAAAGACTGACTGGCTTGTTGAAAAGTTGTGCATGGGGATCAATATTGTGGTACATCACAATATTGTGCATGTAGAGGCTAAATATTCTCCAAAAAGCTACGATATTACATTAAGAGCTACAGAACGGTGTTACACTGAGTAAGACATCAAGTTTGGAATTGTTTTGTCTGACTTCAAAACTTTTGCCAATCCTGCTGCTTTCATAGGGGCTGAGTCCAGAAGCGTTTTTAGCACATTCTTGCAAAGCAAAACATCTCATGTGGTCACAAAGAGCTGTATCTGTAACTTCTTGGCATGTAAGAAGGATATAGGCCACAGCCGGTGAAGTGGACTTTGTTTCTACAGAGGGGATTATTCTAATTTTTCTGTTTGTTAGGGGGCTGGTGGAAGGTTAAGTGTACGCTGGGATACCACGGGTCTGCATCGCACTCTTGAATTCCACTACACTCAGACACAAAGACATTCACAGAAACACATACCTTCATTCAAACCACCGCAAGTTAATCTGGCTGTAAGAAAAAATCTGAATCCAACCTATCAGGGTACCACCAGCTTTGTCTTTCTGACTGTTATACAAAGACATAATGTGAAATACGAGACATTGGGATGATGACAGAAGACCTGCATATGCTACAGCACACTTGAAGAGAGCTACTCACTTGGTATTATTTCCATTCTAGTTCAGGCTGTGGGTTTATTTATTATATCAAATAAGACAGGAAGCAAATACTCATTTCAACGGACAGCAGCCCTACAAAGAACAACAACTTAAAGACTTGTGTACGAAAAAAGAGAGCAGAGATCCTGATGACTATATAATGTCTGTATGCATCAGTTTCACAATGCTATGTGATTAAACTAGGAAGATCATAGTTATTACTGTTGATCATGATAGGCTGTATTTCTAGCGGCTATCTTAAAAATATAAAGGCCAGCCTGTTCATATAAGTGATTCAAACTTTAGGAGAAGAGGGAAACGCTGTCAGCCTGAATACTCTGTCTGTTTTAAGAAAGCCATTTGGCTCTTACCAAACATTTTATGGCATCAAATCTTGTAGCAGTGCATCTATCAACAAGCATTTCAATCAATCAATCAAATTTCATTTATATGGTGCCAATTCACAACAATCGTCATCCAGCAGGTCTAGACCACGCACATTGTTTGATGAATTATCAAGACCCAACCTAAGATGGGATTTGGCCCATCTCATCTAACATGAGTAACAGTGGCAAGAAAAAACCTCCTTTTAACAGGAAGAAACCTTGAGCAGGACCAGACTAATGCTAGACAGCCACCATGTCGCTGCTGGGTTGGGGAGGAATACAGAGAGACAGGGGGAGAGAGAGAGAGAGAGAGAGAGAGAGAGAGGAGTGGAGAGAGGGCAGGGGGAGAGAAAGAGAACAAGATAGAGGGAAGGAGAGTGAGAATGAGTAGGGAGGGAGAGAGAGTACAGAACAAGGGTGAGAGAGAGAGACAGGGACAGCAGCAACATTAAAAAAACAACAACAACAACAATTTGAAGGACACTATGGGGAAGTCCATGTTTCTGTTATCCCAATAAAGTTCAGAGGACAGGGGAACACACAAATGACTAGCCAGTGCTGGATTTTGTACTTAAGAAACTTCGTAATTCACTAAAAACTTGACCTGTTTTTTTAGGGACTGCAGCAATCAAAGCAAAATCAAGCATCACAAAACCTTTCCGAAACAGAAACTGCTGGTATCGACTCAAATATTTCAATGGCTGTTTGCGTGACCACATTCTTATTCAAGATCAACATGAAAGTGTGGAGTCTAACAGACAGTCAGATGTCTGATATTGATGTGTTTAGATGTCAGGGAGATTTGACCAATCTTGCCAAAGTACAAGTCTGACCTTGCTGCATAAAAATCCACACCCAAGAGATATTATACAATCTTTTCCTGGTGACGTTTGAGGGACTCAAATAATTGATACAGCAGCAGTTTAACCATCAAAGACCACGTGAAACCAGAACCAAATGACTTCTTGATGTTTTTAGGATGTGGTGGACATCTAACATTAGATGATTACAAAAACTAATAGAAAGGGGCATCTATCGAGGGTAGTGTATTACAGATGGCTCTTACCGCTTCAACAGTTTACAGACATTATTAAGTCGACGCGGTTCTCTACATTGAAACAACACTCTGTTCATTTTAGGTTAAACGTGGTGGGCGATGAACAGTAACAAAATAAATACTGACTCGATCACAGATTTAATCTAGATCTTGGAGAAAATCCTGAGCCCTTCTACACACAGAGCAAACGTTAGCTAATCCTATGTCTTCATTTATTTCCTGAGCGTTATGCCCATCATTACGAAAATGAGCTGTAGCCTCATGTATTCCATTTCTGCTCAGTTTAACATGACTACGATTGATCTGCTCAACAAGCCAGACAGTCTCTAGACTATAACTGTTGAAGATCCTGGAAATACAGTGATCAAGCTAACCGCTAAATATCATAACGTTAGCAGCAGTGTTAGCTAGCAAGGTAGTGACAGCAGGCCGCACCCTATAACTTCTACTATGTCGAACTGCACAAACAGGCCCAGTTGTAGCCGCAAAGTACCTAAATGCATGTGGTTTCATCTTTGATCCAGTGATCCAGAAGTTGAGGTCCACTTGTCGTGTTTGACAGGCAAACAGCCAGCATCTTCTGTTGGATATCTACCTGGCAGACGGCCAGTTAACATCTCTTCCTGCTCTGTACAGAACAGGCCAACAGTCGACCAATAGTAAAAATGGAAAGTCAGGAATTGACCAATTAGAGAAGAGCGTGAGCTAAAACGTAACCATTATTGATGGTTAATCTGTCCAATCACCGCCAATGTTTTCGTGAAAATGGGAGTGTTTTAAACAGCATAAACAAAGCGAAGGGATTTAACCATCACACACACACACACACACACACACACACACACACACACACACACACACACACACACACACACACACACACACACACACATATATATATATATATATATATACACAAAGTGTACTAATTTACTTACACATTATACTGAGTAACTTTATCAGAAAATAGCAAAACATTTCTTACTGGTGTGGCTGGAGGAGGAAGGATCAGTGAGGAGGGTATCAGCAAAGGCACCAGAAGCTGACAGGTACAGCAACGCCACCTAGAAATGTATAAACCTCTACAAAATACAAGGCAACACAGGTTCAATAACAGGAAGACAGAGACGTGGTTCCAAACAATTCAGTCAAAGGAAGCTTCCTCAATCAGAGGGGACCGTGAAGCAGCCAGAACAGACTAAGGAAAACATGGCCATGATGCCACAGGTGTTTTAAGTACCTTTGAAACACTCCAGGAGGAGTTTACCTACACTTTACAGGGTACATTCAAGGCAAACAGGGATCAAAACAGCTGTGAAGCATGCCCAGTGTCCTCTACAGCTTTAGTTAGTAGCTTGCATTAGCTGGTGGCACAAAGACAGTTGTTTACTTTCAGACCAGGACACTGACTTACAGTTGAAATGCAGCTCTACCAAACAGTCATCTTCTTCATAGTCCTTAAAGTCCACAATGTCCTCAACCACATTTGTGATTGACAGCCTCATTGCTGTTATCTTAGTATTAAAAAACACTCCTCCCGCAATAAGAAAGCTCTGAGATGTTTTTTATTTTTCATGTTTGGTTGACATAAATTATGATATATTTGTAATTATGATATATATACATATGGCAACACAACAGAATCAGAATTCACAACGAAAGCCCCATGTGGAAACAATCACATGACATGGGTTTGCTGGTTCAACTCCAGGCCTTGCCTGGAACATTGCCTGAACATTATCAACTGGAATATGATGCAAAGCAATCTGGCAGACTCCTGTAACTAAGTAAGGGTTGTGTTGAAAACTCTTTTTATAGTTAAATAACACTAACAAAAATAAAATCATAAAGAGAAAAGAAAAAAAGATCATATTTTATTTTTTGCTTGTTTGAACAGCAAGAGGGCTATAAAATGCAATTTATACAAGTCCAAAATTAAATAGGCTGATACACTACCTTCAAAGAACCACCAGAGGTCCACATCATGTCACAGCCAGGACACTCAAACATAATCACCCTTGAAAAACATTCAATTGAGCATTTCTAAAAAATATATTGCTAGTGACATCCAATCACAAAAGTTATCTTAAATAACCTACAACAGCTTTGATTTATTTTGACAAAACTTCACCTTTTTAATAGTTCCCATTTGGAATTCCAAAAAATTATTCACTCATGCTTAAGGGGGACAGGATCTGCACAGATGGATCTTCTCGGTAAATCAACATCCACAACTGAGAGATTAGAACAAAAATCTTAAAAACTCAAGGCATAATATAAAAATACGCCAACAAGAATTTTCATGCCTTTATCAACAACTTAACAAGGACATCACCTCATTGTTCTACCTAGGTGGCAGCCATCTTGGAAAAATGGCCGCCATTTTTGAAATTTCAAATGGCTGGGACACTTTCCTGGTAAAGTTACCCATGAAGAATTCTCGTGCCAATTTTCATGCTTATATCACCAACTGAACGATTATATCACTTATCTGCTCCACTCCCCTCATCCATCATAAACCAAAGTATTGTTTAACATGACGGACTGTTTGTGTTTGATGTCTAACTGACTTTTGGTTGCATCCTGTCACTTCCTAAAATGAACTGAGCATGACCTCCTCCTTCCTTGGCCAACCCACTGATGAGAGCAGAGCTGGCCCCTTCTCCAATCCCAAAAGAGAAACATCTGAAATACAGTAGTTTTACTTTTACCACAGGCAGTGGGAGAACATGGGATATGTTGTGCAAAATAATCTGGGTGTTGACAAAGATTTTAGCTGTTCACCTGTGGGCATGTGAATTCTTCTTTACCAGGTCAATAACTAGTTTGGTGTTCATCACTTCTCCGTCAGTAAATACAAATTGCTAGGGAAAAGAGTTTCCATGTTATCCAAATGTAACGCAATCGGAGACATGCAGCATCTGTTTAAATTATTGAAATAATTTTCTGAGAGCTGTGTAGATGCTACAACAGTCACAGAAGGGGTTGTTAATGCCAAGTTTGAAACCAGGTGTGGTAAGAATAAACTTACAAAACCAGTTTCTTTAAAAAACAAACATGACAGATTCTTTTTATTGTGAACTGAAATAATTACTGTTTAATTATTGGCAGTGGATGTTTGACCTGTTTCACATGTTTTGTGTGAATGTGTGTGTTACTTGTCAAGGTTGATTGGGAATGCAGGGCTGGCTGAAGAGCTGTTTAAGTGGGTCAAGGATCTCTGTTCCTCCCAGATTAGCCTGCATCTCCCCAACTTTCTTCAAAGCTCCTTCCATTGTCCTCTGGCTGTACTCCACACTCTTACTGTGATTACATCAATACGTGACAGAAATTGACAACAAATTCAGGGACAAATTTATTGGACTGTCTTTGAGGAGTGACTTACGGGAAGATAGGTTCAAATCCGGAGCCAAAACTGTAAATGTTAAAATAGAAGCCCACTGGTAAGCTCTTAAGCAGGAGCAGAAGAGTATCCTTCAAGGAAAAAAAAACAATTACGAAAGCTGCCACATGAGAAGGAAATTCCTGATGGTTTTATATAAGAATACACTCATTCATACCCTGGCGCTACTAATGCGAGTCTCATTTCTATTGGTGTGATTCACAGGTGAACTCATACTACCAGAATGATCCAACAAGAACACAAACTCTCCACATGTGGCAACTGAGGACATCACAGCCTGAGGGAACTCTGGGTACAGACTCAGCATCGCTTCTGGATCACCCATCAGAGTGCCTGAGCCACAAAGACATCCAGTCTTACCTTTGTTCTTTATTGAAGTATGTGATTTATCTGCTGGAGGGTGAGGCTGTTAAGCTTTTCATAAATGCAAAATAGGGACTTCACAAATTTCTACTCACCAAGCTCAGCAGAAGTCTGGCCTGCCTCCACCACCGCAGTGGGCTGGTGGGCATCTTTGTAATAAATCAGAAGTTCAACATCTCTGTCAAAATTGTGCCCTGCCCTGTGCCCTGATCTAGAGTTTACAGGACATACAAACAAACATATTAACATGCATGACACACAGTGTAACCGGTGAAGGGAACATCAGCAGACACATGAATATTCTACCTACCGTGGCTTTGGTTTGCTCTGAGTTGAGGTACTGTAGAGGATCAAGGGAACAGTTGGACTCTATTCTGGACACAGGATGGGGAGAGGACACTTGGGCAGAAAAGGACACAGTGTAGGGCACCAAGGAAGATGGACATGAGGTTACTTGGATGTTGCCACCTTCACTACATCCACGTCCTTTGAAGGGGTGATGGATGTTTAAGTTAAAAAATACAGGTGTTAACCTTAATCGTCATTGAGGCTATCTAGTGGTGAATTAGTGGCAACCACCACCGTTGCAAATAAAAAAAAGATGCAAAAAAAAAAGAAGTCACAATGGAAGTAACCGATGCAAAAAAAAGAAACCGAAGCCTGCTGCAAATAAATAAGGAAATGGTGCAGATAAAAAAAAAAAGCCACAACTTAAGTTCACGACGCAAATGGCGATGGAAAAAAAAGTTACCTACTGCGAAAATAAAAGGGTGCAAATCAAAACGGAAGTGAGCTTCCGGGGACCAATAATGATGATCCACCGGTGTTTTATGATTTAGGCACAGAAGACGACGGCAAGAAAACGAGCAAAGAAGTAAGTGGAAAGGTTATTGTTTAATTTTGCTTCATGTACTTTTCAATGTGTCATTTATTTAGGCCATGTTGCGCCTGAGTCAATATGAAGTTGAATTGGAAGATGCCAACTTCATAGAAGATGAAGTACGCCCCAAAAGATCACCCATAGCTTTATGGTTCAGTTGCTTTACTCATAGAAATAAGTACAGAGACCCCTTCTTGTTTTTATCAATGGTCCCCGGCAGTTCACTTCCGTTGTTGCTTTTTTTATTTGCATCCTTTTATTTTCATCTGTTGTGGCTTTAAAAAAAAAAATCTGCACCGTTTCTTTTTTTATTTGCAGCAGGCTTCAGTTTCTTTTTTTTTTTTCATTGGTAACTTCTGTTGTGGCTCCTTTTTTATTGCATCTTTTTTTATTTGCAGCAGTGGCGGTTCTTGGCCACTGTACTCTGGCACTGGAGCATTTCATAATCTTGCGAATTGGCGATCTGATGAAAATAGGTCAGCGATCACAAACTCTAACTCTACTCTACCATGGCACTGAATAGTATCTGATTTATGAGATGAAACATATTCGTTACCTAGAGGAAATTTTTCTTGGGCCCTGCGCTGCATAACAACATAGTTTTCATGTGTTATTCTTTGTCACATATATCAGACAAATGGTCATGATACAGGATTCTTGGTTACATTAAAATACTGATTTCCATATAAAAATGCATTAATTTATACAGATAGTAACAGTAATAGTGATCATGCAGACATAAGGGATGGATTAGTTGAGTCAATATATGTTTGCAATGCTATTCTGGAAAATTAAAAGATAATCCTTAAAATTTTATTAATGTTCTTAAGCATTTGCAAACTTTTCAACAAGTTTCTTTTAAGTTATTGTAAATCTTTTATAGGCTGATAATAACTATATTATAATGAGATTATAACAGTCTTATAAACATGTTACCTGAACCCTAACTCTAAAGGTACCAAGCATCTTGTAAGGACTTATAGGAATATATTTTATTCATAAGAAAGGGAATAAAAAAAAAAATTCAAGCAGTAATCCATGCATAGACAGGGCTTTTATGCACTACTTACAGTGTGTGTTTGAGTAATTACACATCTTCACTAAAAAGCATGATGTTATGGTATTGGCACATTTATTTCCAGTTTCAAGCCTTAACCCCTAAACTTATTGGTTTAAATTTCCGCTGTGATGGAGCCAGGTTACAGAGAGCCAGCTCAATGACATGGAAAACTCTTTATGCTCTAACAGATTCAGCCTCTAATCTTGCTGTGTGGTGCTCCCCTTAGGTCTTAGGTTCAGTGGAGCCTGACTCAATTGTGTAAAATTAAAGAAAATGAAGGACTAAGTCCCTGAGGCCTTCTGACTGATCAAGTGAGAGAATACCTGTTTCCTCTTAAAATATGTGATGAAAAGTTCAGTTTAAGAGGAAACCACAGGTGAGCTGTCTTTGTGATGACAGCTGTGTTCGTGGCCCCTGTGAGGTTGTTTGAGAGGTGCAGACCCGGGTGTTTAAGAGTGGTCACCATCACCACGGCTGCTCCTCCCATGAAGAGAGGGAAGGGGTGTAATGTCTCCTTCAGTCCAACACCATCTCCTTACTCTTCTCCACATCGATGAACAGATTATTTGCTTCAAATCAGTTCATTAGTTCTTCTACCTCCTGCCTGTACATTGACTCTTTGACTTCGATTGCTGAGGATCAGTCCTACTGCAGATGTTGCCCTGGTGCCTTGCAGAGCGATTGTATATCAAGAGGATGTACAGGATGGGGCTCAGAGCATAAGAAGGAAGAGTATAAAAAGGAACGACAGCAGCAGTGGAGTGCAGATGATTCAATACTCAGTGTGATTTCTGTCTGTGCACCAGAGTGTTATTAACTGTAGAGGACACTTATGGACCAGGCAGTGCTCCTAGCTCTGCCTCTGCTGTTTTGTTTCGTCTTAACACTCTGAACCTGGTCTGCCCTGACTCACTACTCCATTGGCATCCTTTCTCAGCTGTTAGCATTCCCCTGCTGCTACCAGTGTGGGCTGTACCTGGTCACCAGCTGGCTGTTGTTTGTCGCCTTTTTCTCCATTCTGGTTTCTCCAGTTGCTCTTGTTTCTTCTGTTGCTTCAGTGTTGCCCACACACTGTTCTTCTACTCCACTTGCTCATACTCCTCTTTGTTACAGAAAATGCATGTAGTCTAAAATTAAAACGAGAATCAAATGAAACACCTAGATGTATTGCTGCATAGCTAGGATTTAGTCCAATCTTATTTAGTGCAGAGGCCAGTTTCTCTCTCTTGACCTTTGGACTAACTTCTGTTTTGTCCTGGTTGAGCTGTAAATAGTTTTTTGGCATCCAGGCTTCAATATCTAATAGGCAGTTAGAAAGTGAGTCATTTAGCCCAGTGTCATTGGGAGTCATGGCCATGTTGAGCTGAGTGTCACTAGCATAAAAAAGAAAAGAGATGCTGTGCCTCCTGGTGACACTGCCAAAGGGTACCATATGCAAATTAAAAAGAAAGTAAAATCAATCCTTGTGGTACCCCAGAGGTCACCTCATAGTCATGGGAGGAGTGCTCATTAATAAATAAAGTTTTTCTTTCACTTAAGTACAAGATTTTACATTTTAACACATTTCCAGACTGGCCAATGTGCTTACATAAACAATTTTAAAAAACTGTGATCAGCAGTATCACAGGCGGCGCTGAGGTCGAGCAGAACCAAAACTGTAAGTTTATTGTTGTTGAGGTTTGTTCTGATTTCATTGCTACTATTGGCAGGGCTGTCTCTGTGCTGTGATTTGACCTAAAACCTGACTGAAACCTTTTAAATTTTGTACTTGAGTTTAAAAAGGTATTTAACTGAATTGTAGTTTCTTTAAAATCTTACTTAAAATTGGGAGATTTGAAGTTGGTCTACGATTGTCAGATGATGACATATCTAAATTCTATTTCTTTGAAAGAGGTTTTACAAGTGCATTTTTAAAACCAGAGGGGAGGACACCAAGCTGTAGGGTGTAATTGACTTTGGTGAGTATGTCTGCTGATCGGAATCACAAACAGTCTGAAAAAGGGAGGAAGGGATGGGATCAAGGAAACACGTGGAGAGTTTCAGTTCTGTTACTATCTTTCTCAGTGTGTCGACATCAACCAGGTCAAAACGGTCATACCCATCATTGTTGCTGGGATACAGTTAAAAGTGTAGTGTGCTGTTTATTTTCTCCCTGAAGTAGCCAGCAAACTCTTCTGATTTAGAAACCAGAAGCTGGACAAGTCGATTGTGCTAAAAAGCCATCTGGGATTGCTAATGTTAAGGGTCTGAGGTTTAAGAAATATTCTCCCCTTGATATGCTGCTTGTTTTTAAGTTTTTTTTTTTACTGAATGTGAATGCCACCTGGTGTTAGTATTACTTTGTTTTTGGTCATAAATTACCACAAATTTTGTTTCCTTTTTCATATGGATCACACGTCACCATTTCTGTTGCAATATATCACTTTATTTCACTGATGGCAGTTGTTTTCTAAGTTGGGTGCACACAATTCAATTGACATTGTCACATGGTTTAATTTATCAATAATTAGTTAGCATTTATATGATTTAATTTCAAGTAATACTTACCCTTTTTGTTTTGTTTTTTTAGAACTCTCCAGTAAAAAAAAAGAAAAGGCTGTCAGTTGAAGATGGCCTTTTGAAGCCCTGCCCACAAGAAATGGGAGTTGCCATCCCGGGAAGAAGAGAGACTTAAACTTTAAGGAAATTAAAACTTTCAGTACACAAATACAATTAATTTTTCTGTAAATAATTTATTTGGATTGTTTATTTGTGTTGGTGTATTTTTTAGTTTGTTAGATGTTTAGTTTAAAATCACTTTCGGTTCCCCTTACGTTTCTGTTGGACTAGTCCTTTGTTTTTAATATCCCTCACATGAGTAGAAGTTCAATCTTGTGATTTTAAGAGTCACATATTCCCTACAGTTGATCAAGGCATCTGTAGGCTTTAAGTTCTAAACTTATATCCCAGTGGCTTATAACAGCAATTTGCCATGTATTGATCAAGAATCTTTTTCCTTTTATTTCAGCAGGGCAGACATAAATATTGAAGTGAAAGTCAGTGCTCTCTTCAGGGTACACACACATGCATTAATAAAATAACACAGTAAACACTAAAAGGAAAAAAAACTAAACAGCAAACTGACTGTATTCATCAGTTTTTTTAAAAGATAAAGTACAGGCGAAGAATTCAGTCAAAAGCTCATGAGAACATCTCGCTCCTGCATGCTGGTGAAGAATGGCTTTCCAAAAACAAATGAGTGCAGTCCTGCCCTCAGCTTCTCAGCAAAGGCCATAATAATGTTCAGATCTCCTTCAACTGTGAGATCCAGGTCAGTCTTTAAATTGCGCAGTGATCTAAATGGCTTCTTCCCTTTTTGCCTGTAAAATGAGAGGAGACATTGCAGTGTAAAAGTTAACCTACAGTTGTTAGGGACTAAAGGCTTACATCAATATCTAGTTGGGTTGCAACTGTGTGCAGAAACAATACGCCACAATGAATTATGTATGCTGTAACAGGATGGAAACTGAGTATAAACAATCTTGTCAAAGCACCTGTAAAATTGTATACCCTCAGATCTGGGCTTTAAGCAGCACCATAAACAAGCCAAATTTTATGCTTCTGCATGAGAACTCAAATAATGGTTTTACTTGTGTAGTTAGTGTTGTCTCTGGAGTAAGATGTATTTGAAGGCATTTGTTTGAGAAAAAAAGATGTAGTCAGCATTCAAGATATAGGAGGGAAAATTAAATCCATGTAATGTTTTGGAGCATGTAATACCTCATCAGATAATTTGCATTTTTAGACACACATAAATAAATGTTCTTGTTATGATTTATACTGAGCAATGGAGGAATTGCAGGATTGAAAACCACTGTGCAATAAGGGACTCCTTGCTAAGACTGAAGCTACACCATTACCTATATACCTGGGGAGTGAAGTAGTGGGACAATATACAGCAGCACACTTTGTTTTTTGTCATTTAACACCCCAGTTTCAATCATGATTATCAACCAGTTATGTCAGATTATGCTCTTTTCCAGGCTTGAGTCATCCGACTTTTTTGAAGAAAATCAAGTAAGTGTGCACTAATAGTTCTTCTATCTAGAGCAGTGTGTTGTTTGATTTTTTTTACCTTGAAATGTTTCAACTACAAATTTTCTGCAGTCTTCCTCAGAAGAGTCAAATGATAGACAATGTAATTGTCTATCAACTGGTTTATTAGTATTTGTGGTTTTTCTACTTCATTTAAGTTGTTAAAATAAACAACAATTACATATTAAAAAAGTATTACATAAAAAAAGAATTTGACCAAAATCTACAATGAGCTTTAAGGAAAAAAGTCACCTGTGAATTACTTCAAAGTAAAATATTTGATATTAACACTCAGTGTATTCCCACTGCCTCCTATTATTCTATATATAACAACTGCACATGCAGAGGTCTTCAGCTTTTTACTTGATACAGATTATTTACAAATAAAACTGCAGGACTGTGTAAGTTTGACACTGTCACACTATAGGGGACGTGACAAGAAAAAAACTTTTTTGGGCAAACCATACAAAAAATTTATCGATTTAATATAACCTCTGATTACTAAGATGACTCAGTTTCCTGATCTGTTAGTTACATTACTGAAAGCATAAAAATCTCACTTAATGGCAACAGGAGCATGCTCAAAAAAACCAAAATGATCTATAGGTACTGTCCTTCAACATTTTTTCATTGATGGATGATATGGTGTACAAAGTTTGGGGAGTAAATTATTTCCTACATCAAAAATTAAAGCATGTGATGAATGTGCTCTGATTTAATGAGTTTGTGCATAAATACCTGAACAACTATTATTCGCATTACTGACTGTAAGGATCAACAAGTTTGCGTATATTCCACGGTGTATGGTATCCTTTATATGTTTAAGTACAAATTATGAATTAGTAAAAGATAAATTACTTATGATGAAAAATAATCAGATCAAGTCAGAATTCTAACCATAACCTCAGATGGCAAGGTATGTAGCAAAAAGTATTTTTGCAATCCAGAAGGATTAAAGAAAGCCACCTTTGTGACTTTTGTTAAGAACTAGACTCAGGCTCAACATATGTTTGCAGCCCACTAATCTTGCTGTCTAGTTCGTCATCTCTTACTCAGAGCTGTGCAGTTAGTTGTGATGAGGATTTCTTCATATGTGTTTATCACTGAAACCAGTCAGGTAGATCCCAGAGTCGGAACTAATCTGTTTTTAGTTGAATTTGATAAGATGTCTGAAACTGTCCAAAAATGACATCAAAACTGCCCTTGCTTAATCCCAAAGATGTATTTTGTAAAATATTTGAAGCCAAATGGTGTTCAAATAGAAAAAAAAGGAGAGTGATGGCAGTTCAGAGAGGAGTGGGAAGGGCAGTTCACTGTTGGGGAGCACAGACAGGGATGAGTCAAGACCAGATGGAGCAATGACCAGGTCACCACATGGTGGGTGCAAGAAAAAAAAATTGGGAAAGCTTGGCACAAGTTGAGTTCAAGTCCGGGATTAATGTTGAAGTGTACTTCTAAATCTGAGGCAGAATGTTGTGCCTGTGAATAAGACGGGACCTTAATGTGGCAAGAAAAACAAGTAGTTTTAGGTCTGTGACATAAAAAAAGGGTAATTTGGTTGCTTGATTAGTCTAAAGAAAATAACAGATGTTGAACTTACAATTGTATAAAACAAATCCAGTGTTGGATTTAAGTAAAAATAGACTGAAGTATTTCACCTTTCACCATTTCACATAGTCAGAATTGTTGTGTAGAGCTGAAAAAAGTAGTACCAACACAAATATAATACTATATACTGAATTTCAACATCACTGCAGTGCAACATTTTGAAGTTCCTCCTCACTACAGTCACTAAAGATGCATCTTTTTTATGTATGTAAATCTAAGCACAAAGGTAATCTGTCTTAACTCTTCATCAATATTATCATCATAAAGAAGGATGTGCAGTTGTGTCATTGTCATACTCACCTGGTTCAGAACAGGTTGAGCAGTGATTTTATTTTGTTTTAGTCCTTCATAAAAAGATTAAGATGTTTCAAGGAACCATTAAGTTGCCTGAATCATGTATTCTACTCGTCATTTTGATGCCTTAAAACAATGCTCTGTATGGGCCTACTATGCAGTGGTGTTGTTTTATACCCTGTGAACCGTGGCCTCACAATTTGTCAAACCTGTACAGCAGAACTCTGGGGATCACAGTACTTGTGAGTGTTTCTGGTTGTGAGGCACGATTTGGGCTCAATACATAAGGTGACCATACGGTGATGTTGCTATGGTGATGACATTATCAGAACAAGGTCAGTGGCTGCAGTGCATATTAGACAACTGCTCTTGTCTAGACAAGTCTGACAGACAAGTCTGGGAAAAAGAAGTGAATCTTAACCCCTGGGATTAGAATATTCTGTTCCCTCACAATAAGCCTCTCTGTTATTTGGATTACCGTCTTATTAGAAACAGCACTTACGTTTCGTCCTCAATGTACTTGAGCAGTGTGAGGGCCTTCCTGTGGAGCAGCAGCAGGAACTGGGCCAGATAGGTGCTCCGCAGGGACAGGCCTGGTTTCAGCATGAACACCTGGGTACAACACAGGATGTCAATTAGTAGTCCCAGCTACAGCTGCTCTTACTGTTGTCATGAGAGAAACTCGCACCTCCACTCTGGAAGTATTTCATGTTAAAGAAAGATGGCTTGTGACCCTGAACCAGGGTTCCTAAGCAAGTATGGAAAAGAATGAAAATAAATTTGATCAATTTCCAGGTCTTAAGAAGTATGGAAAATGAAAAATAAAGTATGGAAAAATATTGATGTTTCCAGACTATTAACAAAGTTCTCAAATACTGTTTTCCAAAATAGAAAAGTAAGCATTTCCAACAATAATTCTAAAAATTAGGGTATAGAAAAGTATGGAAATTCTGCCGAACAATAACAGACAGCAGCAGCAGCAAAAAAAAAAAAAAAAAAGAAAACGAAGAAAGTACAATTTAATTTTCTTGAGGGAACCTTCCCAAAAGGATCAATAAAGCTCTATCTACTCTCCTCTAATAAAAAGTAGAAAAAACAACAACAAATAATCAAACAGGGTTATGATAAATAAGACAAGTCAATCACATTTAACCCCAATTTGAAAAGTTAAATAGCAGGGCAATCTAATGCACAATAATAACTACAGCTTTGCCATAAATTCAACATTTTTGTTGCTCGTACATTTTCACTTTAGTTGACATGGTCAGGCAGGTGAAAACTGTTCATTAAAACAATTGCTGCTGGTGTACAGGGTGCATTATAGTGAAAGTGTTCCTCATTTTTGTCAATGGTCAGATACAGTTGTATGCAAAAGTTTGTGCACCTTCCTAAAAACAGCATATTTTATATATTTTAAAATGTATATTTACAGTCTCTGTTTCTTTTTTAAGACAATATTATCAGTAACATTAATGAATGGTTAGTATTATTTAATAAATCGAAAAACAAACAACAACAACAACAACAACGAAAAAACATCATTTTGGCATTTGCAGAAGTTTGTGCACCCTGAAAGTTTTAAAGTGTCAGATTCTTTCTACCAGCTCAGACCTTTACCAGCTCATTAGGCCTGAAGCATGTGTCAACTATCGTCGTTAGGGAGAGCCTGCTGGTGCCAATTTCAGAGTTTCTTTAATACTCGGATTCCACAAACCTTGTGCAAGCACTTAACAACTATGGGTTTCTCTAAGCAGTTGTGTAAGAGAGTAAAAATGAAGGTTTTGCTCAAGTTTATAATGCATACATATGCCTCAACTTGGTTTGGAAATACTTTTCTATGATTTAATAATAAGTGTTTTTTTTCCATTGAGACACAAAATACAACAAGAAGCACTGTTCTTTCTTACCTCATCTATAAATGACTTCACCAAAGTGTCTTTATGCATGACATCTTGAAATATATTCCTGAAGGAGTAATAACATTTGTGAGGATAAAGGCATTTTTGAATTAAAGGTTTTAGAAAACATGGAGCAAAAATAAATAATATACAGTATTGTGTTAAACATCAACTTTTGTTTAATCCAAAAATACAAAATGTGTTTATGACTTACAGGTCAGGTGTAAAGGTTTCATCTGTGTGAATGACTGTGTCAGGGGCGATGTCATCTTCACTGTCTGTCTTCCAAAGTGCAGTGAGCTCAGACCTCATGTAGCGTCTCTGGTTGTACGTGTGCTCATGGCATGGTGGCATCTGCTTGACTGTGTTGATGTCGACGTCAATGTGCGTGGTTGGGTAGGGCGAATAAAGAACCTGGCGGAAGGGCAGGACAAAGCTGCCTGTGGAGTCCTAGGAAGTAGAGTGTGAGAGTACGTTTGTTTTTTCTCTTTGCCATACTCCAGCCGAACTTAAAGAGCAGACAGGAGAGGGCACATAATGCTCCAAAAAGAAGAAACGCAACATCAGACAGAAGTTTCTTGTGAGCAAACAGTAAAATTGTCTATTAGAAGTTCAATATGCTTTCTGCTCTTTTTCCTTTAGCCTGTTTTGTTCAACTCAATACATTTTATATTGAATCTTAAATTAACTCCTGCAGGACCTCAACAACACCACAAGAAGCCCTGGTCTACCATAATAACTTACAATCATGGTAAGAAGCTCTACTGGGTTTCAGTTGCTACTTTTGCATCTCTAATTTCATATTTGGTGTCATACAGTACAACCTGCACATGTAGCCTGAAATCTTTTTGAAAAACTGCAGTTACCTGATCTTGAATACCTCTAAAAGTCTGATTCTCTGATTCACAAATGTAAAGCAAGAGGGTACCTTCAGAAGACCCTGTACGAACAGGCCTGCGTCGTATTTAAAGGAAGAGTCAGCCTTGCAGAGGCGAGAGCACTTCCTCTCAGCTGGGGCGAGGAAGAGGCAGAGGGTTCGCACAATCTGCACAACAAAAGCCACATTTTAACACTTGGACAAAAAAAGCCTTCAAATAAGGAAACATGCTGAGATATCTTTTGAAACTATATAATTTCAATAGCTCAGTTGCACTGAGTTCCATGACAACACATGCATAAACAAATACAACGTAATGCTTCAGATTCTTACAATGAGAAGAGATGAAAATAATTCAATTCAATTTGATTTTACTCGTGGTTAGATTTGACAAAACTGCCCACTCTCAGCTGGGAGTTTTTGAGCAGTTGCCAGGTTCCAGAAAATAGTCACTGACTAGTTGTGTAATAAAGTTGCAGTGTTGTGTAATGCAAAAACTGTAGCTCAAGCATTTCACTGTTACTTGTGCAATACAACTCTTTATTCTTAGTTAGTGCCCATCCTCTTGTAATTCCAAGTTTGTGCTCATTACCCACTTTGCATTCACTAAATTCTAAAAAACATCACAAGGGACATCCAACTGTTCGAGTTTTGTCGATAAGTCAGAAATGGATCTGTGTGCAGCCACTTATCCCGTAAATGTACCTTGTTAACTTTCTCTGGATTGCTTCCGACCACAATGGAACAGCCACAAGTCTGCAGATGAGAGCTGATGGCCCTGAACCAAAGAGACAGAGGAAATCTGATTAATTAGCATTGCTATAATTATTCATCATGGCTTTTAGCATTAATGAACAGTCTTGAAGAAATGGACCCAGCAAACATTTCAGACAAAGGTGGATTTAACTGGCTGCAGTTCAACTACCTCTTATTGTGCCTTTTTAATGTGTAGATTGGTTCATATTCTGTCCTCCCATATATACTGCTGGGCATTAAACGACTCTTAACTTCTAAGGTTAGATTTGAAATAGGGCTGCACCATACATATCGTTTGAGCATCGTCATCGCGATGTATGTGTGAGCGATAGTCACATTGCAGAGCCTGCGATGTAGGAGGCGAATAAACTCATCTAATTTCAAGGGAAGCTGACTGAGATACACTGCATGTGACTCTGCACGTGCTTTGCAACGATCCACCAATCACATTCGTTCTTTACTCAGTTGCCAATCAGACTACCCTGCCAGCATTCAATCAAAATCAGAGAGGAGGAAACCACGCCCCTGCACATGGAGTGAGTCGCTGGCGTTGCAGGTGTTGTGCCGAAAAACGCATGTCCGCTGAGAATTACTTTCGGAACATTACTCATCACTGTTTAGCCCCACAAATAAGAACTGTATGGGTTTTAAATTGTACATTTCCATGGACCACTCTACTATAAGCGGTGCGCATTTTGCCAGGTGCATGCAATTCTTGGCAGGCATGCGTTTCTCCACACAACAAAACCATGGAAGATGAAGACTTGTTGCCAAAAAGAAAAGCAACGTCAGTTATCTGGAATTATTTCAGTTACAAGAAGGATGATGTCCACCAAACGTGTGTTTATCTGCTGCCACAATAACGACCAAGCACAATTAAAGCAAGCTAAAAATATCTCTGAGACAGACAGAAGCCACTCTACTAACATTCAAAAAAAGAGGTAAGATCAGAGCAGGTTAACTGTCCTCAAGAATTTCAGCAGTGCAGTATAGCATAAAGTGCTATTCAGGTCATCTGGTGAAAATTCTTGTATTTTTTAATATCGCAATATGAATCGCAGGTTTGAAAAAAATTGCAATGTTAGTTTTTTCCACTATTGTGCAGCCTTAAAAATAAAATAAACATGTTGCCTGGGTAACTAAAGACTGCGACTCTGCGGTAAAAAGGCTCCATTAACTACAAAATTCTGGATAATTAAATAACTGCAAACAGGTGCTTTATAGAGTACACCGGATGTTGAACTAATCTGAGCAGTGGGTAGCTTAACTGTCACAATGGACTTTCTGGTCAGTCGACACTAACAGCGATTTAACTTTGGCCCCTTCTCCAGAGAAAACTTTGCAGCAGTGAAGAGCCATTACTCATCATTGGGAGGTTGATGGGTGTTAAATGGGCAGTGTTCATCATCTATCTCTATTTGCTTTGTACTGGAGTGCTTACTTGTGGAGGAAATCCTCGTGGCAGCTGTCCCCGATGTCATCGTCATTTAGCACAGTGTCCTTAATCTAAATAGTTGGGGCCAAAAAAATGAGTCAATTTAAGAACTTATGCTGCAGTTATAATTTGTAACAGAATATAGAAAACCAGCCCCAAGCAAAAGAATCTAGGAAAAGCTAGATTCCTCTATGTGCTGCTTTCCTCTTATTCTAACATTTGCAAATGAGGAAGACATGTATCTTACTGCACTGGGTGGTTATCAACACAAGAACCTGAAGAATGTAAACCCTTCCAAAATGATGAATTACCAAAATGTGTTGCATTCACAAAGTGATATCTAATTGTTTTAAAATAATGATATAAAACTTGTTATTTTGCCCAAGGGGTGCAGAATATTATAGGTGTGATATTGGTATCAGCAGTCAATAGCTTCAAAAATTATTTATCTGCAGATACAATTATGGACCCAAAGAGTGCTTGGTTAAGTCCATGTACACAACGACAGCTGACACAAGCTGACTGTACTTAAATGATTGGAAGGGTTGGTAAGCGCAGCACTTAATGTTCATGTTTAAGAAAAGTGCATTTGCCATTTACGGTATAATCGATATTGGTATTGGAAAAAATTAGTTTGAGATGTTGGTATACTGGCTATTGACAAAACTCCAATATTGTGCAGTTTTTTTCTCCTCTGTACTCCTTTTGTTTTCATGTGAAAACTAAACAACTACTATGGTCTCTAGCTATTCTTTTTGTGACTGTCTAGGCCATATGTGTTTGTGTGTGTGCGAGTGTGAGTACACCACTCACATCTATTTCTTCTGGCACACTATGCGTCTTCATAGAGGCCAACAGCTCCATGATAGGGACGATCTCCAAGCTAAGCACTGAGATGATGTTGTAGCCCTAATGCAGAATGAAATTAGGAAAAGTTGGTGTAAGGGCTACAGAAACACTTAAGTTATTTCAACAGTCAGTTCACCAAAACAATAACCAAATATTATTGCCCTGACAGCTTTCCTTAGTGCATGTCTGTAATACATATTTTACTCATTTTATGTCAGACAATAAATATATGACGAGAAAAGAACTCAAAGTGAATAAGCAACCTAACAAACCACATGATCGTACTTTATTACCAATATTTAAAAGGTTCCTCAAATACCTGATAATTATAGTAAAAATGTCTTCTGATAAGTTTTTCTTTAGATAATTATCAGGGTTTTTTTGTTGCAAAGTATTATGATCTTTTTTGTACAAATTTGATCTTGCTTCCAAACTTTTGGCCTGTGGTGTACATAGTCAAATTAGTCAAGTTTTTAGATTCTGGGAAACCACTGCAGCTCAGTTGTTAGAGCAGACACCCTATGTCATGCTCAATTCTTGTTGTACTAGTCTCATATGGATTCCCAGACCCTGCATGAGTCGGTGCATTTTAGAACCTCATCTCTCTCTCCCTACATTGGTAATAATATGTAAGGACATTTTTGTAAGTGCCAAAAGATTATTAAGATTTCTATCTAGCCCAAAGGCAAAACAGCAGTAACTGTGAACTATTAATTAAAGGTGAGTATCACAGTACCCAAAAGGCAAAACTACACTCAAAAAGTAAAAAACAATCCCATTTAAAAGGTAAGACCAACAAACATTAGGATGAAAATACCTAAAAATACAAAATAGGGTTAAAAAGGCATTTACACAACCAAATACAACCCCCTACACTGCAGTCTCAATATTACTTTTGTACATTAAAGCCAATTTTTATGAAGTCTTGTCCATGCTGTTATTTTGTTTGCCCCCATTATTACCTGCTCACAGGCTTTCTCTGAGGGGGTACTTAGACCCAATTATCTAAGTTGCTCCTTTGTGTTGGGAGACTGCAACTTTATTGTTCTGCCAATGTTGCTACAATCCCACGTGGGTAAAGCAGAGGTGATGGATTATTTAATACTCTTTTAAGATCAACGCTGGATAAGGTTTTTAAGTGCATTTAATAAGCATAAAGGGCAATAATTTGCCTGCTCTTGTGTGAATAATAAGTGTATATCTAAAAGTGACAAGCCAAGAGATCAGCAGAAATACCAAAATACCTTCTGCATCCAAATGCGTCCCCTGCGGATAACATGCTTTAGCCTTTCCACACAGATAGTGTGCAGAGGCAGGTAGAAGGCCAGCTCTGTCTGAGGCAGGATAATGGACAAGGCACATGTGTTCTTGTCTCCTTTCAGCTCACCATCAAAGATAAGAGACACAATGATGACACCTTTTTCTGCCAAAACAAAGAACTTAACATCCACAGCGCCGCACTCAGCGCTGCGCAAAATCTCTCCATTTAGTGTATGATTGGCCAAAAACGTGACCTCTCCATCGCTGAGGAACATCAATTGGTCACCCTTAGGCGTCCAGATGTGGCGTACCCGTGGACCCAAGATGTTGTCCCAGTAGGCAAAGGTGGCAGCAAGGAGTGGGCATTCTCCCTCTATGACTACCTCAGACTTTGCCACAGCAGGTGACTGGGGTGGGCAGCCAGAGGACATTGAAAAGGCTCTGCAAAGTCAACACCTTCCAAAGAATAAGAGTCGATGATAGGGTACCTGCATCATTGACAAAGAGAAAAAAAACGGAATTGTAGTAGTACAAGTAGGGCTGGGTGATAAAACAATAAGGATATGTATCGAAAAATTAATTTCCCTCGACATTAATATAAATATATTAATAATAATATATGCTTTTCGATAGTCGGCATTCTGTCATGTTTTGGTTGACTATACAAGTAGCTGATAAAAAGGAGAGTTTCTCTGGGGCCACTTCGTGCTGAACCAATCGTGCTGAATTAGAACCAAGTAGCAAAAGACTGCGTAGTCGCAGTCTGCAGCTACATGCAACCATAGCACTTTAACACGTGAAGCCGACAGCACTGTCTGTGAGGAAAAAAGAAGATGAGTGCTACCCCCGGCAGAAATGCAGATGAAGGCTTAACAGATGATGACATCTTTGACAACACTGGCACAAAAATGTCGGTGCTGTGAAGGTATTTATTTATTTATTTATTTTTAAGTCATATATGAAGCAGAGTAATGTTCACTGCAAATTATGTCAAGTTCATGTTCTCGCAAAGTCCGGGAATACCTCAAATCTTTTTTCACCACCTGAAGCAGTGCCACGCGGCAGTGTGCGAGCAATGCTAATGGTCACAAACCCAGAGTGGAAAAAGGAGCCCGTGGCGCCTGTGCAGCTGAAACAGCTGACCATTCAGTCTGCTCTCTCTGGCGCAACATCTTACGATAAAATGTTGAAGAGATACAAAGGCCTCACAGATGCAGTAGCTTATTGTATTGCAAAGTTATGCTACCATTCAGCACTGTTAAATTTCATTTTTTTAAATATCGTGATATATATCGATATCGACTGATATGAAAAAAAAAAATACATTGTGATAAACTTTTTCCCATATCGCCCAGCCCTAAGTACAGGGCACAATTGTAAATACAGTTTCATGTCAGTTCTTGGTAAACAATTTAAAGTATTATAATTCAGAATGTATGTAAATCCCCTTTTGTGTATTAGCTTCTTGTTGTTATTGCAGAAATGCGTCAAACTGCTGGCGGCTTTCTGTGGAAATGAGAGGGATTTGTTGCACGCTGTTTGGGTCAGCTGATATTTATTAAGAGAGCAACGAAATACGATGTAACTCCTTGTATCACATTTACCAGTAGATTCCATCGTCTGTTTTGTTATAAATATAAATCCTTAAAGTCGAATAAGTCCTAACAATATTAAGAAATCACAGAAACCATCATGAAATGATCCTGACAATCTTCTACGGCCGCCTTTGAGGATTACGCTGTTGTCATTATGCATGGCTTATTAGCAGGACAATTATCAAAAATAAAAGTATAAACCGAAAGTAATTGCCTTCTTAAGTCTGACACAACGAAAGGGGAACTTTTGAATTGAGCTATTTTAGCATTACATTAGCAAAACTAACACTGACAGATCATTGGAATGACATCGCAGTGACTTACTTGTTTACTCTTCTTCGTACTAAATCGCCAGACCCAGCGCTTTTAAAGGGAGAGTTCTTGATATTGCTGAAAAATCATAGTTCCTTATTTTCAGAAGCATGACACAGGTAAATATCGACTAGCCCCCCTAAGCATCTCTATGGTCAGCTGCATTTTTTTCCTTCATGATACTTCCTCGTACGTCAGCTCTACGTCAACCATCGCCAGAGTTGCACAGCGCCCTCTAGCGAACAAAGCAGGGAGACACTGAGTCAATGATGTCATTCTCTTTCCAAGAAGCCACCTACAGACAAACATGAGTTCTTCAAATTTATGAGAATTAAGCCTGATCTTTCAGAGCTATCAACCAGTCGAAACCCTTAATCACATATTTATTTATTTGCCGTCTTGCCTGGAGAACGTTGTTGTTTTTCCTTTTAATCATTCCACTGCATCTTATCAATTAAACCTATAAAACTTTTGGAAAATTATATCAAAATAAGCAGTGTGTATGTTTTTCTGCAAACATAATTATCCACTGAGTCCCAGAATCAAAAGAATTTGACTGAATTCCTATAGAATTCTAGTTGCCTAAAGACCTATTTTCATCTGAGTGAATTCATTTGAGCATAATAGCTTTTATTTATCGGTACACCACTTTTAAAAGCAGGTTTAAAAAGAGCCTTGACAAACTGTCAGGTACATACAGACAACAAAACACGAGCGCTTCAGCACATGGAAATAAAAACAACGAGCTTGTCATAAAAACCCAGACATACACATGATTCATAGCATTTCTCCTAATGGGATCAGTATGGCAATAACAGGATAACTGACGGTCTTAGCCCTAAATAGTTCATCATTTATGTGCTGAACTGTCTCTGCCAAGGTTAAGCCTTTATTATGAATTAATTTACACAGAGTGGAGAACCATGTTCCTTGTTTCGCATCAAGGATTTTGCGAGGGGTAATGTTTGGTTCTACATGGTATTTTATTTCTATTCAGTCTTGTCAGACGGCAATGGAAATCTAGGTGTCTTTTACTGTCCCTGAAGTTTTCCCTGGCTCATGCTTTTTAAATTAAACCAAAAATTTTAGCATACAAAAGATAAAACATAAAGTTAGCTCTGTAGTGATGAAAGACACATTTTGTCATCATCCAAACTGAATATTGGGGTTTTAAAATTGAAGCCAGTGTTTGAGTGTGTTTAATTTACAATTTTCCTAATAAACAGCAGGGGGGCAACATTTCTTTTAATTAGTTAATTAATAAATGATGTCACTCATAGCATATGATAAAGCGGGCTACATTTTAGTGTGAAGCTTCCTGAAATTGACAAGTCAAGGTCCACCTTAGCAAGGAACTTTAAATAGAGTAAACAAATGCGCATCATGTCCTCTTGCACGTGTTTGTAATTGAGATGGTTCCATCTTCAAAAGGTACAGATCAGTAGTCCGCAAACCACTGGGAGACATCACTGAGGCAAGGTCAAGTTTTGTAATGCAGTTGATGTTTTGGTCAAAGCCAGGTTATCAGTTCCACCTTTTTATCTGACTTTATTTAAGGCCACTTTTATAAGCCTGTATGCTGAACAGACAAGATGGTAGTTCAGATCTTTTCATATTCTGTTTTTATCTCCTATTGGTTGAGAATTGCCTTCACTAACCTGCTCTATAGCAAGGTGAAATGCTTCTCAGACTTGTATTTTGCAACGATGACACAGAAAACTACTCACCTGTACATGTATAACCGTTGTTAATCCTGATATGTTTTAAATGGTTGTTCCTTGTTAGCTCTACATTTTTAGGTCGACTTTTCCTTAGAGCCTGCAGACCATTGCAAAAATGTAATTAAGATCTTCGTCCACCCTTGGTAGAACAAACCCATCTTGTAACTAACTTACCGGCAGTATTAGCACACTGTAACAATGTAGCTTTTTCTTGGCAGGTTATCTTGTACCATGATGACCAAGGCATAGAGAACTGGGTATGTTGCCCACACTGTTAGAACCACTTATGCAGGTATGCTGCTTCTCATCTGCTTGGTGCTTATTCTCATCTTAAATGAAAAGTTGTATGTCTTAGTATTGCTATAAAAAAAAAGAGTCCTCTGTCCATTTATCTCTTTGTGCGTGAAGCATCAGTCCCATATGGTCTGACATGTCTGCTGATGACCACACTGTTTTCAGCCAGCCCAGCAGTACATTTGGAATAGTGCTGACTGCACATGCTCGTGGTTGACTCATTACATTAATGGAAAAGTTTGTGAATGTGAATACAATGTTAGTCAGGTGGTTGTAAACCAAAAAGCATTCATTCTTAGCCCTGGAAGGTCTCCATTGGTTTACCTGAGCTTAACAATTTCAATTTAATAAAATTTGCATCCAAATTCACTTCTACCTCAACTTGGCTAAGTATGTAGCTCTGTCTATAGAGTTATCATCAGTTTGTATTTTGTCTAGTTAGTAGGCAAAATATTTTTACCAATTAATGACATTCTTTAAGAATAACAATTCTAATAAACTTTTACGATTTTTCTTTGGGATGAAACAGATGAGTGCATTAAAATTGGAAAGTAAAGACTTGGTATAACAACAGAAAAAAAGAAGCAACCACTGTAGTAAAATAGTAAACAGCAAATGCATGAATGTTGTCACACTAAACAAACAGTGCAAGCGAGTCTTGCATTTGGACAAAGGTTAATGTATAGTTTATGCTCAAATACTCTACTCTCGTTGAATTGTGAAACTAAATTTCTCTGCAATATTAAATGGTATAACAGGTATTTATTACTTCAACTGGCAGCCTGTTTTTTTTCTTTTCACTTTAATACAACTGCCTCCTGATAATATAGAAAAGTAAAATGGTAAATTTTAGTCTTGATCTTAATAGTAAAGACATTTTATAACATCTAAGAAAGTCATTTTCATGAATTAGTAATGTGCTTGACACAGTAAATAGCTCATAAGTTGCTAATTTCGTTTGGATTTAATTGAATTTCAGAGTTCAAAGGATATAATTGGGTTTCACCTCAGCTAAAAACTCTTGGGTAACAGAGTCTAAGGCTGTGTCTCTGCGTCTCTGTATGTCTGGTTCACTTCATTAGTGTCAGTGTTTTTGCTCAGGGAGACATGATTGAGCGGAGTGACAGCACAGCATCTCTTTTCATCTGGCATTAAACAGACAGCCAGGCTCTTGTTTCCACTAAGGCCAACAGCTCAGTGCCTACTGCCAACATCCATTATGGTTGTTAACATTAGTCTACTCCCCACTACCTCACATGACCACAAGAAATGGGGCAAAACTGCCCTCAGAGCAGCCTCAGTGAATCCTATCTCCCCTGATTCTGCCACCCCAATCCACTCTCATTGTGATAAAACCCTTTTTTTATCCATTTCTCCTATTCAAGTCTTGTTTAGATTTGTGAGCAACACACATTTTGGATACAGTAAAAGCTGAGTACATGCTGTGAAGGTCACAATGACATAAGATAAGAAAACACAAGACACAAACATGCTTTCTCATTGCACATGGAAAGGGAAGAACAGAAAAAACACAATGAATCACCTTAGCCGAGTCAAAAAGCTACAAAATCTGTGATTCTGATGATTGTGTTGAGTAAAGGCTGATCCGTCCAATTCCAATTGCTTCTCGGTTTTTTAAAAAGGGCAAAGTGTGAAAGCCTACAATGCTTTAATAAGCCCCATCCCTTTGTACGGTTTCAAAGCAGGCTCCAGGTTTGAAACAAGGCACAACGGCAAAGATCTGTGCAGATATTCAAAAGAGGGGACTTCAAAGAATCTCATTTTCTATTGCCCAGCAGCACTTTGAAAACCAATCATTAGAATCGGAGAGAAAAAAAAGGACTCTGAAATTGACAACTACATGAACTAACATTGCAACATAGAAATCGCACTTGCAGCTGATCATGAGATATTAGCATTCTTGGAACAGAGGCTCTTATGGTAATTTGTGTACTAGCTGTCTAAGTGTTAATTCTGAAAGATCTATAAGGCCTGTAAATGAACCCATATATCAAGCCCATTGTATCAATCTAAGAAGTGTATTTCTCTAAATTCTTTTGCATCACCCGTATGTGATCCACAAAGACTTGTGTGGCCCGAGGTTATGTCCCTCCTGGCCACTGTTGGGCACTGTGCCATAGGCATGGGGATCATAATTGTTTGGCTGTGCAATATGCGCCTTTATATCCAGGTGAGTGTTGGTGGCACTTGCTCTTCCATGGCAGTTGTGGCTCGGCATGGCGGCATTGTGGTTGCCATGGCAGCCTGCTCTTTAGGAGCTGCAGATGTGTGGCACTGTACTACCGCCAGGTCTGATCACCATTGGGCACACTAGTCTAATCTTGCATGGGAGTGCTCAGCCGTCTTCTTTGTAGTTTTGGTGCAGCTGCATCCTGGTCAAGCCACTTTCACTCACTCCTTTCAGTGTGATTGATAGCCAGTGCCAGAGAGGGTGGAGTGACCCACTGAAACAGGTCATTTATTCCAAAAAACAGTTGGGTATACAAAAATTCAAGCGGTTCAGGTAATCAATCAAAAGGGGGAGGAAGAAGGTAGAACCAAGAAAAAGGCAGAGGTCAAAAACACACAGAGTCAAGCACTAGAAAAATGCTGAAACAGAGGTAATATGTGGGAAATACGTGGGAAAACACAACAAACTGGCAACAGGAGGGAGAACACAGGGATTAGATACACAGACAATCAGAGGAGAACAAGACGCAGGTGAGGGTTATCAGGGAGGAGCAGACACAAGGAAGATACCACAAACACAGGCTTCAGATATGGCCATGAGTACCCAGGTCATGGATCTTCACCAAATGAAAAAAATACACACAGAAAAACAAGAACACAGTTGATTGTCTTTAACATGGAAAGAAAATTCAAAAGATGACTTTACAGCAAAAGCAAAAACTGAGAAAATTAAAAGACATTTTGTAGAATTAGAAATTTGACACTCAAAGACTGGCTTCACTTTTGAAACCCCAAGATTTTGTTTGGATGCTGACAAAATTTGTCCTTCATCACTACAGAGCTGACTTTCTGTTGTATCTTTTATAAATCTAAGTTCTACCCAGTTCTGGGTCTTCCATCACTTCCTACACTTGTCTGTCATGCCTATCTTTGTCTCTGAGCTTAAAGGTCCCAGTGCACACCTCTTGTTCTTGAGCGTCACTTCTTCTTACCATGCAGACTCTGCAGAACTTATCAACAGAGAAGCTCTCGC